GGTGGAGCGCCTTAGAAAGAAGGAGAAAAGAAATAAGTTGTTGAAAGAGCGTTAGTTGGTTGGGTAGCCCTTGTGTCCTTGCATAAATTATTTTGTATCAGTAGAAGAAACTGTTCATCATCAACATCACCAATTAATCTTGCTGGCTGTGGGCGTATTAGCATCTCAAAAAGAAAGTTAATATCAAAAAGAGTGCGGTTACCCGGATTTCGCGCGCGAGTATAAAAGGAGATCGCAATCCCCCGATTTCTCATTCGATAAGGATTTGCTTTTGTGTCACAAATTATTATATTGGTGCGGCAGATACATACAAAGCATCCTGAGTACTGACTAGTTTAATAGACAGTTACCGCATTATTTTGGGAAACATTAGTTTGTACTTCTCAGTCATTTCATAGATTCCACTTGTCACACCATGGACTCATTAAAATTACCAACCACTGCCGCTCAGGCTAAAGTGTACACGGCACCAAATTCCTTGACGTTTCCTCAAGGATTTGATGGCGAATCCAAGCAAGAAGCCAACTATTTAAAAAAAGAAGAAGACAGAAGTGACGTCGTGGAACCTAACCAACATCAAGATGACGGCGCCACATCTGGTATTGTACCCACCCTTCAGAATATAGTGGCAACTGTGAATCTCGACTGTCGTTTGGATTTGAAGACTATTGCATTACATGCTCGTAATGCCGAGTATAACCCAAAGCGTTTTGCAGCTGTCATCATGAGAATCCGAGAGCCAAAGACGACAGCGTTAATTTTTGCTTCGGGAAAGATGGTCGTTACTGGTGCCAAATCCGAAGATGATTCTAAACTTGCATCAAGAAAATACGCTAGAATCATACAAAAGTTGGGTTTCAATGCGAAATTTACCGACTTCAAAATTCAAAATATAGTTGGTTCTTGTGATGTTAAATTTCCTATTAGACTCGAAGGTTTGGCCTTTTCACACGGAACTTTCTCGTCCTATGAGCCCGAATTGTTCCCTGGTCTAATTTATAGAATGGTCAAGCCAAAAATTGTTCTTTTGATTTTTGTTTCAGGGAGAATTGTTCTTACTGGAGCAAAGCAAAGAGAAGAAATTTACGATGCCTTCGAAGCTATCTATCCGGTGTTGAGCGAATTCAGAAAGTCGTGAGTACTACCTGACGTCAAACAAGAATGATTGTATCTTAGTACACATGCTAGTTCAGATATGCGAGAGAGTTTTACGTTTCTTGTTTGGCTCTTGCGACAGCATTGTTACGGTATATTATGGACGGGAATCAGCAACATCTCATAGAAATTAACGAGTTGATGAAGTTTAACTGTAGTATTCTATGTTTCCTTTTTTGGCTCTGCCCACTTGAAGAAATCACATTTTGAGTCTATGTTCGTAGGTCTTGCACAGCTCCAGAACTTTTTACCCTTGGTTTTGGGGTTTTTAAAACTGGTTTTTAGCTCAGCAAGCTCACCATGTTTGCAATATGGGGTTTCGCCGTAGAGTATTTTGGAGTAATGTTGAAGGTCAATTGCCAGTCGAGTGCCAGCAGCTGATTTTGGCTTTGTATCTTCAAATTTTATATCATCCTCTTTCTGGTTGTCAGAAAAGAAAAATGTTTTAATCAGTCTTTGATTATTATCGAGTGTTTTTTTTCGACTTACGTAGGGAGTTTTCTTGCGCTTACTATCAGCGGGAACATCTGCTTTGTCGCTTTCTTTGTCAGAGGTCGTCCTGGCTTTCGACTTAAACATCTGTGAAATGTCTCGATGTTGAACAAGCTTGTAGTGGCTCTTGGCTTCTAGTTTCAATGGCATGATCAGCGGCGGCTCCTTTTCAACATCTTGAACCTCGAAATCGGTATAAACGGGGCAGTGGTCGGAACCATGAAGAAAGGGCCAGATATTAGCAGAAGACACATTCTTGCAAAGAGCCTTTGAGCTTGTTAAAATCAAGTCAATACGAGATCCAAAGTTAGACTGACGAGCACCGGTCAAAGTATTCCATACAGTGTACATTCCCAAACGGCGCTTTTGAACCTCTCGCGTGGTGTCATATAAAAATTGCTTGCTTGAATTTGCAACCAACATGCTTTCACTGCTTGGATGTACGTATGCATTGAGTAAGGAACGAGCGGGCGTTGAATCTTTGAACTTGAGACACTCGGCCAAGTTGAGCTTTTCGAGTTCGGATCCATCCCCGGAGCTGTTCAAGGAATGCTTTAATGTGCCTTGCTTGAAAGACTCCCTCATGTAGTCGGCGTGATCAATAAGGTCAAGTGCCACGTTAATGTCACCCATGATAATTACTTCGTTTCCTTTCTCTTCAAGCCTCTTGCAACGTTCTAATAACACTCTTAGGAATAGAAGTCTTTGAATCTCACCTTCCTCGGTACCCGATGAGTTTGCAGGGCAATATAGGGAAAAGATTATCAAACCACTTGCCAACTGCACACTTATGCAGCGACCTTCCGAGTCCAACTTAGAACAAGTCTCATCATCGATGTCCGTGGGATAACAGCCTATACACTCTTCCACCGCTAGCTCACGATATCTCAGACCCTTTTTATCTGGCGAGAACAAATACCCGGTGAGACCCTCTTCGGCTTTGGCCACTGAGAGATTCTTTTTCAAAACGGCATCCTCATTCTCATTAGGTATACGAACAAAGAGTCCAACACCACTATACCCTTTTTTCGTCTTCGGAACACTTACAAAGGACCTATATTTCTGAGTGTTTCCAATCTTTGTGCTCGAGAGGTTTTGGGCAGTAAGCTTTAGTTCTTGAAGTGAAACAATGTCAGCCTTCAAGTATTGAAGCAGTGTATCAAAGCACTGTTTATGACCGTTCCACGGATGATAATTGAATATTGTCTTAACACCATTTACGTTGAATGTGACTAGACGCAATGTTCTCGAGCTCTTCTTATCAGGTATTCGTTGCGTTTTATCATTATAATCATTAACCATGCGACTGATATTGAGAGACAGCTCAAGGTCACAAATACTCCGGTGTAAGGATCCTCTCTTACCTCTCTTCCCTCTCTTCCAGGTATGAAATAAGGAGCCAGGTAAAGATACTAGGTTAGTGCAAGTAGAAGGGGTAGACTCTTGTTATAAACTTAATAAAGTATTACAATCCCCTCCTTTTTCATTAAAAGTTTGTAACCTCTTCTCGAGCTCATGATTGAAAGTCCTTTTACATATTTCCAGAATATTGCAAATAGTTGAAATAGTGAATTTTACCAAATAAATCACAGTTTTCACCCTTTTGAACACTTTATATAAATTACTTGAGCTGTGGCCACCACTCTCCTTTTGTAAACCTATTTACTCGAGTTTCCCTCTACACATTGCAGCCATTTTGCTTCTTTCCTACACTGGACGCGTCCGATCACGTGAAGGGACGCGGTAGTGAAAATTGATAAACCTGAACTTGCGAATCCCACATCTGCTCGTCTCACATCCTAATACTGCCGACACTCCAACGGCTTTCTCCTATTAATCAAGATGGTTGGTCCCCCACACTTTAGCAGCCTTTCTCCGTTCAACGTGAACGACGACTCTTCATACAATGTTGACAATACTACCCCCGAACTATTGAAGTTTCAATTGCAAGAGCTGTACCGAAGTAAGCTCAAGGACTTGGCGTCCAACCTTCCATCCCTAAACATATTACACTCCCACGTTTTGCAAGGGGCGTTTAATGGCCACCTCCAGAGCACTATTGAACTGGGACAGGTACAATTACGAGATTCTGTGCCAAGCCTCTCTTCCACCCCTGGGTCTGACAGTGACATAGAAACGCGCCTGCCCGTGAGTGAGGTTGAAGAGAGCCCTAATTATCTCAACCTAAAGATTTTGATTGAAAATTCGGTGTTTGATACATCGAAAGTAAATAAGGATGCGATACTTTCATTGTCATCCTTGAAAGACCTCAAACAGAGTCTTCAAGAGCAGAGAGAACTCAAACACTTTCTTTCCTCAAAATACAATGTGTCGCAGCAGTTTTTGAGGACCATGATTACCAACTCTGAATCCTCGGATATCGAACTCGAACCAGGCCTTCTCTTGAGATTAATAAAACTGACAAGCGAACTTTCTCAACAACTCATCGACATCTCCGAGCGAGTGGATTCAATCAACTCAATTTTGACCAATCACAATTTGGCGTGCTTGGTCCTCGGCTACGTTGAAGATGTCAAGCTTTCCTCACTCAATGGCACTACTGCCTCCATGAATTCCTCAGGATCACCTGCTGGCTCCACGAACAAAGACAGACCTCCATATAAAAATCCAGAGTTGCTCGAGAATGTTAGCCGTTCTTTCGATAGTCTATTCTCGCATGTGGCTTCGGTGGCCGCTCAGCGTGGAATTTCTCTCCCACCTCCACCATCACCCTCAAGCAATAATTTGGATCATATTGAAAGTCGAACCAATTGGACCAAGACTTGCATCGATGCTATTCTTCAATCAGCTATCTCTAGGGACCAAGCGGAAAGTTCTGCCGGTGACACTATGTATGCGAATGATACAACGTTACGCAACAGTAACGATGGCAACCTTCCCAACCAATATGTGTCACCAAGCGTTTCACCATCTAAATCAACTACGGGAGATGCGATGTCTTTGACAGAATATAAAACAGCACTCAATGATTTACGCTTCGCCCACCAATACCTCGCGAAGGAGTATGAATTCTCAAAGGAAAACTCAGGGAAAGTTATTCAAGACAACCGTAGGAAGATTGACATGCTAGAAAACGAAGTGAGAAAGCTAAGAATGGGAGCTGGAGACCAAACAGAAGACCTTGATACAACAAAGGCGAAGGATGCCGAGATCGCCAGGTTGAAAAAAGAAGTGAGTTTCTTAAAGATCGACAGGCTCGGCCTGAAGACTGGGTCGTCCCCCAAAAGAGGAAATAATTTATCTCCCATTTCAAGCTTTAACACGCTTGGATCGTCTGAGAACTTGAATACCAGCGTGAGCGGTGCCGATGCAGAAGACAATACAAATTCACTGCAACTCAATTCTGCGTTTGTTGCCCGTCCCAGCTCGTTTGGTAACTCTACCAGTACGGCAATATTACGAAAAGAATTTAAGAAAATTATCAGTGATATCCAAGATCAGTATGAGCTTGAATTGAGCGAAGAGCGAATAAGAAGAAGAAAGCTCAGCGAGGAAGTCAAGAAGCTTACGCTGCCTTCCGGTTAAAAGACCTCTATTAGACAATATCCCTTACATAATATTACAGTGGTAAATTGAGAGCGTAATTGATTGTAGTTCGCGCACCCACCAGACGCGCAGAGTACATCCATTACTGATCTTGCATTGAAATATTAAAATATGACCACGTCACTAAGTGGCGATCCATATGATGAACATATTCCAATATTTTCGAGTGACCATTTCAAGTTTCCCATTAATGCTAACAATGGGTCAGAAAGCAACCGAGTTATAAAATTACTACGCACCAGTGATGCTTATATCTCGAAGAGCAAAGATGACCTACTTCACAGGTATACGTTGCTCTCGTATGCATTGAAATGCTTGGAATTTATTCTACATCATTACTCGGAATATCTCACTCCACAGCTTGAGCTGCTCACTTACTTGAAAATAGCTATTGCATTAGTTGAAAGCGAAGTTCCAGAAAAAGCGGAGGCCTATCTATTGCGACTGTTGAAATTGTCAAAGAGAAACAACCTCGTATTGATATCCTTCGTCAGCGAGTTTATAGGAGGACAAATACTCGCCAAAAACAATCCAAAATTGTCCATAAGCTATGTCGAAGAAAAAATAACGAGATATGATGAGCTTGGACTTCACCAACTTTCGGACCTATTCCGAGTGCTCAAAGTGACCTCGTATATGCATTTTAATCCAATAGGGGCTACAAATGCCTTGCTTACACTCAGTGAACGACATTCTGTCGATCCATTTTTAAGAGGCATAAGCTTGTTGTACCTTTGCAATGTCTTATCATACACCGACCCGGCATACGATTGCAAAGAAAAATTAGACAAGGCTCAAGAATTATTGTTTAAGAACAAGAGATCCCCGATACAACTTAGAGCTATGCTTCTACTTCTCAAGTTTTCCATTTTAGTGAAAAGTGGCAGCCACGAAGAGTCGGAAATTGTAATGAACGAACTTAACGTTTTAGTGTCTGCCCAACATAGCGAGAAGTGGGTTGAATGGAAAGAGACAGGTACTTTTCAGATTGAGCTACCTCTACCAATTAGTGATGGGGAGATCACCACTATATTCTGCGAAGCATCGTGGTTGACGTCCAATGAGTTTGTTATTATTTACTACGCATTGACCGCTCTTAAAATGCTTGTACATAACCCAAAAGGTAACGCATCCTCAAGGGCCCTACAATATTGCAGGGATCTTATTGATAACGAAATTCAACAGTCTTCGTCAAACGGCGTATTGAGTTCACGGATAGCACACTTGAGAGATACAATAATTGTGTACCAGGCGTGGTCCAGTTTCCTCAAAGAGAAGCCCAATTTCAACTCAGAAATTGAAGAAATCGTTCGTGTCCACAATCGAAATGAATTAAAAGACATAAAGCTGCTCGTTACAGATGATACAATCAGCAATATTCTATATCTCTTTGGGATCTCTAGCCTAGCGGATAAACATCGAGAAACGGCAGAATACTACTTCCTGCTATTGAAAAACAGAAAAAGCGTCGATGCTAACGTAGGCAATGAATGCATGCGAGCTTACTCTGTGCTAGCACCTCCACATTTGAGTGGAATAAGCAAGACTGACGAGCTCAAGGTATTTTCAACGATCCACTTATTACTGTTATCCGAGTATCATGCAACGAAACCTGGCATTAATGATGCCCCGGCGGCAGAAAACTTAGCCTTGATGTACATGGATTTGGACTGCTACGCAAGAAACTTCAAACCTCAAGCTTTCAGTCACAATGAACTCTCTCGCTGTATGCCTTTAATCACTTACTGGGCACTCAAGGAATTATTCAGCACGAACAGCAGTGATTTAGTACTGAACCTTGAAACCAAAAATTTGGAGGAAATATCAAATTCAGAATCAGGTCTTGCGTTTACTTCCATTCTAAATTTTCTACTCTTCAGGAGATTTCACGGTGACACGGAAGTGAGCAAGAGATATCTTGAGCGAACATTAAACTCTGTGAAAGGGTCGCTTATGCTGAGAATTCAGCGATCGCTAAACAGGTTTCTCTTGACATCTTTGATCGAAGAATTGAACAGCCATGCTGATCAGGAGCTTTATGAAGAGATAAAAGTACGGCTAGATTTTGTGTCCAATAATCAATAACAGGTTTGTTTATTTTCGTACTTCAATGACTAAAATGTAAGATCGTAGATCTTGAGGGTCTACTCTTTCTTAGACTTCTTCTTCTTTCCAGACTCGGTTTCACCGTCCTCGGACTTTCTCTTCTTCTCTTTCTTCTCCTTCTTTTCCTTCTTTTCCTTCTTCTCCTTCTTCTCCTTCTTCTCTTTCTTTTCTTTCTTTTCTTTCTTAGATTCCTCTTCCATATCATCGTCCAGACTAGATTTAGTCTCAACTTCCTCAATCAACTTCTTTGGTAATTGAATCTCTGGAGCAGCAAGTTTTGCTTCAGGGACTGGAGGAGCAGGGGTCTCATCGTGATCCTTGTACTCTGCCTTCCATGATTCTGGAGTATTTTCGTTGGTCCGACCATACTTGTCTAACTTTCCGTCGGCCTTCAACTGTTTCTTTTTCTGGGCAACTGGGCCTAATCCCCATCTTCTGGGGTAAGTGTCACGTTCCATAATACATCTCTTGACTTTGGCAACGATTCCGTGATCGCAACTTTGCAAATCAACCGTAGTCATCTGAGCGATACCGATGGCAATAGCTTCACCCTTGGTGGTGATCAAAACAACTTCATCATAAAGCTCAATGCCTTCCTCATAACGTAACAAACCTGGAATCATCAACTTTGCACCGTAACAGACTGAGTTCACTGCTGAATCTTTGACGACAATCCTCTTGTACCCCACGAGTAAGGTCTCAAGTGGCTGAATGATCTTTCGCAAGTACGACTCATCCCTGGTATTGTCATACACGTACTGGGCATCCAAAACGTCATGTAAGGTAACCAAGTTATCATTTTCGGCAAGTGCACCAGATCTAACACGACGCAACTCTTGCATGTGACCACCTACACCCAACAACATACCCAAGTGCACACACAACGTTCTCATATATGTACCAGCTTCACATGATGCCCAGAATACTCCCAATCCTCTCTTGTTGTCAAATTCTATTAAGTTGGAGTCGTAAATCGTTCTAACTCTCAATTGTCTTTTAACTGCAGAAATGAGTGGAGGTCTCTGGAATAAAGCACCTGTCAAATTTTCTAACGATCTGCCCATGTCCTTAGCATCTTTTAACTCATCATGAAGTCTGACAATACAAACATATTCCTTTCCTGCTCCTTGTTGTGACTTCACTAATCTGGTAGCTCTATCGATACAAACAATTAAACATCCAGTGACCTTTGGATCCAACGTACCAGAGTGACCAGTCTTCTCGGTCCTCAAGATTCGTTTAATCCAGGCGACGACTTCATGGGAGGATGGGTTTGAGGGTTTGTCCAAATTGATGACACCCGAGGAAACGTAAGATTTAAGGTCTCTTTTCAATGGAGAGCTTCCGGCAGGAATGGGGGTATAGTGCCCGCTTCTAACCAAAAGCTTATCGAAATTCTTCAATAAGAGTGGCCACTCAGAAGTATCATTAGATGGCGCAATACTTTCGGGCTTAATCATATACTCGTCCGACATTGCGACAGGGAATATGAAGACTACAATGATGGTATTGAGAAAAATTCTCATTGCATCGTGCGGCGCCATTATATACAGGAATATTAATCCATCCCAGCTCTCTCGCTAATTTCTTGTCTCGTCAATTCAAGCCAATAGAGATCTCTCCCCAAGCTTCTGGCATACTTCATGCACCACTCAAGGTTATTGTCATTCACAATTTCCTTCGTCGATTTGTAATTACCACAAAGCATATTAAGAGCATCTTTTGTCGCCTTTATCTCAGCTACTGTATCGTATAGCTGCGAAACTAGCTGCAGATCTGGTATCACGATGTTTTCAATCGAAATTGCCTTCGATGGATTTAAGTAAACCTTATCACTCAGCCCTGCATTAAGCTTGTCTAACGCAACCAATTCTGCATTTGAATTTGAAATTTGGTTGACCTTTTGAGAAAGATAATCTTTGTGACTCGACAAGTTACGGCAATTAGCTACTGCTTGCTGTCGATGATGACCTAACTGGGAGTGGAGAGCTTCGATCTTTTTGGAATTGTCATGGATCTCAGTGGCAAGATTATTGGCATGTCCAGCTTCAAGTTCTTTGGACAAAACTTCTTTCAAATCCCTGCTGAAGCCTTCATTTTCTTCGCCTGTAAAAATATCTCCTTCCTTTAAACCTTCAGAGTCAATCAAATCAGGTGCCTTCATTGCTCTACGATTGACCGCTTGCGTGGATTTTGACGTTGATATGGTTTCCTTCGGTATTTGCGTTATGGGAGGTTGTAAGAGAGGTTGCTCATGTGGAAGCGGTAATGGCCCTTGATATTTAAGTGGAACAGAATACTTTGGATTCCCGATTGGAACGTCAGGCGGTGTAGATTGCATTTTTGAGGATTCCGCAAAAACTTTTGCAGGCTTGGGAGGAGGTGGAGATTGCATCTTAGGGGATTCAGCTAAAACTTTTGTAGGCTTGGGAGGAGGTGTTGGTGTTCCATGAACAACAGGGGAAGAAAAGGGTCCCGTTTCGCCTGATGGGCGATGTAATGGAAATTCTTTTGAAAACGATTGACGCATGACTTGAACCAACTCCAACAAATTGTACCTCCCAAACGAATCCTGATTATAACTGGAGCATTCAGAAAACCACCTAGACAAGTAAGGGTGGTAGAATCGTCCCAGACCATCGATATGGTTACCTGGCAATAGTATCGCGCCTTGGGATGGGTCTGGAGTAACATACACAATAGGCACTCCGTCTTCGAATGGATATCGATGTGGTACCCAGATCTGAATAGGGACCGTTGAATGTCCCGGTATACTCAAATTGCCAGCGAGGTTCAACATTAATGCTTCATATCCAGATTCCGGAAAAGTGTAGACTTGAGTTCTTATTTTAAATTTCTCTTCACCATATAGATGAGATTGAAGGAAACGTATTATATGAGTGTATGCTATCTGCTTGTGTAAATACTGCGGTTGAAGTACATTGTATAACCACGATGCAACTTGTTCAGGTATCTCCCTCATCAAAGAGCTACTGATTCCTCATCAATCGTTAACTATCTATGAGTCGTTCCCCAATCAATAAACTCAGCGCGCGCGATAACCAGAGAATATCGACGGCTAAGGGTTGATATCATTGATCAACGTCAAAAATGAGTGGGTAAGTACTATACTCTTCTAATGACAATGGCATGAGTGATTTATGCAAGTTCAGGATTCTTGCCTTCGCTGCAGATCTTTACATGTTCCATCTTTTTACGTCATAAATAATACTAACTTGCTAGATACACAGTCATAATTGCCTTTATATTCACGGCTGCGTTGTCAGGATTGGCATGGGTGTTAGCTCCCAAAGAGAATAGAACAGTTTGGCGATCGTCGATAATATTAGCTTTGGCTATGTGTTATTTAATGTGGGCCATTACCTATCTTTGTCAATTGCATCCTCTTGAAGCACCCCGGAGGTCAGATATGAGACCTGAGAAGCATTGAAAATAAACTCAGGTGAGATATATATGTCAACATATCCTCGTGTTCTTATCGAGACACTTTCAATCTGAACAGACACATAACCGAAGCGGCGCCGGTAGAGAAAATTCAACCAAAATAAATACACAATAAATGTAAGCTAGTAAAGTTTGTTTGGGAATCATTACTCTCTTTAGATTGTTAGGATGACATCGTAAAGGTGATGTTGATACGAGAGCTCTCAGGGTTACATACAATGTAGTTAGGTCTTTTCTCATTTTTGTTGTTGCTTAAGCTACTGTAATAGTGTTTCTCAGAGTAGTATCCACAAAATTCACTGTTGCCGCTAATTCTAAATGATTCAAGGCGCCTTGCGTGCCCATTGAGGGAGCTTTATCTTTCTGACTGCAGGTCTCCGCCTAATATGTTGTGAAGACAACCCATGCTACAAGACAACATATCTGACAGCAGTCATCCATGAGCAAAAATATCATTTCAATGTCAACATACAAACGCTCTGCACAGCGAGTCAGTCATGTGGTTCTACTTTCAAGTGTTTACTAATACATCTCTTTGTAATCTCGGGGCACCGAGACGTCGGCCGAGCGGCTGAAATGGTCCCTGCATTGATTACCAATATTTTACACCCAAAGTAGCAACTGGAATTTGCCATATATAAAGGAACTTCTCCTTCATCTAAACAGTAAGCTGTTGTTTTCTAAAGTACACAATCATGGCAGTAGACAACACCTTTTCATGGAAGCCTCAGAATCTCGCAAACCTTGAGGGACTTAAAGTCCTTGTGGTAGGCGGAACCGGTGGGTTGGGTCGTTCGATCAGTCAAGTTCTCGCTTCGGCAGGTGCTACTGTCACAGTCATTGGACAGACATTCAGAGACAGCGAAAGAAAGAACATAAAGTTTATCAAGGGGGATCTCAGTTTGATCGAGAACTCACAAACGCTTGCTAAAAACTTAGATTTATCCGACACGGACATCGTGCTTTTCACGACTGGTATATTCGCTGCCTCTAAGAGAGAAGAGACCAAAGAAGGTTTAGAGCGTGATATGGCAGTCAGTTATTTGAACCGCTTGACAATGATCCGTACAATGGCCTCAAGGCTTAGCAAAACAGAGAAGAACAGCTTTGGGTTTATTCCCAGAGTGTTTATCATGGCCTATCCGGGAAGTGGTCAACTAGGAACCATAGATGACCTTAACCAAGAGAAAAGTTATGGAGCTATGAAAGCTCATATGAATACAGTCGCCGGTAATGAATCTTTGGTCTACGACAGTGCTTCAAAATATGATGGTGTTCATTTTTATGGGTTGAACCCTGGCATTGTCAAGACAAATATTAGAGACAACTTTTTGGGTGAGAATTCCTGGAAATCAAGAATTCTGGAAACTTTGATTGGATGGTTTACACGAACTCCAGAACAATATGCTAGTGGTATTGCTCCCTTGCTCATTGCTCCCGAACTCGAAGGTCGCAATGGTGCGATCTTTGACAGCAGAGGTAAGGCTCTTCTTCCATCGAAAGGGTTAACAAAGAAATACGCTTCTAGGTATGTCGAGGCTTCAGAAAAGTTACTTTCAAGCAGAGGATTGATCTGATCTCTGAGGTGACCCAAGGATAGTTGTTAGATGTTGCAGCCAATATTACTATATGCAGTATATGGTCCAATATCATCCGGGTAATGAACGTACAAAACTGAGTTTTTCCAAGATTTTTGAGTCAAGTATCTAAATATAAACAAGCAAAATCACTTGTAGTTTTTAGTTGGGCACAATTTACCTCCTGTTTCTGCCTCAAGTTCTTTTTTCACCATAGAATATTGGGTTCTGTTTAGGGAGAAGATAAAGCTGGTTGAAGACAACGACACCTTTGATACAACCGTCGCTTGTTTTTGACCAGATCGTGTGGACAGGCCCAACCTTGAAGGCATATCGGCTCATTGCCCGTTGTCGGTTTGGTCTCCACTACATCTTAATACCAGACTCTATGTAATTTGTCTTTATTGTAAAATCTGTTTAGTGGTCTACACTCGTACCAATGGATCCTGTATAAGAAATCGAAGGTGTTGTTCGCATTTCGCCAAGGTATGTACGTTGCCAAAACCTAAGTCGAAACTTCTATGCATTGTAAATTCCTGATTAGATAACCTCTTGAGAAGGGTCCAATGCAGCTCGGCTAAAGGATGAGAATGTCGCACAACAGAAGCCCATCTGCCAAAACACCGGGGTCCTTCTTCTTAAAGGAACCAATGAATCAATAATAACCAAAGTAAGTGATGTACAATACCAATTTTCACAGTCATTTTCTCTTGGTAAGGTTTTGTCCAAAGAGTCTGCTCCAACAGCTTCCGCCGCACATCCACACACCATAAGGTACATTTATTATCTGCAGCAAACTGTGGCTGCGATGGTGAAATCAAAGTTTTTTTCTCCAACTTTCACGCCAACAAGATGGATAGACCGAGTACTGATATCGAGAAAAAAACACCTACACAAGACGTGATCTCAACACACGATCTGGAGGTTATTGGGGAGGCCATCCCACTTCAGCGTAAGTTAAAAAATAGGCATGTTTCTTTGCTAGCCTTGGCGGGTATAATTGGCCCTGGAATTTTGATTGGTGCTTCATTGGCTTTGGGAAATGGGCCAGCCAGTCTAATCATTGGCTTCGGAGTGATAGGTCTCGTGGCGTTTGCAATGATGCAGTCTTTGGGAGAGCTTTCAACGTTATATCCTGTTGGTGGAGCATTCTCAACTCTTGGCAACAAATTCGTTGACCGGGCCTTCGGGGGTACCGTTGGATGGTTTTATGTTATCGTTTGGGTTGCAGTATTAGCAAACGAATATAACACAACAGCGTCAATATTGCAGTTTTGGGGTCCTGAAGTGCCTCTTTATGGCTATATTTTGATATTCTGGGCAGCATTTCTTGCGTTCTAGTTCCTTGGTGTTGCATCGTTTGGCGAAGCAGAATATTGGCTAGCGCTTTTCAAGATTTTGGGCTTGGTAGCCTTTTATTTATTTTCCTTGGTTTATATGTGTGGCGGGGTAAAGGGAAGACCAGCATTTGGTTTCCAATATTGGAACAACCCCGGAGCTTTCAACAATGGCTTCAGGGGGGTTGCCCTGACATTTGTCTTTGCTTCCACATTTTATGCCGGTACAGAGGCCATTGCTGTTGCGGCTGCCGAAACTAAAAATCCTTCGAGGGCAATCCCAAAAGCGATAAGACAAACATTCTGGAGAATTATATTGGTGTACATGGGTATTGCTATTAGTTACGGAGTCACGGTTCCTTATAACGATCCATCATTGAACAGCGGAACAAAAACGTTGAAATCGCCAATGACGATTGCAATAACCAGAGCAGGTTGGGATCAGGCGGCACATCTTGTCAATGCCTTTATTCTTCTTTCGTGCATTTCTGCAATCAATAGCTCCATTTACATTGGGTCACGCACTATCGTTAACTTAGCAGGAGAAGGAGCAGCCCCAAAGTTCTTGTCAAAGGTCAACAAAATGGGAGTTCCTTATAATGCGGTTATATTGATGAACTTGTTCGGTTTGATATCATTGATGAACATCAATACTGGTGCTGCGAAGGCATACGGCTACATTGTGAATTTACTGGGTGTGGCTGTATTTGTTGTATGGGGCGCTGTGTGTTACCTCCACATTAGGTTTCGCAAAGCTTGGAAGTTACAAGGACGTACCACGGATGAGCTTCCTTTCAAAGCATTATGGTTCCCATGGCTAGCATGGGCAGGACTACTTGCAAACATTTTTTTGGGTTTGATTCAAGGCTGGTCGTACTTCAAACCTTTCGATGCCGCCAACTTTGTTGATGCTTACATTTTACTCCCCTTCTTCATCATCTTGTTCGTTTTTTTGAAGATTGTCAACAAGACCTCTTTCATCAAGTTGGAAGAGATAGATCTTGACGACGGAAGAAGGAAGGATTTAGAGTGACAAAATTTTGGGTAAGGACGCTGAACGAGCACCGCTGATACTCTACTCAGCTTTGCTACACGATGTAAATTTATAATATTATTCGTATACCATACACGCTTCAAGGAATCATTTTGCAATCAAACTTTGGTAAAACCAAAAGATGTCTATACAATCGCAGCATCCAGACCGTTCAGTAACGATACAAATACCTAAAAAAAACGGTATAACTATAAGAACAATACTGCGTCGTAATAAATAATGGGCATGCAAGATTCATTGATCTTAACTTTACACGAAACTAACCTAACTGAGGCTTTGTTATATATCCCATTTTTCATCGCCTTCCCTTTAATTCAGAAACCATATAAGAAAAGGGCCCTTACTCTTGCCTAAGATGGCAATAAAGAAACTACCTCACTAGAATCACTGTTAGGCCCGTTACTCTAATCGATTGTCATACATAGATGGTAAGATGTACATCAAGCAGGTACGAGGGAGACTGTGCTACAAAGAGTGACGAATCAATCATTTACAAATTCAGTTGGAAAGAGAGCACTTCATAAATCAGTTTGCAACTCTACGCAATGGAAATCATACGTGGATGCTGCGAAGCTCGTAGAGTGCTACCAAGTCATCGCTCTTCATGTAACCGAACTTACTCGCAAGTCACCTATAGGCGTATACAGAGACAGCGAGCTCTAGAAAAAGCTGGAATTGAAACAAAATATGTCTCGACAAATACAAATTTTCTTCCATATTATACTCCTTCATTATTAAATCCACTTATACAGCCAGAAAAAGCACTTCTCTTGTGTTTAGTTCTCCAAACAAGTAATTAAAAAGAATATTAAGCTAAAGAGATTCATTGAACAAGTATCATCACGATGCACATACATTCAATAGTATTCAAACCAGCAACATGAAAGAAAAATAACAAAAAGCCGAAACTTAACAAACATTATATGATACATATTCATAAGACTAAAAGTTGATGACTAGCTATACTAAACAAATATCTCGTTTTATACCTTCAAAAACGACTTATGTACATTGACAGAGGAGCTACCAGTAAATTACACAAGGACCGCGCCGCTGAGGTATATACTTCCACATCTTCTTAAGCGATGGGTAAAAACACAATTGAACACATGCGTGAGTGCCCCCGACACTCAGGAACCAAATCCTTTGGCCAACATGAACAGAACTTGTTACCATTATGCGTCCGTCATATCTCTCATGAAATCTCTGAGATACCTCCTCATATATTACTTGATATACTTTGGTTGCCTACTGATTGTCCATTGTAATATCTTTATATTATGTTATCAGCACATCTGTGCCAGTGCAGAACAGTCAAACTCGTTGCAATCCCGATCCTATATCTGAAGTTAGTGTGGAATCAATAAGACTACAAACACATCCTTGACGCTGATAATAACATAATAGGCGCACCTTAGCGTATATAGTTTACTTGTAAAAAAGACAAAGGCATGCAACTTCATGTAAATACTGCCGGTAATTAGAATAAAGGAGTTCACACTCCCTTGTATGACTCGATTTGAGAAAAAGCACACGAAAATACGCTATACAACAAAAAGGTAAAGTTACCGAGTGTGATGGAATATCATGATTGGAGTTGTCCACCATAGTCTCTTATCGTTCCGATTCCGTACCTGTGAGCCACCTCTTCGCCAAAAGTCATAGCTATCGCGAAGCGATCTCATTAGTGTTTATTTCCTCTGTTCGCATTCAGTCTTCATCTAGGAATGAAAAATATTGACCTCATCGTTTGCATTTCTTAACGCTTTAGCTAGGCGTCACAAGGACCTCGATATAGTTTTTGATAGCAACTTAGGGAATACGTATACTAACTATGGCCATGCTGTAGGTAGCCTCACGAACTAGAGCATTTCATGCAGCTTAGTTTGAAAAGTATGGTTCATTTTCCAATGAGAAGCTCGGCAACCGGGTTGCTCCGAGATGTGTTTTGTGGAGCCTAACTCGGACCTATAGTGAATCATAATGGAGCGACTGAAACCCGCTAATTAAATGATTGTAGAGGCAATTGTGCCCCAAATATTTTGCACAAGTGGCACGTACTCTGATGGAGGTCTCAAACTACTGGAAGTCTACTAGTATAGTGTCAAAACTGGCCAAGGACCTTCTGAATCTAGATCAATGCATAGATAATTACTCGTTCCATTTTAATACTTCATTTTAATTCCCACCCGTAATATGACTTGATAGTCCTCCTTTGTGTGAACGGGTAAGAAACTGTCATTTGCTTTTCAATTTCGATACTCGCGTGATGCTTGTGCATAGGTTCATACATATGACATGTCACTGGTCTTGCTGTGATCTTACATTCAATCTAAATATATATAATGTGCCATTGCCATCTTCAATCACAGGCTTCTCTTAGATGAATGAATTGATGCAGTAAATGTCAAACACAACCTAACCTAAGGTTGAAATTCTGGTCTACTTGACAATTGTCGGACTTGATATGGATTCTCTTGACCTGTGATGTCCAAGTATGAAATACAAGCTCTATTTTTACAGTCGATTTTAATTCTGTCTACTGAAATGTGCCTAAAGCCCAAAAACGTTATTAAAAGAAGTTTATAAATTTGCAGTATAGAGACTGTGCGATGATGAGATGAATCTGTGGGTAAACCCTTTTGGTTTAATAAGCGACAATCGAGTGTCTTTGATAATCGCGAGATATATCCTAATTTTATACCGGAGGAACGGCATAAAACTTGCCTTGTTTGAGCGATGTATCTTGATATGTTTGTTCCTATTTAAGTTGTAGGGCGTGCCAACTATTTAAGAGAGGGATGTGTATTCTTAATATATTACACAACAGGCGATTCGTCGTTCATTGTGCATTGGAAAGTGTATGTGAGATGATACCTATATGTACGCTGCTAAACTTAGGATTCATTATCACTGAGGTCATCCGCGTAACCATGCTTTCTGATCTCACCCAAACGCTTTCTCGCTGACGCAAGCGTGTTCTCAAGTTTAAGAATTTGTACCTGCTGCTCCATCTCTAATGTTTTCCCTTCGTACGGTGTCAACTTGCTCAAATCAACGTCGTTTTGAGTTTCGTCAGCCCGAGTTAAATACCTTTGAACTTGACCAACCAATTCTTTACAGGCTCTCGAGACACTGCCTGATGCGGTCTCCAAATTGTCCTGAGTTTTGGAGACAAAGTTTGCCTTGACTCGAGATGCAGCGACGAGTTGGGCTGTAGATGCTGCCACTTCGTTTGAAGCCACAATCAATTGCTCTTGCTGACAGTCATCTCTAATAACACCATCAGCTGTTTGAATCAACACATTTGTGGCACCTGCTACTGCCTTTGAGGCACTAATAAGACCTTCCGTCCACCTGTTGTTTTTCTTGTAATACTCAGTGCGAGTTTGATTGCCCCTTCCCTTACTAACGATTTCTCTTTGTGATTCAGTTGCAGCCGTAATCAAGATAGAGACAGCCTTGGTTACTGCCATAGCTGCAGAAAGTATCGCTTCGTGCACTTCAACATCGACTCCCTTGATATTCGGATTTTGTAAAAGATTGGTTAAAAATTGTGAAGCAGAATTGACGGTGTTTGCAGCCCGCTCCATTTCATCCTCAACCATCGCATCCAAGTTCAGCAGTTTGAGACTAACGCCATTCTTCGATCTCAATGATTCCACGAGGCTTCCAACCTCTTGTAAATCCTGTTGAACTTGTAAATTGCTGTCAATTACCTTATCAACTTTGTCATCTTCGTCAGCCAACTTGCCTAGAACTTCGGACTTTAAGCCACTGAAGTACAGTTCGGTACTATTCAAGACTTTAGACACCAACACAAGCAATGTTTCTTCATTTTGCATTAGGCGGGAAAGACCTTTTGCATTAATAACCAAATCATTGACAGCAGAAGTCAATTCTGAACTTGTCAGAACGATCGCTGAATACCCAGAATCATCATCACCATAGCTAGCTTTACCATCCACAAGAAAGCCATTGAAAGCAGATGCAAAGTCGGTCGCAGTGTCAGAACAGAGTTCGATAATAGAGAGCAAATACTCCGGGGTAGCACTCTGGTTTCCTGCCTGCATTTGGGAACTAAGCTCGTGCTTGCTTTCTTGAATGCGCTTGATGTTATTGTTAAGGAATATATCAATCAAACGCCGAAGTTTGTCAATATTCTCGAGTATGATTTGATCGATCTGAGCATTCATCACATCGTCCTGATCATTCTTACTTATTGCAAGTTCTTTTAAAGCTGTCTCCAAGGATTCTTGAGTGATTTCAAGTTCCATTTCCTTGTCCTTCAACTTTTCATTCAAGTCGCTATCACCAAGTGCATTCAACTTTTTCTCTCTATCAGCCAATTTTTGTTTCATTTCCTCTAATTCCTTCTCGTGTCTCGAAATAAGGGTAGTCATATTCATTGACTGTACTTTACCAGATTGATTTGCTTCTTCTTTGAGAAGGTGCAATTCTGAGCTGAGCTTTTCAATCTCCATATCTTTAGAAGACCTTAATCTGTCTAAATCAAGTCTGGCTCTATCCCGTTCACGAATTAAATCAGCTAACTCAACATTTTTTGATTTGATATCTTTCTCTAGCTTCTCCTTCTTGAGAATAGATTCCTGTGCGCTATTGATCTTTTGCTGAATCTTCTTAAACTTGGATAACAAATTCAAATGCTCCTGGCGCAATTGCGAGTATAGTTTTGCAAGTGACTCGTATTTTTTGGTCCAATTGTTAATTTGCTCCTGTAAGTTGTTATTCAACTCATCTTTTGAAGCCAATTGTTGAGTGGCATTGTTGTTCAAATTGGTCATTTCCGATTCCAAAGATTTGACCCTGTTATCATATTGGGCCAACAACAGCTGGTCGTTATCATACTGGTTCTTGAACATCAAAAGGTCATGTTCGAGTTCCGCAACACGGGATTGCTGCTGTTGGGTCTGTTGCTGTTGCAAATATTGCTGCTCCTCCATAAATCTGCGTTGCTGATCTTGCTGTTGCTGATCGAAGAGTTGTTGTTGCTGTAATTGCGCTTGGAGCTGCTGTTGCCTCTTTAGTTCCAATTCCTGCTGAATTCTCTGTTGCTCTTCTTGTTGCTGGTCAAATATGCCAGTCTGTTGCAAGAAAATCAGATCCACTGGAGGAGGTGGTCCGCGGGGAACTTCAATACTGGCAGTTGGTTGAGAGGACAATTCAGCTGGTGTGTTCGCTTGTGACCTGTCATTTGTTCTATTTCCATTTTCGTCAATTCCAACTAAATCTGGAGGATCGCTCGACAAACGTGGAATAGTAATAAGACTCGTGAGAAATTTTATCGCATGACAGTCCGTGTAAAAGTCTCGCAACATAAAATGCTGCGAGTCAAATCTTTCGTAAAGAACAGTCAAGGCTTCGTCTGCGCCTAATTGCAGATGTAAAGCCCTCAACATAGAGGTACAAAATTTGTAGATTCCGTACGACTCAGCAATCAAAGGAACCAAAGCACTTACCTTGCAAAGATTATTTGGTGTTTGGTGAATTGTGGCGAAGATCAATTTTTGTAGATCATTGATCAGATCTTGGAGATCCATCAATTGTAAAACTGATTCATAGCCTTCGTTCGGGTCGTTCACTGCTCTTAATGAAATGTACTCTTCATATTCAAACATACCATTGAAGCCGGGATTATTGCGATGAAAATCCAATTTTTGAAGTAAGAACTTATCGTATTGGTTAATCAATCGTCCGTAGGCGGTACCCCGGCTGGGAAAAACAGTTGCCAAGGAAGAGAGAAAATCACGATTTCGAAAAGCATCTTTCAAAGTGTTGGGATGGCCCTCTTGTAAGACTTTATGGATCATGATCAACGCCTTGAAAAGCTGAACTTCGTCACTTTGCAATGGCTGAATCTTGACAGCATTCCAAAACGCACGAGAATTCTTATGGTCCCAAGTGTACACGATACAAGCTCGAACATGCTTTCGCTTAGGTGGAACCTCGTCGAGACTACAAGCTTTTTTGACACTTGTCTGTAAGTCGACTTCCGCTCTACTCATTTTAATTGATCGAGTATATTGTGAGGTAATGCTGGAGAAGTCGGTATCGAAAGGGGTGGAGGTGTACTGGGTCACGTGAACAATTTGCACTAACATTGCGGCAGTGTTCAAGTTAAAATGCATAAGCTAGTACAATAGAAGAAGTTGTTAGTGTATGTAGCCTAAATAATCCTCGGCCTAGCTTCTGTTGTACTTAGCCTTACCAAAGTCGAAGGGTAAGTATTTATACTTCAACATATGTTGTATCTGCTTCCTCATTGTTAATGTGAAAAGGATAATGAAATACATCAATAATATGGGCCAGAAAACGGGAATATCGAAGATTGTGAAAAAAGAGGTAAGCAATGCCACCACTGTTGCTCTAGTTGCATTATACCAGAATTTAAACTCGGGCAATCGCCTGATAAAGGGTCTAAATTCTTCTTCCTCGTCCTGTTCAGGATTCTCGCCCATTCCCTCTTCTATCGATTCATTTTTCATCTCCTGTTCAAGGGACGGGTCAAACTTGGGGGTGAGGAAAGCCAAGAATAGGTTAAGAAGATAAATACCAAGCGCGTAGCAAACAATGTACCAACCTTGTGTCACTATAATTCTCAAGAAGAAGAGAGCAAGTAGGATACCAAATCCCATCCATCTACGAGATGTAAGAGGGACAGACTTATCCAAATACTCCTGGTATGTGACCCTGAATTTCTGGACTTGAATGTATACTGGACTCTCCAGTACGCTGGTGGGAATTTCAATTGCCATTCTATAGTTGTTTGTACATACGACGTGTCGTGCAATTTTCACTTCAACGAAATGTTTTATATACAGGTCTATTTGTTTTAAGCAGTAGTGAAAAGCTTTACTTTTTTGGCAGCTTCATCGTACACTCTTGTAGCGTTCTTCGGTTTTTGGTCTTCTGAAATCTCAACAATACTATCCAAGGTCCATATTGGTCTCGATTCGGGCAAGAACTGCTTCCTCAATTCTTCTTGCTTTTGCGCATCGAACACCGCCTCTGACTCTATCAAGCTCGCTATTTGCTTTCTCACTTCAGGGGAAAGAGCGACTCCCGAATATTTGTCCTTAAGCTCGTTAAGTATTGACTCTTGTCTTCTGGCTCTTTCTTCGGCATTCAAGGCCTTGCAAACGTTACCTTTAGCATCGACGATGACATTACCGGACAATTTCTCTACTAACGTCGCATAGAGGCTTCTCTTGTCATCTGCCTCTTCTTCAGAAATGTCACCTCTTCTGATCGCAAGATCTATGCTGTAATTGTAGTCAAATGTTGTATGTGCTTCTGCATCCAACGATTTGACTTTGCTAGCAGTAACAAGCTGAGCGACGTTGAGCATTCTCTCTTTGGCCATTACCATCTCATCCTCATTCAACTCAACCAAGGAGCGTAATGCCTGTTCGATTTTCTTGCTTTCTTCTTCAAGTCGTCTCTCTTTCGCTGCTTTTAAGCTGGCAAGTTCGTCCTGCTGGAGAAATTCTTTCCTGGACATATGCGATTCCTCTTTTGCAGCTTCTTGTGGATCTAATAGCTCCACGTATCCAAATCTTCTCACTCTAGGCGAAAAATGAGGCGTGGGCAAAGGTAACTCTTTTTTCAAAGATACACCAACATATTTTCTTAAAGGATGAAATGGATCGTGATAAAATTTGACATAACCAGGCTCCTTCGCAAAAATTGTGTGATCCTTTCCTATATCGACATTTTCGCCTGGGTGAATCTTGGTACCTCTTTGCCTCATTATGATCTGCCCTGGCTTGACAAAATGTCCTTCGTATGCTTTCGGTCCCAACCTACGACCAGCGGAGTCATTCTTGTTAGTTTTAGAACCTGATACACGTTTGGTTGCAGTTCTCACTTGTGTGAAAATTAATGGTCCTTGGCCGGGTGTTCTAACACCTAGTATGCCTCCAGCGGACCTAACTGCAACTCTGAAGCCAGCAAGATTCATCACTGAGAGTATCGTGGTTTTCGAAAAAAATGCGAGGATTCGAAGTACTGCATATACTATATCTGCGTAAATTTGAGAACGGTACGATCATGGCATTTCACTGCATCTTAAAGAGAAATAACTCAGGGAGATGAGCTGCATGGTAGTTATGCTGTTGTTAGATCGAATCCAGGCATAGAAGAGTCCAAAAAAATGCGCAAACCCGGAATCGAACCGGGGGCCCATCGATGGCAACGATGGATTTTACCACTAAACCATTTGCGCGTTAAATGCTCCGAGACGGGGAATTGAACCCCGGTCTACCACGCGACAAGCGGTAATTCTAGCCACTAAACTATCTCGGATTATTGATTAAAGAACACTCCGGTTGTTTATATACGATGATCTGTGTTTCTATTTTGGGATATTTTGAAATTTTGCATATATAAGAAATCTTCTGGTTAGGTGTAATCTGGGTCAACAAAAGTGACCTGCTATACTAAAATAGTTGAATTGACCTTTTAGTCTCCAAGTGGAAAGAGCATAGCCCCAATGCTGAATCTTGTTCCGAAGGAACCGTTAAACGAGACGGAGATACGTCTAATCGCAACCGAACACAAAATCGGTTAAGTCGGTATTACAGCCGTACGGCCTAATTATTACAGGATCCCGCACACCATGCAGTACGTTCGGAGATTCGGCTCTTAATTTTGACGGACTTTCCGGAGCAAGTTGCAGATCGATTTGTTAATCCTTGCAGCTAAATTCAAATTCATGTAGTTAACCATGTAGGAATGCCTCGGAATGTGTAGTGGCTTTATATTAAACTTAGTCTCCTATCAAGTTTTGACACCATTGAAAACGTATCCTATCACCATCATTTGCTAGTATACACGAAGGCAAAGTAGGGCAAAGACGTAATTTGATATCTTAGTCTTCGTGAACGTACTAAAATTAAAATTTCAATCAGCTGCATGAATTGGCGAATGCAATAAACGATAAAACAGCCGATGTAAAATACCCCGTTTTTGTATAATATACAACATGCAAGCGATGAAAACAATCAACTCATTGATGACGGACTTCTCTTCTGGGTGTGAGATCTTGGTGGCTTATTTTGATTATCGCGTAATGAAAATACTACGATCAACGACTTATAGCTTGTAGTTATGGATTATCGGTTAGTAGCCAAGTGTGCTGTCAATTCTTCTTGGCGACCCTTATTCAGCCGTACGCATATTGTGCTAGGTGCAACACTCATCTCCTTCGGCCGAAGGTCGGCAGGGCATCGGCTGCCCTTGCGGCTGCGGCTACTATTTTTTCCGCATATGACATTCTAATAACAAGAAAAAAAAAAAAAGGAAATTTATTATTCAGCGCGGGGCCATTACTATAAGTACAAATTGGTTGCTCCCACTTGCAATCCTTACTTCATAAATTTTACTTTGAAGCCAAACTGTCTTTAATACCCATTGCATATGTCAGAAGTAATAGGGAAGGATTCTCCACAGAGGATCGACTCGGACACGAATTCCAGCACTTACCATGAAGGTAGTGGATACCCTAAGGAGCATATAGACGATAATGAGAGCGATGGCAATATTCCAAAAGACTTTGTAGGCCAGGACCTCGAAAGAAGTGGTGAAAGTGAATACGAAATGGCTAGATACGAAACCGACGCGACTGCTTCTCGTACGGTCAGCAGAAGAATGACGGGAGGAGATCAATTATTAGAGGAAGCCGCAAAATCATCAGAACCATTGCCAACGATGGGAGGCGGAAGAGATTACCCCCCTCCATTGGCAGATCGTTCACCATATGCTGTATCTTATGAGGGACCTGATGACCCAGAATTCCCCCAGAATTGGCCGGTATGGAAGAAAGTGATGATTTCCGGCACGGTCGGTCTTTGTGCGTTATCCATCTCCATGGGTTCGGCTATGTTTGCAGAAGCTGGCCCGGTAGTACTGGAAATATATCATGTTGGAAATACTGTTGCCACTCTTGGAACATCTTTGTTCGTCTTTGGATTTGCTTCTGGACCTGTGATATGGGGTCCTTTATCTGAATTATACGGCAGAAAACCAGTGATGGTATGTTCCTGCTTTGGTTATATGCTCTTCTGTTTTGCAGTTGCAACCGCCAAGGATATCCAGACTATCATGATCTGTAGATTCTTTGGAGGATTCATCGGTGCAGCACCGCTCGTGGTTGCGCCAGCTGCTATGTCTGATATGTTCGGAGCTGCTACAAGAGGTGAAGCAATGACAATTTTCGCCATGGTTTTGTTCGGTGGCCCCATGTTAGCCCCAATTCTTGGAGGTTTCATAGTCAAGAACCCCGGATTGGGCTGGAGATGGACATCATATTTCACAGGGTTAATCGCCGCATTGGGATTATTTTGCGTGGTGTTCTTCATGGAAGAGTCTCATCATCCTTTGATTTTGGTGAGAAAAGCAGAAGTCTTGAGACGTCGTACAGGTAATTGGGGTATTCATGCTCCTCATGAAGAATTCAGCTTAAGTATCAAGGAAATTGTGGAGAAAAATATCAGCAGACCATTGGTGATGTTGTTCACAGAACCAATCTTGTTCTTGATCACACTTTATAATGCTTTCATCTATGGTATTTTGTACCTTATGTTGACAGCTATACCCTTAATTTTCATCGGAAAGTATCATTTCATACAAGGTGTCGGTGAGTTGCCATATTTATCGATGTTGATTGGAGTTTTTGTCGGAGGTTTTATTGCAATCTTCTTCGAAAGACGTTTCGCCAGAATCATGAAGGCCAACAACAACAGGCCCATCCCAGAAGAGAGACTTCCTCCTATGATGGTTGGATCATTTTTCTTCGCCGGTGGCTTGTTCTGGCTCGGATGGGCTGGTGACTACGCTGATAGAGTCCACTGGATAGTACCTACTATAGGTGCTTCCTTTATCGGATGTGGTTTGATCATGATCTTCTTGCCATGTCTTAATTACATCATTGATTGTTACCTTTTGTTTGCGGCATCGGCACTTGCTGGAAATGCATTCCTTCGTTCAGCATTTGGAGCAGCCTTCCCACTTTTTGCCCGTCAAATGTTTGTTAACATGCAAATCAAATGGGCTGCAACCTTGTTGGGTTGTTTCTCCCTCGTCTTGATTCCTGTTCCTTTCTTGTTTTACAGGTATGGTAAGGCAATCAGAGAGAAATCAAAATACGCTTTCGTTTTATAAAGTGTCAATAAAAGCTCACAAATAGTACACTTATGAGTAAAATAATAATTCAGTTAAATAGCACACCTATGAATAAACTAATAATTTCACCGTTACAGTAGTTCTATTCATGATTCTGATGCAGTGCTGCAGTTGCGAAAATTTCCACTTTGATTTCACCGGTAAATGAATTCGTTTAGGCCATTTTCATCCAGTAGTAGAATACTTGCGAAGAAGGCCAGCGAACTGGCCAAGAAGGCACTCTTGGGGAGGCAAAGTAATAAACTTACTGCCGGGGTAGTGGGGCTAGCAAATGTAGGTAAGAGTACATTCTTTCAAGCCATAACTCGAACACTGCTTGGAAATCCGGCAAATTACCCGTTTGCTACAATTGATACCGAAGAATCTCAAGTAGTGGTGAAATCTCCTATATTGGACCACTACTTGCAATTGTTTCAGTCTCAAAAAAAAATTTCCTCGACATTAACCATCTATGATATAGCGGGTTTGACGCGAGATGCATCAAGTGGAAAAGGTATGGGTAATAAATTCTTGAGCGAGATAAGGCTGGTGGATGGAATATTTCATATGGTTCGAGGGTTCATAGACGACGAGATCATTCACATCGAGGAAAATAAGGTTGACCCATTGAGGGACATTGAGATTGTCAATGATGAGCTCATTCTTAAGGATTTGGAGTACTTGGAGAGTGCAATAGAGCAGACAGAAAAACTATTAAAGAAACCACACAGCAATGTTTCGAAGGTGCAATTTGCACTTGATACTTTACTAAAAGCGCAGGATTTGTTATACAATGCGAAGAAGATTTCCGTCGAGAATTGGAGTGATGAGGAAATTGAAGTCTTGAACTCGGTCAATCTCCTCACGGCGAAACCGATGGTGTATTTGCTCAATGTCAGCGAAAATGACTTGAGATCTGGAACCAACGAATTCCAGCCAGGGATCGAAAAATGGATCCGCGAGACCTGTCCCAAAGACAAGCTATTGGTATTTTCAGCCAGTTTCGAATCCAAGATAGCCAGAGGTGAAGAAAGCGAAGAATCAAGCAGCCTTGGCGCAGTAGTTCAGGCTATGCGAGAGTCGCTTAATCTCATTTCGTTCTATACATGTGGCCCCAAGGAAGTTAGGCAATGGACTGTACGGAAAAACACAATAATACCCGACGCTGCTGGAGTCATACACACGGACTTGAAGACTACATTTATAACGGCCCAAGTGTACAAGTATGACGACCTTAGACTCGAGGAGGCTCCGTTAAATGAAAGCAAGTTGAAAGCCAGTGGCAAACAACTACGCGTCGGAAAATCCTATGTGGTTGAAGACGGCGATGTTTTGTTAATCAAAGCTGCAAAAGGAAATAATAGGTGAGTTGCTCCAGTGAAGACAATAAGACGAATGAAACAATAAGTTCAACAACACATTGTATATAATTGGAACTATTGCCCATGTGTCAAACAATGTTGTGATCACAATACAGAACAAGTCCTACAAAGATTTCCCATCCTTCTTTATGACACAGCTGTCAGCGGCGCTATCATGCATGGCAAGAGCCGCGCTGCGCCAATTCATCCTAGGTGAGATGAATTACATAAGTTTTACAGCGTATTTCTCAGAATCTTCAGGGGTATTTCACATCACAAAAGTCAACGCTCGTTTAAGCTTATCTATAGTAGGAAGTTTGTTCTCGCACGAGCGCATCAAACTGCGTTACCACAACTAGGCTTCCCCACTTTAGAAAACGACACAAAACACTTATATCATCCGGTGGCTTTGCATGAATGTTCAGAACTTTATCTGGTAGGTACTCATTTACGACATCATCGAATACAAGTTTAGTGTCAAATAAATCTACCAGGGGATCTATACCTATGATTCTGTCGGTATACAACTACTTCTTCTCTGGAACCGACCAGAATGTGCGTCCATTCTCTACAAACAACCCTATCATGTCTTCGGACGTGACGGACCTGTTCCATCCACGGTTGAAGACTATCTTCCAACAACTAGATTCGTTGGCACCCCGATTTGTTTTGAACTCAGGCGATATCCAAATCTTGACACATCCCCATGTTTTTTATTCAACTTTAAAAGATAAGATTCTTGCGGCAAAGACGCGAGTCTACTTGAGCTCTCTATACATCGGTAAGACGCAGCATGAGCTCGTGGACTGCTTAGACGAGGCTCTCACCAAAAACGAAGAACTTAAAGTGTACCTACTCACGGACGTACTTCGTGGCACACGTGAGGCACCGAACGGTCCTTGCTCAGCATCTCTTTTGGTACCCCTTGTTCAAAAACATGGGAAGCACAGAGTCGACATCAGGATGTATCATACTCCACATTTGAACGGAATACGCCGATCGGTCACACCCAAGCGAGTCAACGAAATGCATGGCCTCCAACACATGAAATTGTATGGATTCGATGACGAAATTATGTTAAGTGGTGCCAACTTATCTGAAGACTATTTCACCGACAGACAAGACAGATACTATCTCTTTCGCAGCAAGCCACTCTCAGATTACTACTTTGACATACACTCCGCGGTGGCTTCCTTGTCGTATCAGATATTAGAATCAAAAGAGAAGCAAGGATTCAGATTGAACTGGCCAACATCAAATGCCAGTTGTGAACCACACATGAACCATCAACGTTTCATAAGCGACTCCTCCTTCCTTCTTGAGCCACTCCTTAAACAGCATAAGCTCAAATCATTTGAGCAATTCAATGATACAGATAATTTTGATACTATAGTGTATCCAGTATCACAGTTTACACCTTTGATGCAACCCAATTTTGACCCTTCAACGGAAAAGCCTGTTATCCTCAGACTCTTATCATACTTGGATTCACCCAACGTCAAATGGTGGTTTACTGCGGGGTATTTTAACATGTACCCTCAAATTCAAGAAAGACTTTTAAATGGTTTAGCAAAGGGAACGGTCATAACTGCAGCCCCACAGGCAAATTCATTTTACAAGTCGGCAGGTTTTTCATATTATATTCCTGAAGCATATCTTTTGTTTGCCAAGAGATTTTTGGAAGAAGTGACGAAAAGAGGTAAACAGGAGCTTATTAAGTTATACGAGTGGAAGAACGGTGTAGTAAACACTCCAGGTGGGTGGTCATATCACGCGAAAGGGTTATGGATAACAGTTCCTGAGGACCCAAAGCCCTCGATCACCATTATAGGCTCCTCCAATTACACAAAGAGAGCTTACCTGTTAGACCTCGAGAGCAATGCCGTTATTATAACGAAAGATGAAAAGCTCAAGCAGCAAATGAGTGACGAGGTGGCCAATTTAATGAAATTTGCTGAGCCCTTGGAACTTGACGATTTTAAGCCGAAACCGAAGGCTATATCAGTAGCAGGAGATGGTGCTGAACCCAGAAACGAGGAAGAAGGGGAAGGCAGACGCATTAGTTATGCTGCACACCTTGCGGTTAAGGTACTTGGTGGAAAGTTTTGATCCCGATGTATGTTATCTATATAATTAGTCCCTGTTCTAACGTCTTTCATACTTCGATTTGATGACGGTAGGCAACAGCCCCATTTTGGAGTATACAATGTGTTGATAACCCATGATTCCAATAGCGATCAAATGTAAAGGTAGTGTAATCCATGGGCCAAAATTGACAGGGATTTTGTTCCAAGATGGTGTTGAGCTCTGGGCCTGAATGAACTTTGAGATTGCAAAAAATAATACCTGGCTACAGGTGAAACAAAAATAGCCTCTAGAGAGCCCTGTTGACTTCAGCTCGAACCATTGGAGAGATAATTGCGGCATTAACTCAAGACTCGAGAATATGACCTTTAAGCTCCACACATAATCTAAGCAATCTAGAAAGTTGAGGGTGGCCCGTTGATAATGAGCGTAATATGCTAGAGCAACATACATGACAAAAGCTACCAGTAAGTAAAATTTTATGGTGCCACTGAGACTTTGGTTTCTGCTTCTTGTGTGTGGGTATAACATGTACATCTGGTAATGGATGCAAATTAACACAATAACGGACATTACATCGCATGTGAGAACTGGCAATGAGACGGAAGGTAAGGGATAAAGGGGATATCTCAGTCTGAAAAGATCAATTGCCGTTCTGCCTTTATATGTAAAAGCTGTACCCATGTTAAGTGCTCTTGCTAATAAGGATAATAAGATAAAGTCACACGATAGTCCATTTACAGATCCCCGGCGTTTATTATACCGCAATTGAGCAGTAAGGGAAAGCACATTAAACATTGAGCTTATGCCCATCCCAACTTCCATTCTTACATTCGTCTTGGTATATCAACCCACGGGTGCTACGGATAAACTTAACCGGGTGCAAATAAGCCACAGGTGTGCATACTACACTGGTGCGACCAGATCGTGCGTTGAGCTGCTTTGCATTGAGATACACCATTTGCAACATGCTGGAGACCGATGGGCAGTGGGATATTATAGTCTCAGCTCTTCAAGATATCAGCAACGCAAATCTGTCCAACCCACTAGATAACGTCTATGGTGATAAGGTATCTGGCTCTGCATTAGATGGGATGACACCCGACGAACTAGAACAACTTAAACAAGAAGTTATCGAACATAAAGCCAATGTTGCTGTTGTAAAGCGATTTATAGACACATGCAAGGAAAACCTTGGAATGCTCATCGAGTCGCAGCAGACTGCTAAGAAGGTTGCGTCACCTGAAAAAGAGGTTGTCAACAGAAAGAGTCTGAAAATGAATGGAAAGCAAACAAAGCGTCCAAGACACGGACGACTGTTCTGGACTTCGAAGTATAATCCCCTGGAACCAATAGTAGTGGGGCTGGAGATCGCTTACAAGCTTAGAAATCGCCATTTTGAGGAGTGGATACAATGTGAGGTTGTTCGCGTAATAGGAGATGGTACGAAGTTCGAAATTCGAGATCCAGAACCGGACGAAAACAACAACTTGAGTGAGACGTTTAAAGCAAGCTACAAGGAAATATTATTAATACCGGCAGAGGAAGTTACGTCCGAGTTGCTGAATTATCCAGCGAGCACAAAAGTGTTAGCTCGTTACCCAGAGACTACGACGTTCTATCCAGCTGTGGTTGTTGGACACAGAAGAGACGGAACTGTAAGATTAAAATTTGATGGAGAAGAGGAAGTGAACAAGGAAACAGAGGTGGAGAGAAGACTCGTGTTGCCTCTACCGGAAAAATAACCACAAGAGCATACCAAATGCTCACATGCAAAACGGGAATCATCGTTGTGACATGTCTGTACGAATAACTGTAATTATAGCTCACTAGCCACCAGTAACTCCTAATGTTATCAATGCCATAGTTTTGAACAAAAGACCCATACACCCGAAAATTTATCGCCGAAGTTCAACGCCGTAGTTTGTATATCGAATTGTTCAACATGGACGAAATGGACATCGATGACTATTCAAGAGTATGTTTCGCCTCAAAGCTAGATGGTTAAATTGTGGCCGGTGTAGGATGGAATTTTCAGTTTGGAGGGCTCGTTGCTGGTCAGGTGATGAAGCTGGGTCGACTAATACTATCTCACAAGCCCATTTTGATCATTGGCAATTTTCTTTTACACACATGCTAATATCAGGATCGCTCTAGATCTCCTGTCAGGGACAGATCAAGATCTCCAACTGGACGTGATGAGAGTCGCAGCCACCGTGGTGGTCGTGGAGATCGTGGTGGACGCAGAGAAAGGTTCAGAGGTGCTCGTGGCGGAAGCAACAGGGACTTTTCCCGGAGTGAGCTGAACGGTTCCCCTGATGTAGGTGATCGCAATTATGAGAACTCTATATTCATAGGTAACGTGCCATTTGAATCTACATCCCAGGATATTCGGAATCTCTTCGCAGACTATAATGTGGTTCGTGCCGATATAGTCACTAGTAGAGGAAGAAGCAGAGGAATGGCCACCGTTGAGTTTGGGTCCAAGGAAGATACCAAGAGGGCGATCTCCCAATTTGACCATCATGAACTTCAAGGAAGGGAGATTTTTGTGAGACAAGATTACCCTCCCCCAGACAAAAAGAGAGAGAGGGAGGAACGCAGACCAAGAGAACGGAGAGACCGCCCAGAAAGAGAACGTCCTGGCGCAGGTGCACCTCCAGGTCAATCAGGGCCCGAAGTGTTTGTAGGAAACTTGCCATTCTCTGTGTCTTGGCAAAATCTTAAGGACTTGATGAGAGAAGCTGGTAACGTCATCAGAGCGGACGTCAAGACTGACAGCTGGGGAAAATCTCGAGGCTTTGGTACGGTTATCTTTAGTACCGAGGAGGAGGCCGCATATGCAATTGAAAAGTTCCAAGGGTACGACATGGGCGGCAGAAGAATTGATCTCCGTCCAGGTAGGGGAGACAATCGACCTCCACCTCCTGCGGCTGAGGAGAGAAGGATTACTGGCCAAAACACTGAATTTACTAGAAACGTTGTTGGAAACGGAGAGCGCAGTAACACCATTTTCGCAACCAACTTGCCTTTCGTGACAAATGTTGACGACTTGTACGAGCTTTTCGAGACAATTGGCAAGGTCACAAGAGCAGAGATTCAATTTGATAACAGGGGAAGACCCAGTGGAAATGCTGTTGTCCAATTCGACCTGGAGGAATTTGCCGAGCTTGCAATCACCAACTTGAACAACTACAACTACGGAGGTAGAGAATTGGGAATTTCATTCTCACAAAAAGTAGAGGCCGCTGAATAAGCCTCATATGCCCAAGTATGTAATTAATTAGTTACAATGAAGCAACAACTTCTAAAACCTTATTGAAGCACCACACTTCTAAACTTAATTACATAGCCCATGTGCTCTACAGAGGCACGAACATACCGGCTCGGCAAACGGAGTGCATATAATTCAGATTGGAAATTAGGAGCCAAACCCCATACTCCTGTCATATACCGTAGCCTGTCATGCCCCAGCAGAGCCTTACTGACGATGGTAAAAATAAGGGTGAGCACCAGTCTTACTACAACTATACGAAAAAACATGTCAATGCTCGCAACCTGATTGTAGTAATATTAATTATCGCAGCCATTTTAGTTTTCCATTTCCGCCACCGTATTGCAGCAGCCCACGATCGCTGGCGGACACGGCGAAGAATGGGATACGTGAACCTTGACCTGAGTTTCCAGGATGATTTGGAGGGCGGTTTGAATAGCGAGTCATTCGATATTAGAAGCAATATCGATAGTGAGGATTCTAGAAAGGGACTTCTGGAGGAAGGGAAGCGCGAGATTAAGAGGATAATGAACGAGAGAGGTATAACATTTGACGAAGCAAGACTAGAGTACACGAGGTCGCGTTTAGCGGAGAATAATATCGATGCCGATGGCATGCCCTTGGACCCTAAAACGGTTACGTTTGGCAGATAGACCCATGCACCATATTTGTTTACTTTTTGGTATGTGCCGTCCCAAACTGGAAGAACGAAGACTTATCTTTTAGGACATTAAATTGGCTGAGCATCACTATCGCCCGAACGAGTGGTACAGGACCATACAATGTCGATGAATGAGTACTGGGACACGTCAGTGTTTCCGCTGCTCACAGATAATGCCACAAAAGATACTCACACTCTTTCAAATGAATGGCCCCAAATGATTTCTGGGTCATTAGTGTTCTGTGGGTACGATCCCAAAGTTTTCGGAGAGCTCATTATTATAGTAAAGGAACATAAAAAGCGTAAAGAAATAAGCACCGCATCCATCACTAGGTTTGGAACGTCCTATTACCCTAATTTGATGGTAGATGCCAGATCAAGATTCTGGCCTGCTTGCGAGAACCTATTGCCACAAGATCGAAAAATACCTATACGCCGGGCCCTAGCTATAACTGCCTTGAAGAACTACAGCAAGCTCATCAACAATAACAATTTGGTAGATGATGAAGTATCATCACATCCGTGGGACGAAACTGATGCAGGCAACCTCGCCTCTGACATGAAGCAGATAACGGACTCTTCCTCGGTTGAATTTGGACAATTCTTTATTGAAAGAGGTGTTCTTCAAAACCAATCAATTCATTCGTATATGATCGATGTTCTCTATGATAATCAATCTGTTTCGCAACCTCACGCAGCTGAACAAAACAACAAGCTTATATCAACCTTAGGAGAACAACTCGATCAGATTTTTGACCCATTGCTAGAATATTCGCCCGAAGAAGTCGATATTGCATACTCACCTCCTTCTATTAATGATTTCAGATATCCCTATGGCTACAATCACCCAAATATAGTTTCGGTTGTCGATGAGTTGCTTGAAGTTCAGCAGAACTTTTCCCTGAGATTGGTGAAATTGCTTCAAGACCTCATTATCCCATTGAGAATCCACGTACTTTCGGCTGCCGCAGAAATAGGCATTCAAAAAATCAACCGAGTGTTTCCACCTACTATTGATGAAGTGACCCGAATCAATTGCATCTTACAAGACTCATTACAAAAGGCTGCTCCTTTTGGATATGTTGAAATAATCAAAGTGCTTGGCATTACCATCCCTTACTTCTATAAGGCATTAATCCGTCACGAAGCAAACATGAAGAACTTTCTGCAGAGATTTAACAAATTCTACGAAAAGAATCGAGAAGTTGTGTTTGAGAATCGAATAATCAATAAAGGTAGCTATACTCTTCGTGAGGTCGATGCGATTGTCTCGGGCTCGCTTGTGCAATTGCCGAGACTCAAGTTAATTATCAAGAGACTTCATGGAGTCATAATCGAAGAAAGAATGAAGAGCCTTAATTTTGAAAACGATTCATCCGACGAAATGGTTCAAATCGAATACTACTTGGAGAATGCCTTAAAGGTTATCGATGCATTTGGCCTGCAAGAAGATACTTCCATGAACGTCGACATTTCGCAGAGAATATTTACTCCCACTGGAAAGATATTAACTGAGCTAGCCTCAGAATGGCCCGCAGAACTACAATATGGCTGGCTTTCACGTAAAGTTGTTGGTATATTCGAATTGAAAAACGTCGAGCCGACGAACCCTTCGTTCTTTATTGATGTGTTGGTCATTTTCTCCGACAAAATATTAGTGCTCACCGTCACTGATGAAACATACTACGATACTTCAAGCCCAGGAAAACACATGAGGGTCTCTGATATTTTGTTGCATTCTTTAGTCAATGGCAAACCATTACCGGATCATACGTCAATTGCGTCAATGCGAGTATCTTCATGGTGTGATATCAACGAGATATACACAAGCTCTTACTCAATAGTACATGACAAAGAGACGAGACACTTCTTGCAATTGACAGGGTTTGATAATGAGAAGTTTGGAAATAATGCGGATAAAGATAGTTCAAGCATATGCAATTTCGAACTCTTTGACCGTACTTCCACCGTCCAGGAGATCACTGATCTTATCAACAAGTCCAAAATCTTGCACAAAAATCAACCTTTCCACCTTTTTCGATCATCTGGGAGATCTAGAGCTTATCTCACGGCACATGAAGTGAGCGCTTACCATCAGGAGCGCTGTAGATCCCCCATCGCAGTTGCATTGAACACGAATTTTGAGGACATAGAATCAATGTTTCTGAACTTTTCGAATATCACCTTGCTATTTCACTTTTACTTCACCGACATTGAGAACGAGAACGTCGCCGTCGAGATGTACTTGAAGAACTCAAACATCCATATTCTGGAGAGAGTTCATATCAACAACCTTTCAAGTACATTTTATGACTTGATTGGAGCAAACTTTCTGCAAGTCATCAACTACTCCCTGTTGCGTGTTTGTCAATCTAAATTAGCTGAAATGGTTACTTCATATAGAAGCCTGTTTCTCGATGATGAGATCTTCAGATTCATTCAAGAAGAAAGCGATAAAAGGCACAGAGAAACGAAAGAAAGAGAACCAAAATCGATCGCGAGAAAAGAGCAGCCACCTCCCATTGACAAGTCTTTAGTCACGAACAAGCAAGAACTGCAGCGAAAAAGAGGTTTCTTTGCGAGACTCTTTGGACGCCATAAAAAAGGAAAGCCCTCTAAGGGTGAGGCTGAGAATATACCGCAAACGACAGAGATGAAGAGCGAACCACAGGGTGTCAAAGTCGAATACAAGCACTTGCTTGTGCCCTCACCTACACTTCATAAACTTGATGACTCAAAAATTCCTATTGTTGGCAAAGAAAGACAAGAACTGGAACATTTGCCGACAGTTGAGCAGGAAGCGGAATGGCGTCATGAAGTTACGAAGGATGAGCCAGCCCCGGAGGCAGACTCATATGACATGAACTCGTCTTTCCGATTTCCACACTATACACCATCGAGTCAGCATACAACATTTATACTTGACAAGGATAGTACATTTGATGCACCCCCAAGAAGCAAGATGGTAACATCTATATCACACTCTGTTTCACAAGAAAAGATTGATGAATTGAAGGAAAACCCCCAATTTGCAGAATTTCTTAGAACTTTCCTATACAAGGATGGTGAAAACAACTGGACTACTATAACTAAATGGGAGCTGGGTCAGCTAAATAAAGAGATCAGTACGCTCAAGCAACTAACCACAATGGATTCTCAAGACGTTATCGAGATTGATTCTCGTGACTCTAGTTACAGCGATACGAGCTTGAGAGAAGCCATAACAGAGAAGTATGAGGACGTCTCATATGGTCTCCCAAAGAAGTTCACACCCGAGAAAGTGACGATTGCGAGGGACTTATCGACTCGATCAGTCACGCCATCCGTTGCTGCGTATGAACTTGGAAAAGCTATGGACTTCAACTTCTCTACTCAGAGTGTGGGCCATAGTTCAGAGGATGAGTATTTTTCAACAGAAGAAAACATACAGACTAAGTTTAAGCATGACCAAAGGACCCCTGACAGCGCTTGCTTCAGCGATGACACAATAGTTATCGATTCCATTCACACCAAGCTTTACGAGGCTGAGCCTATTATAAGTGATGAGAAACAACAAGAAGTTGTCCAGAGCGGCAACCCTATGACCAGGGAAGCTTCATTCTATTTGGGGAATTTTGAGTCGATGGCTTACTTGTCCAAGTTTATGTCAAATACCTGAAGAGCGAATCGTCTATATATAAACCATAACTTCTTATTCTGTATACTATAATAGCTATGCTTGGGATTTGAGAATTTTGGAAACTTCTTGGGCAACCGCATCACCCACTTCAGTCGTCGAACTTGTTCCCTTCAAGTCACGCGTTCTAATACCAGCATCTATAACCTTACCAACGGCCTGTTCCAAAGCCTCGGCTTCTTTGACAGCATCCAAGGACAAACGCAACATCATAGCGACTGACAAAATAGTAGCAACAGGGTTCACCTTGTTCTCATCAAGGTCAGGTGCAGATCCATGACATGGTTCGTAAAGTCCAAACGCAGAATTTGTGTCTGGAAGAGAGGCCAATGAAGCAGAAGGTAAGAGTCCAAGAGAGCCTGGGATGACAGAAGCTTCATCAGAAATAATATCACCGAACATATTTGATGTGATGATGATACCGTTCAATTTTGAAGGTGATTGAATGAGAATCATGGCTGCGGAATCAATCAATTGGTGTTGTACTTTGAGGGTTGGGAACTCTTCCAGAATAACCTTGTCTACTGTCTTTCTCCATAATCTCGAAGAAGCAAGAACATTCGCCTTGTCCAACGACCAAATTGGAAGTGGAGGATTATGCTGGAGAGCCATGAATGCCGCCATTCTTGTAATACGAGTCACCTCAGATACAGAATACTTCTCCGTGTCCCATGCACTTTGCTTGTCCTCAGATTCTTCTTGTTCTTGACGCTCCCCAAAGTAGATTCCACCTACCAATTCACGGACCACAGTAAAATTAGTACCTTCCACCCTATCGGCTCTCAATGGCGAAAGTTCCAAAAGACTCTTGGACACGAAGTTGCAGGGTCTCAAGTTGGCGTACAAATTCAATTCCTTACGGATCTTCAATAAACCTTGTTCAGGTCTAACTTGACCGGTACCCCATTTTGGACCACCCACGGCACCCAACAACACAGCGTCCGACAGCTTGGCTGCCTCAAGTGATTCGTCCGGCAATGGAACACCGGTAGCGTCAATGGCGGCACCACCAATCAAGTGGTGCTTGTACTCAAACTTGACGTCTTGATGTGGAGTAGAGTTTTGAATCGCATCCAATACCTTAATAGCTTCTTTACAGACCTCTGTACCGACATGGTCTCCAGGTAAAATGGTGATAGTCTTAGTGACAGGTGACTTTTTACTGTTTCCTTGTGATTGTGACATTTTTGTGTGAATGAAATATGACCTTAGGTTCTATGTGTGGTCGAGATCTGTTCACGAATTTCGCCGGTACCGCACGCCGCTTCCGGCGCTCATGGCTACATACAGGACTAATATCTGTTCGGGTGTCATGGATGCTTACTTTTCTGTCAATGATAACTACCAACGGTGGTTGCAAAACTCGGAAAACTTTTGTATGTTAGGTAAAACACACTCAAGTAGGACCACCGCTGCGTCTGGTCGGAGACCTACATGATACAACGAGATATATACATTAGCATAATTACAAAACGAAAGTAACCCTTAGTAAATGTTGCATAAAGAAACAATCGTACACATAATGAGTCTTTGAGTTTAGTGACCGCTCCATTCGATGGTGTTAAGATCAATGCCATCTTGGACCATCTCCCACAATGGGGACATCTTCCTCAAGAATTCGACTCTCAGTTGGATTGCATTGATCACATAGTCAACTTCAGCTTCAGTGGTGAATCTACCAAGGCCAAATCTAATCGAGGAGTGAGCTAAGGCGTCATCTGCGCCAAGAGCGTGAAGAACGTACGAAGGTTCTAATGATGCTGAAGTACAAGCAGAGCCGGAAGACAAAGCAATGTCTTTCAAGGCCATCAATAACGACTCACCTTCCACATAAGCAAAGGAAACATTGACACAGCCAGCGTATTGCTTTGCAGGATCACTTAAACACCCATTGTACTGAGTCTCTGGAATGGATAACAAGCCATCTTTCAATTTGTTCGAAAGTTTATGAATCCAAGCTTGGTCATACTGAAGTTAGTAAAGTTCTAAAAGAGGAAGCTTTGGACCACTATTCAGATCCTTGCATAAAAAAATTCGATCATGCGTGTTACAATAATGCTGCAAACCGGACAAGAGAGTCATTGTAGCAACTTGAAATATCACGCGATCTCACCAGAAATTTCATCCTGACATGTGGTCCAAAGCACGAATAGGCAAACAAAAATACTTACATCCATCTCTTCTTTGATAAGTCTCGCAGCTTCACCAAATCCAGCGACCAATGGGGGAGCCAAGGTACCGGATCTCAATCCTCTTTCTTGTCCACCACCAGTAATAATAGGGATCATTCTAACTCTGGGACGTCTTCTCACATAACATGCTCCAATTCCTTTAGGTCCATAGATCTTGTGGGAAGAAATAGACAACAAGTCAATGTTCATGTCGTTCACATCAATAGGTATCTTACCGAAGGCTTGTGCAGCGTCGGTGTGAAAGAAGACTTTGTTCTCCCTACAGATTTTACCAATTTCCTTCAAAGGTTGAATGACACCAATCTCGTTATTGACAGCCATTATTGAAACCAAAACGGTATCCTTACGAATAGCATTCTTCAAGTCATCCAAAGATATCAAACCTTCTTGGTTCACAGGCAAGTATGTGACATCAAATCCCTCATCTTGCATGTGTCTGGCAGAGTCCAACACACACTTATGTTCGGTTTGGGTAGTGATAATGTGCTTCTTTGCCTTGCTGTAGAACCGAGGAACACCTTTGACAGCCATATTGTTGGATTCGGTTGCCCCCGAGGTGAAAATGATTTCCTTTGCATCCGCATTAATCACGTCCGCAATGTGACCACGAGCGATCTCCACCTCCTTGTCGGTTTCCCAACCATAGGCATGCGTAGATGAGTGCGGGTTTCCGTATAATCCGGTGTAAAACTGCAACATCTTGTCAAGCACTCTTGGATCTGTTGGGGTAGTAGCCTGAACATCCAAGTAGATCGGTCTGGTCCCGTACAAAGAATCATCACGAGTAGCGTTCTTCAAAGAGATACTCAGACCTTCGGGTGGTTGGACACTTGATGTTTCTATTTGGGTCTTATGGTGTAACTCACCATCCATAGTTGCAAGGCCTCTGAAAGAAAGGCGCTGGCATGTCGCAGCCGACAACGCAAGCAATCTCGATCTTCCTTGGGCTCTGAATGAGCGAATAAGAGGACTGGCCATTATCTTAAAGATCAAAAAGTAGAGAGTGAGGAGAAATTCAAGGTGTTAGCAGCTTCACATGCAGGATCCGATGACAAACGTGTTCTGCATCCAACCTGTCTTCTATATGCCGTACTCCTTTGCAAACCAAAAATTGTAAGGTTTTGGTTGATTATACCATGAACGCTCCCGACAGATTTGAGTTGTTTATTTTGCCCGAGGGGGTGGATAAGTATGTTCTTTGCTATGTTTTTCACAAGGAAACCAACTAACGCAGAATCAAGATCACTCCCGACACAAAAGTACCGAATGCTGCGTTGATAAAAATCGAAAGAGAAGACCACACTCTCGCCAATTTGCTCCGAGCTCAACTTCTCAAAGACGAAAGAGTATTATTCGCCGCTTACAAGGTGGAGCATCCGCTTTTTGCCAATTTTATTCTCCGGATTCAAACCGAGGAAGATTATTCTCCACGAGATGCATTGAGAAACGCATGTTCAGGACTCATTAGTGAGTTGGATTTAATGAAAACTCGATTCAAGGACGAATGGGCACTCAAGTCTTTGTTGAGCAACGACGACGATTATTGAATGGTGTAAAAATGTTATAATACTGTCTATAACTGCGCTGGTTGACTGGCCGTGTACAATATAATGAGTGAAAGAGAATGTAGAAAGAGGCAGTTTGGTGCTAAGTGGCAAGAGACAAGGCTAAAGTTAGTAATACCTTCTTGAAGAAGTTAGTGGTAGTTTTCTGAGAAGTTAGAGAAACAACTACCAGAGTTAGTGCAATGAACTATATCACTCTCTGCTTTCACATTCTTCTTTCTCTGCTTTCACCCCTTTATTGCTTCGTATCATGCATTCATGCTATCTATAAACCTACTCCTTGAGGGCCTTTCTTTTAATGGCATCCCGAATTGTGGCTATCTTCTCCAAGCTGTCGGGCATATCGGACGATGGAAAGTAGCCCTGCTTCAACACCAAGATCAATGGATGCGTCTGCGTCACTCTGTTAGGAGATATGTGAGTAATGGCAAGTCCCAACTTGGAAATACACACCTTGTGATGGTCCTTGAAGTTGAACTGGAAATTTCCATTCGTCATCTCGAACATTATATAGTCCGGTGTTCTGGTATATCTGCGGAGAAACACCGTTTCTTTCCTCTCCTCGTTGTCGCTCACCTTGGATAAGTTGCTGTTCATATACTTGGCGAAAAAGTCGACGATCTCAAGGGATCTTTTGGCTTGGCTTGGTGGATGGCTAACCGAGTTTTCAATACATGTCCACCCTTCATTTTCATGAAATATCAACTCGAGAAACCGGTCCGAGTTATGCAGCTTTAAGAACGTATTGCCGTCGTTGAACAATACTCCAATATCATCGTTGTTCATTTGGTATGAAAACCCGTACTTGTTGGAATAGTCGACCCACTTACTAATAAGACATGGATTTTCACAGCTAGGAAGCTCTACAGTTTCCAATCTCTCATGCTTCGAGTACTCCAACCGTCTCATGTTCTGGTAAGTTTCGAAACAAATCTGATCGAGTCTTTTAATGGTGGTTGCAAATTTCGAGTTGAATGTCACCTTTCTTGGTCTACCCATGGATGTCGGGTCCACTTCCTGATATTTGTTTTTGGTATCACCAGGAGATAACGATTTAGGTAACAACGTTCTCGGTTGCTCGGAATGCAAATCCGAACGCAAGATTTCTACCGGATCTTTGGACTTGGGAGTGTAAATTCCAGCTTCAGCTTTGGTGTTGGTGAAATTAATGGCAGACTGTGCCTTGGAAATTACATTGAGCCCACGAGGAGTGTCGCTTAAACTGATCTCGTGGGTCTTGTCGGGGAACGGACCTTTGAACCAATCGTAGGATAAAATTTCGTTGATGGTTGGTCTGTTCAATGGATTCAAGCTCAACAAGTCTTTGATGAGAGTCTTGGCTTCTTCGGATATGGGTTTGTCGGCAGGGAAAAAATACTCAGTTTTCTTGATACGTTCATAGATAACTTGAACGTCTTTGGCCTGGAATGGAGGCTTGCCAATTAACAAGGCATACATCATGATTCCAATGGCCCAGATGTCTACCTCGTAACTGTGTCCAACCAGCTTTCCGCCGAGCACCTCGGGGGCAATGTAGTTGGGGGTTCCACAGATGGTGTATTTTTTGGAATTGTTGTCGGGAAGCACCGAAGCAAGTCCAAAATCGCCAATTTTCAAGTTCATGTCGGGATCGAAAAAGATGTTTCCAAGCTTCAAATCTCGGTGGATAACACGACGTGAGTGGAGATACTTGATAGCGCCCACGATTTGAACCATAAAGTACCGGACTTCGGGTTCACTGACTCTTTTTCTGGTTTTGAGAAGTTCCATGAGCGACTGGTTGGGACAAATCTCCAAGAGAATGTACACGTTAATGTCGTCTTCAAAACAATCTACAAAGTTGACGATGTTGGCATGCTTCAACGACTTGTGGATCTTGATCTCCGACAAGAGTTTTGTCTTTGTTTTTTCATTTTTGATGGAAGCCTTGGCAACAGTTTTCGCAGCATAAATGTGGCCCGCAGAGTCCTTCATTTGGAAACACCTAGCAAACCCTCCTTCGCCCAAGAATGTACCTCGGTGATAATCACGTCCATTTCTAGTTCTGACAATTGAAGGAGGAGTTTTGCACAAAGCTGAAAGCTTTTCTTTCTTCTTTTTCGGTTGACTTTGAGAAGGTTGAGTGGTGGATTTGGTAGCCTTTATTGGCGTGAGGTTGCTCCGGACGTTGAGCTGTCCGCTGTTCAATGGCTGTAATGGAGTAATTCTGGACATATTCTAAAAGATTTGGTGGATTAACCTTGCAACAATTAAGAAACGGCGACGCTGTTTGTGTAACTGGACACAGATAGAAAACGTCTAAAATACCGGAAAAAACTGCGACGAGGAATCGGGAGATTGCACCGGTTTCAACCTATGCTCTTTTTACTATATATATGGAATGAAGTTGGTATTCTCATCCATCGATGTCTATTTACCAAATACCCGAATTAGGCAGTGTCATTATTTACCAACACTACCAAATGAGTATAATTCGGTGCGCGCACGCCTTTTCGATGTGATACCTGCAGTTGGTGTTTTGGCCGCAAAGGGATAACAGTTGAGGATAACAGACACCTGAGAAGGAGAGAAGTGTAGGAATTGTTAGATTTTGTTATTCGTGAACTTTGTGAAATTTACCAAATTTGTGAATTTACGAGGTTGAATATTTTCTACATATTGCAAATTTGACCAATCTATTTGAGTATTTTACAAGTGCTGGCTTATAATATTACCTGAAACAGCCTATTTCCTATATCATACCGCCTATGATATTCTCTACTCGACTGGCTTGCTGTAACCATTAACCTGCATACAGGCAACACAGCTTGGTGTACGCGTAGTCGTGCGTTGTTCATATACTACGTCGCGCAAAAATCTGCTTTTGCTGGAACATTGTAGTGACGATTGTTTATGACTTCTGACAATATACCTAATTCCAATCCAGTTGGGAACGAGGATTCAGGAGATGAGAGCGAGTCGATCCCCTTGGCTCAAATAGATACTCTGGCACCCACTCCAAAAAAGAGAAAATCAACAAAAAATGGCAACGGTGCAACAAAACGCAAAAAAAGACTAGTTATAAAAGACGAAGATGACGATGAACCGTTGGCTCTGAAGTCTCCCGTGAAGGCAAAGAAACCCAAGACGAAGCTGAATGGAAAAAATGGCCAGGAAAAGGTTAAAAAGGAAACTTCGCAGACGCTGGATGCCCAATTAGCGACACCTACAGACCTGATAAAGAAGGAAAAGGAAGAAGAAGAGACTTACAAGTGGTGGGAGGCCCAAGATATGGATGGCGAACAGAAATGGGAGTCTCTCCATCATAACGGTGTGATGTTTCCTCCTGAATATGAGCCATTACCGTCGCATGTTAAGATGTATTACGACGGAAAACCGGTTGATCTTGCTCCTGCGGCCGAGGAAGTTGCTGGGTTTTTTGCGGCGATGTTGGAAACTGACCATGCCCAAAATCCTGTTTTCCAAAAGAATTTCTGGAACGATTTTCTTCAAGTCGTGAAGGAATCAGGTGGAGCCAACGTAGAAATGAAGGACTTTACCAAAGCCGATTTCACCAAAATGCATGCACATTTCGAGATGTTAAAGGAACAAAAGAAAAACATGAGTCGAGACGAGAAAAAGGCTCTTAAGGAAGCAAAAGAAAAGGAAGAGGAACCATATAAAACCTGTCTTTTAAACGGCAGAAAAGAACAAGTAGGAAACTTTCGTGTGGAACCCCCAGGTCTCTTTAGGGGCCGTGGAGCTCACCCCAAAACAGGCAAGTTGAAAAAGCGAGTTTATCCAGAAGATATAACGTTGAATTTGAGCAAAGAATGCAAAGTTCCTGAGCCACCTGCTGGCCATAAATGGGGAGAAGTTAGACACGATAACACCGTGGCTTGGCTTGCAATGTGGAAGGAAAACATTTCTGACTCTCTCAAATACGTTCGTTTTGCAGCAAATTCTTCTGTGAAGGGTCAGTCTGATTTCAAGAAGTTTGAAACGGCAAGAAATCTCAAGTTTCACATCGATGCCATCAGAACAGACTACACGAAGCTTTTAAAGGATCCCTTGATGCAGAACAGACAAATGGCTACTGCCACATACCTCATTGACGTTTTTGCTCTCAGAGCTGGAGGTGAAAAAGGTGATGACGAAGCCGATACCGTTGGATGCTGTTCCTTAAGATATGAGCATATTACCCTCAAGCCTCCAAACCAGGTGATTTTTGACTTTTTGGGTAAGGATTCCATTCGATTTTACCAGGAAGTCGAGGTTGATAAGCAGGTATTTAAGAACTTGAGAATCTTCAAGAAACCTCCCAAACAACCGGGTGATGACTTGTTTGATCGTATAAGTCCACCCATGTTGAACAAGCAATTTCAAGGTTATATGAAAGGATTAACTGCCAAGGTTTTCCGTACTTATAACGCCTCGAAAACCATGCAAGATCAAATCGATTTGATACCAAACGAGGGAACTGTTGCCGAGAAAGTTGTACGTTTCAATGCCGCCAACAGAACCGTGGCAATCTTGTGTAACCATCAGCGTACCGTGAGTAAGACCCATGGCCACTCTGTACAGCGTATTCACGACAGGATCAAGGAAATGATGTGGCAGAAAATACGAACAAAGAAGATGATACTTGAGCTCGAACCTGGGTTAAGAAGAAAAGATCCGAAATATTTTGAGGAGCTTGAAGATCTTTCGAAGGAAGACGAGCAACATGTTCACCATCTTTTGCTTGAGCGAGCTAGAGAGCAAGCACAACGTAAATTCGAGCGTGAAAATCAAAAGTTGAAGGCCGAAGGGAAGGAGTTATTGAGTTCGAGTGTGTTGGATGAAAAGATGGAGAAGATTAAGGAGCAAGAGAAGGACTTGGCCGAAGAACTCAAGACGGGAAAGCCAGTGATGAAGTCAACCACCACTGTGGAAAAGTTGAAGGCACAAGTTGAGAAGCTCGATGGAAGAATTGTTAACACAACGTTTCAACTTCAGGATAAAGAAGACAACTCGGAGGTTTCGTTGGGAACATCGAAATTGAACTATATTGATCCACGGCTCACGGTAATGTTTTCAAAGAAGTTTGACGTTCCTATCGAAAAGCTCTTTACCAAGACATTGCGAGACAAGTTCAAGTGGGCCATTGAGTCTGCCGATGAGAACTGGAGGTTTTAGCGAATTGTTTAGAATACTACTAACTAATACTATTATATCGTTAATTAGGATCATCCACTATTACTGCTTAGATTAATAGCTACTTTGACTAGTATTACTACTACTACTTACTATCTTATTACTAATCGCTTCATCTCTTTTGGCGCCGCACTTCGCTGCATATGTACGCGTCGCGGAATCGCGTCAGTGCATATTTCATGCACAAAACACGAAACATGAAGGGATGGTACGAAACATCTGACGCGTGGCTGGAAAACGACAATCATATATAATATTCCAAATTGGTATTGTTCTGCAACGAATAATTCATTATAGAAAAATTGGTCAAAATGTACCAAGTTCCGGCAATGGCTGCAACCCAGAGTTCCGAGGCCATACCTGTAACCACCTCCGGCCCCTACATCACCATTATGAAGCGAGCTTCAATGCCATCAATGTCTACCGATGATGCTTTGCCGTCACTTTCCTCCGACGCAATGCCTTCAATGTCCTCAGAATCTTATTCGTATAGCATTGCCATTCCTAATGGGAGTCCTACTTCCACAGCTAATCCATACATTACCCACTCCAACCTTCCCACCAACCTTGTATTTATAATCATGGGAGCCATAATTGGAGCCATACTATTGGGTTTTGCAATGTACCGCGTCATATCATTTATTACTGGGCGTCGACTCGCCAAATCTGACAAAGAAGTGTATTATTCCAACCCATCTTCACTCTATCAATTTGGAGGAAGCTCAAGTTCAAATTCATCATTTTTTGAAAAATCGTCTTTTGCATCTACTGCAAGTATTAATCAACTTTCTAAGCATGGGTCTGCGGTATGGCTGGCTTACCGAGATCTCGACTCGTCAAGCAATGATTCAAGTACTCCTGGAAGACTGTACCGTCAAGCAGTAACAGGAAAAGAACCAACTCCAAGACGCAATTCTATGTTTGTAAGTCCCGTTCTCGAAGTGATGAACAAACGTAATTCGCAATTGGACCTTCCATTATTCAATAAGCGCAACTCGCAGTTTGAACTTCCGATGTTTCACGATAATTCAGCCGGTCTCAATCTGTCTTTTATCAATGGCAGCGATATCGATGTCAGCGACCGAGTAAGTCGCAACGATGTCACCGTGGAACGGCCTAGGATCAAGCGGCCGCCTAGCCAGTACCTCGACGACCTCATATCATAAGAGACAACCGCCATTGATAGACAAACATTAATAGACACCAAGCTACTAATAGAAGCCACTAGCATAGCATAGACTGTACGGAAATAAGCCGCCATGAACTGCATTTCCCGAATCCTCGCATTTCTCGAATCCTCTTCTCGCATTTCTGATTCATGCGGTTCATGCCGCTTTCATTTTCATTTGCAACCATTCCCCAAAATTTCCTGCACACAACCGCCCGTGCCCCGGCCTCAGCAATATCCGCGGAGACACTCGGCCTTCTTCATGTTGAACACACGAATTGCAATTTCCACCATTATCGGTGCTTCCAGAGCCACCAGAGCCCCCAGAGTAGCCCAATTGTCCACATCAGCTGTAAGGTGGGCCAAGGACGACTCTTCAACTATCGACTCTTACAGGCTTCCTTCGCAAACTTCCATCAACGAATGGGAGTTCAAATATGATTTTATTCCCAAAACAACCGAGCCCAAGGTTCCTCCCGTGACCCGAGAGGCGATCAAACAGGACATAGCCCACGACAAAAGGGCCAAGGTTGAAAGAGAGATGCAAAGAGAAGAACACCACACTTCTATCAAAGCCGAGGCCAACGACGCTGCGGTTGTTCATGGAGGAGAATCCGTTGGCGCTGAGCCCGAGTTCTTGCAAGATCGAGGCTCGAAGCCAGTGGACGCTACAATTGGCCAAGGCGGTCCAACAAGCTCCAAACCAGCCAATCGTGATAAGTATATCCAGAGTTCCATCAACCCGGAAATCAACCAATCCGACGTTGTTCATTTGGGGGAAAATGAAGTCCACCACAAAGTTGCATCTGTGAAGGAACCAATTGTAGTGGAGGACCACGAGCATGACCAGGACCACAATGCTGGCCAGCCAAGACAGAAGAATCCAAATCTGTCTGCACCATTCGTTGTGCCATTGGGGCTCGCTGGATTGGTAGGAGCATACTTTTATTTCACCAGGGAGAAGAAGGAGAAGAAGTAGGAGTGAGCCAGACTTCAAGTGACTTGAACAGATAGTGATTTATGGAATCCTGAACAATGATAAGTGGGGGACTGGTCAGCCTCCAGATTTGTTGGTAAATACAATACTATTCAACTTTACCATTCAGAATCAACTCTATCTACTTTTAATCTATTCAGTATTAACAGCTCAAATTTTCACTGCTTTTTAAGTAGCTTTGGTAGTTGGTTATCATACGAAAAACTATACAGTGGTTCTGTACTACTTTAAAAATTTTCAACCATACTACACAATTTCTTTGAATGCATTTCTTTCAGTGTTTCTATTCAGACCAGTATGTCTCTATCCATAAATTAAAATTTTACTTATCTAGTTTATTTTTCAGTGCTACTAACTTCTCTCAACTCTTCACTTTTTCAAAGATTTCGTATTGTTCTTTTTACTCAACTACAATTTATCAGCTTGATCTGCTATGCATTACTCTTTAAATATTTTAGTCTCAAGTACTCCTCTATTTACATTAATATTGTCTCGAAGCTTCTTGACACGCCTTCAATTGTTGCAAGTAAAAATCACAAACTTGCATGTTTCCACCATTATCTTCCAAACATCTGGTAAAGTTTCTGGCATCAGCATCACAGTGTTTTGTCTGTTCCTGGTAAGTTTGCTGTTGCGCTTGTTCATATTGAGCGGGGGGAGCAGAACTTCCTCCAAACATACCGGTGATACCAGCACCGAGGGTGTGACCAATGGTAGAACCAACGGCTACACCGGCCGCAGTAGAAGCCATTTGTCCGAACAAACCAGGCGACCGCGAGCTGGTTTGAGGTTGTGCAGCGGGAGCTGGATAGTGAGGAGCCGCAGCAGCGGTATGAGCAGATCTCCTTTGCGTGGGAGCTGGGGCGGATCTTCTTTGTCTAGGCATTGAAATGTGGTGATGGCGCGGGGCAATTGGCAGCTTTTATACTCATGCCCGGTGGCAAAGTCAGCGCTTACGTAAGGGTTACCCGGGCGCACGTTGCAGCCAAATCAAGTACTAGAATGACCTGGGTCACTGAAGGTCACTGAATGGCCAGTAGTTGTCAATTGTTGTCAATTGGAAGTTTGGAGGAAGTCGGATTTGTGTGAAGTGAACGGGAGGTGAGTAGTTCATCTTTACGAATTAGCTTGACCAGACGACTTATGTCATGAACGTTGCAGTACACTAATTTAAGTTTTAGTTACTCCAATTTGTAGTGTTTGGCTACCCAATTTGAACTAGTTGGCTTTCAGTCCAATCATTTAGATGATTCCGCTTCGATTAAATGTTTCAATTCCATTAGAAGTATTTTGCAATCATTTACGTGGCACTCAAATAATCAGAATTGTCTTTTGAGTCGTTTGCGTGTTCTCATTTATTCAACAGCAGCATTCGCACCATTTTCAGTGCCCTCATCAATCTTTAATGGTTCGCACCAAGTGTCTTTCTTAGTCGTTCGCATCCACAACCGTTCGCGCCATTTATATTCGCACATTAGTCGTGCCGCTTGCTACTGAGATAAGCTCATTTGCGGTATCGGAGCAAGATCGGATAACTGATCGGCTATTGCGTCTCATAGCGAATTTTGGAGCACATTCAACCAAAGAGCGTGCCAGCATGCGTACAGCATTCAACCAGCCAAAGCGGCTAAATCTACATTCATTTCTGCATTTTCGATCTTTGTCTTCGAAATCATCGCCAAACAAATACGAAATCCTAGGGGTCCACCATGGAGCGTCCATCAAGGAAATCAAAGCGCTGTTCAAAAAACTCACCAAACAATATCACCCAGACTTAAATACCAGTGCGGATGAAGAACAAAAAAAGTTGAATCAAGATAGATTTGTGGAGATTGTCTCGGCTTACGATACCCTCAAGGATGTCAAGAAGAGGAAACAGTACGATATGGAACTACGTGGGAGCCCCAATATCAAGCAAAATAATCCAGATCGATCTGAATGGCACAACAAATACTATGGAGAGGCCAAATATTATCTGCGTTCTGAAGGGTCCCATCATTCCATGGCTCTGGGTCTCAATGCTACAAGACACAGGGTGCGCAACTTTGCCGATTTCGAAAACCAATCTCATGTTTCTGGTGTCCATGTCAACCACGGCGATCGTCATGGAGTGCCTCATTTTGACTACGACAATCACCTTTCACGAAACCTCAAATTCGAACAACGACTTATCAACAAACATCTTTCTCCTGCCCAGCGCGATGCCATCATAAAACAACTCTATCGTTCCAGCAATACAAAAGTCAGCGAAGAACTTATCACCAAGCATTTGATGCGCCAGGCCCATAACTATGCGAACCAACAATCTTCTGGTCGCCAAGCAACCTATACCAGTACAGCGAGAGACCCTCATATGTATCATGGGCCTCACGACAGCGAAAGTACCCTCAAAGTGGCCACGATCATGACTGTGGGAGCGGGCGCAACGTACTTTTTGTATCAGTTGTGGGGATGAAAAACTCAACTGGTTTTTGCCTAGAAAATGATGTCATTCTGGCGCTATACTAGGTTTCACCTTGTATAGCTCATCTACAATTACCTTAGTCACATAGATTACAGTAACGCATGCTAACGATCAACCTCTCCAAACACGAGATCCATAGTACCAATGATGGCAACGGCATCGGCCAACAAATTTCCACGAGAAATGTGATCAAATGCTCCAAGATGGGCAAATCCAGGAGCTCTAATCTTACATCTATAAGGTCTCTCACTTCCGTCCGACACAACATAAACTGCCATTTCACCCTTGGGTGCTTCGATGGCAGTGTAAGTCTCACCAGGAGGAACAGCGTATCCCTTGGTAAACAACAAGAAATGGTGAATCAATGCCTCCATATCTTCCTTCATTACTTGACGAGCTGGTGGAGAAATCTTGAAATCTTCAACCTTGACTGGCCCCTCGGGCATATCATTGATACATTGTTCGATGATCCGCAACGATTGTCTGAACTCGGCCATTCTAATAAGGTATCTGTCATAACAGTCACCATTTTGTCCTACAGGAATGTCAAAATCCACCAATTCGTATGCGTCATAAGGTTGGGCTTTTCTAATATCGTAGGCGATACCAGATCCACGCAACATCACTCCCGATAACGAGTAGTTGAGAGCATCTTCAGCACTGACCACACCAACATCTTTGGTACGTGCCTGCCAAATTCTGTTATCGGTGACCAATTCTTCAACTTCATCGATTCTGTCACCAAATTGAGTAGCCCACATATAGATATCGTCCAACAAGCCGGCGGGCAAGTCCTGCGCCACTCCTCCAGGACGCACATAGGCACTGTGCAAACGGGCACCCGAAACCCGTTCATAAAATTCCATCAATTTTTCTCTCTCTTCGAAACCCCACAAAAACGGCGTCAAACCACCGACATCCATAATATGTGAAAGCACCGACATACAGTGGTTCAACACCCTGGTGATCTCACCGAACAAAGTACGGATATACTTGGCTCTCAATGGTACCTCTACATTCAACAATTTTTCCACTGCCAATGCGAAAACCAACTCGTTGGTCATCATAGAAACATAATCCAACCGATCGAAATAAGGCAATGCTTGCATATACGTCTTGGATTCGATCAATTTCTCAGTTCCTCGATGCAAAAGTCCCACATGAGGATCAGAACGTACAATTTCTTCACCGTGTAATTCCAAAATCAATCTCAACACACCGTGAGCGGCAGGATGTTGTGGACCAAAATTGATGGTAAAGTGACGAATCTTGGTGTTTTGCTTGTCTACGTGCTTAGGATCATCGTCGCGGCCCCAAGTCATATCAACCTCGTCCATTACTTCGGTAAAAGTGGTTTTTCCAAAAGTTCCTGGCTCGTCCGAGTACCTTTGAACATCTTTTCCGAGGGCATTTACAAACGGTTTGCGCTCCTGTTCTCCGGTAGCAGCTGCCAACACACGGCTCGTGGCCAAGTTACGGCATGGAATACGGGGTGTGCGCCCCAATATGCTGGTGAAGCTTCTGGCCCTCAACATGAAGTAACAAAGAAAATCGCGAGTTTTATTGGATGAGAAAACCGCCTGCAGGCGGACGGCATATAGCCCGGTGCTATCAACGAAGAGACGAGTGAAAAGGAAAGTAATAAAAAAGCTCCTGGGTATTTGAAGAAGAAGAGAGTTATGTTAAGCAGAAGCGAGGTATGTTAGAGGTGCTTTGACTTGGTTTTTAACTAAAAAAATTTGGCTGCAAATGATGAATCTGAGATGAGAGATCTAAGTTTCAAAGAAAGTTACATGAAAAAAAGAGTAGAGTTATGGAGGAAGGGATAGCCGTAGACTGCTGTATGAGAGCCAGCTAATCAATTCGTTTGTGAAAACTTTGGGTACACAAAATGTGAGGAATTGGAGAGATACAAATAGCAATATCTTCTTCAATTCACCAAATTTCCAACCCAGAAAAAAAGGGTTAATCCACAGATATTTGAAGAGTTCATAATGGGCCAATTAAGCTCTTTTTGACTGAATTTGAGCCAAAATAAAGACTTTGTTTTTCCCATATTCCCTACTTATTTGTCAATTTTTCGTCACTTTGGCTTCGTGAGACATATTCTACTATAAAAAGACACACACATCAATTTCACATACAATTGAGCCACCAAAACTTATGCAAGGCTCTCAATTCTCTGAGAACTTACCATCCGTATCTGGTGAAACGTACGGCACACAAAGAAACAGAAATCACACTTCCTGCACACACAAAAGTCCTGCACCGTCTCCCCTGCACATACATCCTCCATCGCCAGCATTTCCCTCGCGCGCTCTTTTCTTCTTCATGTACACGCCAAAGAGAAAACGGGAAGACGTGGTAATCGTACCAAAAAAAGGTCAAAAACGCTAGCGAACGTGAAAAACAGGCTTATTCAACATCAGAGGAATGGCCTGTATACTCACATCCCGAAGGTGGTATAGTTAAAATTACTCCGTGGGGTTCTTTGCGACAATTTCAAGACCAAAATGGTAACACCGTGACGAAATTTGAAGATAAAGGGTTCCAAGACTACGCTTTTGCATGTGGCAATGGCCAAAACAACGTTTACGAACTTCCCACCACTCCTCAGTCGATGTACAGGTCGTCTCCTGCACCCACATCGATGTCAAATGGTGATAAAATCGACTTTAGCCCGCTGGACGAGGCTGAATCTTATGTGAGAGAAGGATATGGCAGCGACGAGTGGCAGAGTTATGGCCAGGAGCAAGAAAATTACTTTGGCATGCAAAATGACAATGATGCAATGGAATAAAATGTACAATAGTGTATTATAGTTGAGGCAAATACAACTTGTGGAGACTGCCTTTTTAGTATTATGCCAATTGAATTATATGGACAAGACAAATCTTCATGTAAACTCATAGATTGAATTCATATAAGTTGATATCAGTCAGCATCATCACTATAGGATCATATCATATTCATTAAAGGTTTTCATATCTTGATTTATGTTCTATCTTTGTTCAACATCATAATCAACCAGTATAGTTTCAACTCGATCATTTTCAGAGAGTTGAATCCTCATAGTCAACACATTCATATCATACTCAAGTTGTCACACTAACTAGTCCGCTTTGATGCACAACGAACAGTCGACATGGCCCATTTGATGGTGAGGTTTTGTCATATTGAGACACACCGTCTATCAATTCTCCAATAGATATGTAAACATTTTGAGGGTCTTTTTCATAATGCTTCAATTGCAGTTTGCTCATATACTGTTTGAAATTAGAAAGCGTTAACCCTATCGACTGCCACTTGTCAAACGAGTTTAGATCTGGTATACAGTTTGAAATATACTGCTTTTCTAATGTGGTGTAGTATCTGTCGTAGCTGACAAGTTTATAGGAATGCATAGTTTTCGAGTAGTGACATTTGGTATCACTGCTACTACTTTCTGTCGTAGCGACAGACTCTCGGCGCTCAGAGAAAACAGAGTCTGGGGTTGTGCACACGCTTCCATTCTCAGAACACGAACATGGACGAGTATTCAGTGGCTTGATGGTTTCTCCGGTCAGAAAAGGATCATTGAAACAAATTTCGCCGGCGGGAAAGTTTTCTTCGTCTTGCAGTGGTTCCTGTCGGTAAGATGCAGCGGCGGCCGTAGCCACAAGAAGGGCATTATTGAGTCTGGTTTGACGAGATGGTATGCTTTTGACCTTGGTAGCTATTCTAGATTCGAGAGGCGAAGCCAAATCACCTCCAATCAAGATGTTTCGGTACCAATGCACCATGCCGTAAAACGACCAGAATTGGAGCAATATTTGTTTCAATTCGACTCGAAGTCGAAGCACATTTTTGTATTTGACCAAGGTGGAGGTGCTTTGAGGTAACGAATCAATCAGCGTTTCTTTATACATGGCAGAAATCACTTGATTCAACGAAGGAGCCTCTCCAACATCGCAGTTGGCAAGAGTGTACCGGTGAATCAACTCTCCTGCGTACTTTGATTTGAAGTTGTTGGTGATTTCGGTATTGGTCGTTGGTTCGAATAAAAAGCCATTATCCTGAAGCTGTGAGTAAAACTTAGGGAGCATTTTCGCCGAGGCGCCTTGCTTTGCCTTCTGAAACTTCAACTTGACTCTGTCGGACCGGGTCTGCTTAAAAGCCTCGGGAGAAAATGAGGCACCATAGGGGTCATCACCGAAAAGATCAACGTCACTGGTGTCAAGCCAAGGCTTCTTGTCGCGTTTAAGTCTATCATTGTTGATGTTAGCAGCCAAATCATGAAGCAGATTGGCCTCGTAGTATAACGTTTCTATGAGAATAAGCAATTTTTTATCAATGTTCAAATTGTAAAATTTGATTTCTGTCGAATTAATTTCCAAGAAAACCGGGCTCCAACCTCGGTTCCGCGAGTTATAGTGATAAGGAGTTGAAAACTCGGTTTTCATAAGACATAAACCCCCGAAATGAAGAGTTTGTTTGTATTCCGGAAGCGACTCTGACGAGGGCTGGTAGCTGGGCACCAGTTCGCATGCAAGATCATAGGGTGGAGCCGACATAATGGGTAGTAATTAGGAGGGAATCGATCTTTTGGAGTCCAAATCGCTTAAAAAAACATAAGAAACACGTAAAATAAATAACTCAAATGATGGCAAGCCGGGTCACATCTTGGCTCTTTTCGGACCGGCCACCGGCCCTGCAGGACTGTGGGGAAACAAGCGAGAAAATATCGGAGTGGTGTGTGGGTGTGCGAGCCGCTCAAGGGAGAAGCCGAAGTCGGTGGGAGGGCGAGGGGAACCAGTGGGGTAAGCGTGGGGAACCCAATTTTTGGGAGCTTAAATTTAGGGTTTTGAAAGGTTACTTCCGGTTTACCACCGGATAACTACCGGCCTCGTGGTCACCGGAAGTGTCGTTTAATTGCATTTCTGCATGACTGCCGCACGCCAATAATATCTGCGCGCTTACTTGCACAGTTTGCTATTGGCTGCAATCCATAGCAATGTCTGCAGTCCCTACTCCGCTCCGAGGCGGCAGCCCAACACCCGTGCTGCACACCAGTGCACCAGCTTGGGGGGTGTGGGCGACTATAGAATGTTCGCAAGCAAGATTGCGCCAGATACACAATGTCTGCACAAGCAAAGAAACACGTCAAGTCTCAGTCGACCTATGTAAGTTTGGAATTGGGGTAATGTGGATGGCGCGGAAACGATAAAGTGATCAAAATGACAATTTTCTCGAACTTTGATTGTCAAAATCGAGTTTTTTTCATTTTCGATTCGTCTATTTGTGTCTCAAAATCTCCATCATTCGCCACTTTAACCGCCTCAAAGCAGCCCCGTATACTCAATTGGCCAATCTCTTCGAGCTACTAACACAGGCGTTTGACAACACCGCCACAAACGTTTCTGCGTCGCAGATGCGGAATGCCTTGAATGCATTGGTCGATACCGTCAAGGATCCAGAAGCCCAAGCCAAGTTTGAAAACGAGATGGATTCATTTTTCGCCTTGTTTAGACGGTATTTGACCGATAAGGCGTCGGGAACCACTCTTGATTGGGACAAAATCAAGTCGCCAAGTGAGAGTGAGGTTGTGCTGTATGACTCTCTCAAATCGGAAACTGCCGACAATTTGAGCAAATTGGCAGTGCTCAAGTTGAACGGAGGATTGGGTACGTCTATGGGCTGTGTGGGTCCCAAATCGGTCATTGAAGTAAGAGATGGCAACACATTTTTGGATTTGTCGGTGAGACAAATCGAGCATCTTAATCGTAAATACGATTCTGATGTTCCTCTCTTGTTGATGAACTCGTTTAACACCGATGCCGACACCGCCAAGATCATCAAGAAGTACCAGGGCCACAGAATCAGAGTGAGAACCTTCAACCAATCGAGATTTCCTCGTATTTTTAAGGACTCGTTGTTGCCGGTTCCCGAGTCGTTTGACGACGAATTGGACGGTTGGTACCCCCCAGGTCACGGAGACTTGTACGAGGCATTGATCTCATCAGGTGAATTGGACTCGCTTTTGGCCCAGGGAAGAGAAATTTTGTTTGTGTCCAATGGTGATAATTTAGGAGCCACTGTCGACACCAAGATTTTGGACCACATGATCGAAACCGGAGCAGAGTATCTCATGGAATTGACCGACAAAACCAGAGCCGATGTTAAGGGAGGAACTTTGATCAATTATGATGGCCAAGTTCGGTTGTTGGAAATTGCTCAGGTACCCAAGGAGCACGTTGAAGATTTCAAGTCGATCAAAATAATTCAAGTACTTCAACACCAACAACTTGTGGATCAACTTGAAGGCCGTTAAAAAGTTGGTGGAGTCAAATAGCATCCAGGCCGAAATCATCCCCAACCAAAAATCCATTTCCAAGGGTAATTCCGAATTCAATGTTTTGCAATTGGAAACCGCCGTTGGTGCCGCCATCAGACACTTTGAAGGAGCACACGGAGTGGTCGTTCCTCGTGCCAGATTCTTGCCTGTGAAAACCTGTTCTGATTTATTACTTGTCAAGTCAGATTTGTTCCATTTGGAGCACGGTGCCTTGAAATTGGACCCAGCAAGATATGGTTTTGCTAACCCACTCATCAAGTTGGGTTCACACTTTAAAAAGGTTTCCGGATTCCTGTCCCGGATAGCTCATATACCCAAGATTGTCGAGCTTGATCACTTGACAATTACCGGAAATGTCACCTTGGGAAGAAATGTCACCTTAAAGGGAACAGTCATCATAGTTTGTAACGATGGTGACAAGATTGATATTCCTAATGGTTCGGTGTTGGAGAATGTAGTGGTTACCGGCAACTTGACCATATTGGAGCATTAGGTTAATATATGTGAGGAAAGAATAGCGTAGGAAAGAGGAAGAATAAGAAGAATAAGAAGAATAATAAAGGAGTAGAAAAAAGTAGAAAAAAAAAATTAAAAACTATAAGGATATTGAAGTGGAATGAATAATTTCGTTTCAATAGTTTCAATAGTTTCAATTTCGCATAAATTCACTCAACTCGCTCATTTCGTTTCCCTCATCTTCTCTCCCAAGCTTCGTTCCTCATGGCCCAATGGTCAAGGCGTCTGGCTACGATTACGTAACCACTTCCGGTTGGAACCAGAAGATTCCAGGTTCGACTCCTGGTGGGGAAGCTTATTTTTTACGCTAACTGGTTGGTTAAACTTGATGGTTCACTTCAATTGGATTATTTCAAGTCGATCATTTATTCCTGGATAGCTCATAGCTCACTCCGGTAGCAACGCAATTGTCATATCTTCCAAACCGGAAACATCGTATCACGTGACTATTTTGTCATCACCAGATTTCAAATGACAGACCTCTACAATTTCAATGCTTGCAGAACCAATAAATCTCCAGTCTTGGATCTCCGAAAACAAGGATTTGCTCCAGCCTCCCGTAAACAACTACTGTCTTCACCGGGGAGGTGCTACAGTGATGATTGTGGGCGGTCCCAACGAAAGAACCGATTATCATGTCAACCAAACCCCGGAATATTTTCACCAAATCAAAGGAGATATGACTTTAAAAGTTGTGGATGACGGCAAATTCCGTGACATTACCATTCGGGAAGGAGATTCGTTTTTGTTGCCCGGAAATGTGCCTCATAATCCGGTAAGATACGCTGATACAATTGGTCTTGTAGTAGAACAAGATCGTCCTAAAGGTGTCAATGATAAGATCCGGTGGTACTGTCTGAACTGTAGAGAGATTGTTCATCAGGTGGAGTTTTACTGTTATGATTTGGGTACCCAAGTGAAAGATGCGATTTTGGCATTTGATGGAGACGATGAGGCACGAACATGCAAGTGTGGAACTTATAACTACTCGCGGCCAAATTAGGATTCCGGATCAATGTATATAGGAGAGACGAGACGAGATGAGAGACGACACGAGAGACAAGGTACGAGAGACGAGACAAGACGGACAACATTTCTATTCATATTATCTTTACTGAAAATTGATATTACCTCATATAAATATATACTGAATATGAAACATCCAAAGGTAAGATAAAATATAAGACAATATGATTGTTCGTAGACTAAGAATACGAGTGTATGGCTCAAATCCTCCACCTCTCTATTTCTCTCTAAACATCTCCTCGCCCTTGTCGAAAACCCAATCGACCACCATTTCCACCGGCTCGTCAAATACATATGGCAAAAGCGGAACTATACCCAACCCCACGCCCACGGGTCCATACGTACGCAATTGTTTGATTTTAGTGTTCTTAAACATAAGCGACGAGTACCGCACAGCAGAATGGATCGTGAAAGCGGGAAGTCCCATCGATGCAATGGACTGGAAAATGCCTCGTTTGAGTCCCACCAACCGCCAGTCGGTGTCTACAAGCTTATCGCTGGCACCATCTCGGTAGATCTGGGCTGCCACAGGATTTGCTGGAGGGTATGGAAAATTCCATGGTTTCAAGTCAGCGGTGTACCGACCTTCTGCTTTCATCTTTGCCTTCCATGACAGATACAGCACATCCCCAATGATATAAAGCCACGACACTCCATAACCAAGCTTCACAAGGTATGGGTGGGCAACAGGACGAAAAGACTCACCAATATCAGAAGTATAGGCAACATACCGATGAGAGGCAAGAAGAATTGTCCGAAACCTATTAGCGTATGCTGCGTATCTAAGGCTTGAGTCTTGAGTTGGGTCGTCCAGGATTCCGGCGGCACCGCCAGCTTTCGTTTCTAAAGCTTGTTCGACCTGGTTTACTTGCTCGGAGATGTTGGGCATGATGAGGAAGGCAAATGATTGGAGATAGCAGCTATAGATAGATGCAGTACGCGAGCCAGAGCGCGATAGCAACATGCAGTACAGACAGTGCGATAATACATGCACACCAAATACTGAAAGTGCGATCTTGGTGCCTCCTCATCATGAAGTTCAGTATAGTGGTGCGTTTCAGCAACTCCGACAGCCGCCAGGCCCCGATTCGAGATCTTGTGGTGCCCCTTCTGATCAATCCAGAAACTGAAAATGTGAATCGACTTGTAACGGTATCTTGGTTACGCAACACCATTCGAGACCAAGTTCCAACCATTGCTAATCGAAGATTGAGACTCATTGTAGATGGACGCGTGCTCAACGAAGCCACAGATTTCCGGCGCGATGTGTTTTTGCCACGGATCAGACGAGAAACTTCTCCTAACATCGAAAACGACGACCCTTTACCCATATTTGTTCATTGTGTTGTTGGCGATATTCTCACCAGAGAACAATTAGCGCAAGAAAACGAGTTGGATAGACCGCAGGAACGGTCTACAGCGCCAGAGGTGATCGGGTTTGACCGGTTGCTTCAACAGGGTTTCAGTGCTGACGATATAGCCGATTTACGGCGCCAGTTTCTGATGATTTATGACGGCGACGATCCCCACCAAAGTGGACCCATCAGTGATTTGGAGGAAGAGGAACAGCGTAGCAGAAGGGCACGAATGCTAGAAGAGCGGTGGATAGAATCTACCGTTCCTCAAGTGGGACTGGGTTTGGGCGAACGACCTCCGGCCTCCACCGACACCACTGATGCTCGAGAAGACGATGTGCCCGCTCCAGATTTGGACGACCGTGGCGGCCACGAAGATGTGGTTCTCGGTCTTCTTTTGGGCATGTTTCTTGGCGCTCTCAGTGTGGTGTTGCTTGTGGTGGATGATAGTGTGTTGAATAGTCGCCAGAAAATGGCAGTGGCAGGCGGGTTGTTTTTCAACTTTTCGCTCTCGGTAGCGAGGGGACAGTGGATATGAGAAAAGAGAGAAAAGAGAAGAAAAAAGAAGAAATTGAGCATTTGAAGAAAGGGTTGTCTCAATTTATGATTGGAAATCGTCGTTCGGAACTGGAGTCTCCACTTAAACTGAATGAAATTGGTCCACTTTAGGAACTGGAACCAGCCAGTTTGATGTTCCAAATTAGAGAACAAAGCCTGAAATGCTAAAAATGCTGAACAATTGAAGATCACTAGAACCTCAAACAGCTACAGACAAGAAACTGAAGTACCATGAGCACCAGTGCTTTATCCGTTGCTGTCGACATTCCTAACAGGTTTTACTTTCAACAGTGAACCCTGAGATCCTTGTCTGGTTACTTCTAATTCTATTTCAGTACTCTACAAATGTTTGACCTTCCAGCCCGCACTAGATTGTGGATTCAATCTAATGACAGGGCATTAAGATGGCCGTTCTCCTGATGGATATCGTTCTCGCCAAGAACTTGACGCTCGCCAACTCGTTGGGATATCTGAAAATGACAAGCAACACGGTAATAGTTCTGGCTGCCGCACAAAGAAATAGTTGATATTTTTGACTTTTAAAATGGGCGATGAGGTTACCCGGCACCAAAGACACCGGTACACCGGTACATTATAAGATATGAAGCAATAAGCCCTATATATAAATACTACACCTTTTGCATCTTTTGTGCCCGGATATTTCGGTAGAGAAAGTCTCCTGAAAAGTACACAAGAAGTGCTGCCACGAAAATGAGCAAAAAGATCCACACTGCCGCGAGGTTATTAGCCTTGGCAGCAGTAGGACATGCATGGTGCGACCGAACCTCAAACATGTAGTTGCAGTCGTCGAAAGAACCCACGTAGGAAATGCTGGCCTTGGCAAGCATATCTCGGTCGCAAGTGAATGTAATCATGGTGGAACGACGTGCCGGTAACCCGGTGCTACGATCCACCAAGTTTTCGCAATATGATCCATTGTAATATTTTAGCGTAAGTTTTCGTCCTCTTACTACGGGTGTAGTGGAGAACTCGCCGAGCGACACGTACTTTCCCGACTTTGTATCCATGTAGTAACCGCCTACCAATGTCGAATTGACACCATCTTGCATTTCTCGCGGCCCATTATGAGACTTCTTGAATGGAGTGGAACATATTCCCAACGTGAAATTACGGCCATAATCATAGCCCTTGGTGGTCCATGGCAACGCCCGGCCCTCATTGCCCAATGAAGAAAGCCCCCTCAAATCTATAAACCCATGAGAGTGGGGGTTGATGATAGTACATGGATCCAGTGCCTCGTCCTGCGCGACAGCTTCGGAAATTTCTTGATCCTTTCCAAGCTTTTTGGCCTTTTCTAGCATGTACTGTTGATGGTTATTATCTGAGAACCCGGTAAGATGCGGAAAATGGGTTAAAGCATCAAGAAAATGATGTTGCAGTTGGAGATTGGATTTATCTGCTATGGAATCGAGGTAATATATGACTACTATGATGGCCACCATCACAGCCACGGCAACTAGCCGTAACTGAACACGTAACATCGGCTTTGTCGTTAATGGTGGTATGTAGATGTAAAGAAGAGTGTTGATTTTTGGCGCGAGACATCTAATGGAACTGGTGTCTGGGTGTGAAAGATAGCAAAATAGAGTAGAATCAAAATGCCATTGAGAAAAGAAAAAGCACTGAAACCTGGGTATGTCAGAGATGTAAGGCTCCTTAGTACTTTTCTCAATTTTCACCGATTTTCCTCGGCCACTCTTTAATTTGGTGCAGCTTCCTCATCGAGCGCTTCGCTCCTGCAGATGGCGCAAAGTGCTCCCCGAGTTGTCTCTTCATTTTATATCTTGCCCCCTTTTAATTGCACCATGGACTGGGGAACTACGGCCGTGGACACCTCATATGGGTTTGGCGTGCCCGGAATAGCGTCTCAGCATTTTTCGGAGGTTACAAACCACAAAAAGCAGCTTCAATTGTCGCTCGAAAATCACGTTGATGACAACGGAAATCACCATGAAAAATTACTATTGGCGGCTTGTGATGGAGACATAGTTACCTTGGAAAGCGTTCTTCGCGCCAGTCCTCACCTTGTGAACGAACCGTATCCGCTGGAAGATGGAGTCACACCACTAATTTATGCCGTTTGCTACGATCAACATACCATCGCCGAAGCACTCTTATTCGACCATCGGGCCGATCCCGATATATGTGATACACTTTCGGGGCTGGGGTTCACCCCGTTTATGTGGGCAGTCCACTTGGATCTTGTGGAAATGGCCCGCTTATTGTTGAATTATCAGGCGGATCCGTACGTTGATCCTCGCGGAGATGGCACCACAGCAGTGACACTTTTGAACCCAGAAAGGGAACAAATGTATGCTTTTTTCAGGTCACACAATATCACTACTGTGTTGTCGCAGAAGGAGGTAGAACAGGATGTAATTGGATCGCTGTTTAACCAGAGTGGTTATGATGATTTGGACGACAAGTTGCGTCTTCAAATGACTGGAATGACTCTCCAGGACCATCAACAAAGCCTCGACGACAACTATGCTTCCGACCGTGACTCGGTCAACTCGGAATCGGACCCTCATCTTATCAATGTCAAGGATTTTGAGTACGATCGGTTGGTGCCATCGGAGTTCATCAAGTTTACCGACTCCGATATTCCTCTGCTACTCGATTACATTTTCTCACTTCACACGAAGAATGCTACGCAACACAATACCCGGATTCCCGCCGCCGTGGTATTCCAACTCATCAGATACTCACACTTGAAGGTGCATTCCAATGAACTAACCACATTTTTTTTCGACTGTTTTTTGACAAGATTAAGACTGGTTACCCACACCACACTGGGAGTTTTGGGCGACGACAACGGCAGTGCTGGACGTGGGGATATTGTGCTCGTAAGTTACTGGCTACTGGTTGTTCATTTTCTTCATTTTTACCTCAGCAAGAACTCGCTCTATAAAGATTACCCACAGTTTCTCCAGGAGCTCGTGAACGTGACACAACTGCTCATTGCTACTCTTTCGTTCTCCATCAACGCTCGTCTTGAAACACTAGTGGATGATTGCATGCTTAGGTTCACCAGCTTGGTGGACGTTTCAAACGTGACTTATGCCAAGGACTGGAACTTGTTCAAAAAGAAAAAAACACACCCTAACAACTACGACGATGTGCTCGATATGCTTTACCCACCTTCTCAGTCCGAATTGATGAAACCGCTGCCCATTCGATACATCCAGGTTTTGGGCGCTCTTGACTATGTGCTCAACTTGCACGATATTCATTCACTCGTGCGGATGCAAACCATGTCGCAAGTGTTTTACACCCTAAATGCCACTATTTTCAACCGAATCATCACCCAATCGAAACTTTGCTCCAGAGCGAAAGCCATCCAAATTCGACTCAATGTCCTGGCTGTGGAAGACTGGTTGCGGTCTCATAACTTCAAAGTTCCCAGCACCATGAATCCTGGGTTGAACGTAGAAGTTTCCAACTTGTTGAGCTGGGACAAAGATGGTAATGGGAACGATCCTCATACTCTTAACTTTTACTACGATTCTCTCTTTGCTGTGTGTCGTCGTCAATTACTCCCCACAGTTGAACTTCTCCAGTGGCTCCAATGCATGTCGTCGCTCGATGATGAAGACAGTCTAATCACCACAATCAACCAGTTTGATGCACTCAACTACTACCAGCTTGTCAAAGTTGTAAAAATCTACAAGTATGAAGTTGACGAGACAAAATTTCCCAAAGAATTGAATAACATTCTCAAAGCTTTGCAGAATGAACAGGGAGAAAACCAGATTTCTCGCAGCCATTTGCACTACATGACACAGTCCAACTTTCTTCTGAAAGAGCTCTACGTTTCACTCAATCCCAACTATGTCTTTGCGGTTGCGTTGCCCAATTTGGAAGAGCTCATATCGACTTATGGGCCCGGATTAGGCGGTATCAAGACGATGAGAGCGAGAAAGTACCAGCCATCGCTTCCTATGGAGGTTGCCGACGATATAGACGACATTTTGACGAAGAACAAGTCAACGATGAACGATACCTACGACTACGAAGAGGAGGAAAATGACGAAAGTGACTCAAATGAAACCAAAACCCATCAAGAGTTCAAGGGCGACGAGCTCTTCAAAAGTGTACAGTTACCATCTTCGTTACTCCACAAAAACTGGGGAGATGACGACCTCGAGGCCAATCCGTGGTAGTGATTGTCTTGAGCCGCATGATCCTATTGTGTACTACAATAAAAATTGCTGGCTTATTTTTGAGAGTTGATCTCGAAGCTGTCGCTGGCTAGTGCTTGTTCCATTAGAGTGCTGGTCTTGGCCATTATGGTTACGATATTGTTCCATCGCGACTTCCGTTATGATCCCGCACAAATACCCTAAAAACAATGGAATGCTGTGCGACATTGGATACCGTGCCTGGTACAGGGCTCTCGAGCTGGCCGAGGGGCATAGGGTGTGAACTATAAACAGTGAGTTTTTCTCAATTTCACTACACTTTCCTTTTCAAAAATGCTCTTTAGTCGCTCATTTACATTGGCATTTGCTGCCTCGGCATTTGCCAGTCTTCCAGGATTTGGGTCTTCCGATGGGTTCGTCAAGATGGAGTTCGACATCCTCAAAGATCTTGGACTCTCCACTTCACTCAATGATTTCATTACAAGCTTGTTGCCGGAAAATCTTTCAGCCAGAGACAATAGCGGCAGCGCACCATTGATAAACGAACGTACATTTTACGTTTCCAAACTTAGCATTGGAAACCCAGCTTCCGAGGTGGAGGTTCTCCTCGATACAGGCTCTTCTGATCTTTGGGTGATGTCTTCTAGAAACCCACAATGTAAGGATAATGGCGGAAGTATCGACTGCGAGCAGTATGGTACTTACAACGAAACGGCTTCTACCACGTTCAAGAACAACCACACCAACTTCTATATCCAATACCTTGACAAAACCTACGCCAATGGTACGTGGGGTACCGATCAAATTGCCTTGACGGACTCGTTGAAGCTTAAAGATGCCAGTTTTGCAGTTGCTGAAGATTCCGACTCGAACGTGGGAGTGTTTGGAATTGGCTTTATCGAACTTGAAAGTGGACTGGAAAAGTATATCAATGTTCCTGCCTTGATGAAGCAACAAGGACTCATCAATAAAGTTGCCTATTCGTTGTACTTGGGCAGCATGGAATCAAACAAAGGAAACATCTTGTTCGGAGGTGTTGACCATGCAAAATATAGTGGAGACCTTAAGGAAATTGATATTTCTCTGCAAGATGGTAAGTACCCATATTTGCAGATTCCATTGACTCAAATTTCTGTTCAAAAGGAATCTTCTTCCAGCAAGGCATTCGATGCAAAAGATTCAAAATTTTCCCAGTCTTTTTCAACAAGAGATCTGGAGATAACCAGTCCATCAACACCAACAGTGCACCAGCTTTACTTGACTCTGGTACTACTTTATCCCTTCTTCCTGACGATATCATGAAGCTGGTAGTAGAGGCAATTGACCATGAAGCCGCTTACAACACAGCAGCAGGTGGATACATTGTCAATTGTACCTTGGCACTGCCGCTGAACTCGGTGACTTTTACTTTTGACGGTGAAAAAGATATCGTTGTTCCTATGACCGACTTGATCATCTCCCTGGGAAATTCCGGCACTGGTGGCCAACAGTGTATGCTTGGACTTGTGCCAGGAAGCATGCTTATTTTGGGTGACAATTTCTTGCGTTCAGCTTACTCTGTGTTCAATCTCGACGACAAGACTATTTCTATTGCCCAGGTCAAGTATAGTGACGACCAAGACATCCAGGTTATTAGCTAGAATACCTCAAATACTACATTAGATTGAAAGTTCTTCTCTTTTTTCCTATGTACATTAATTGATGGTTGACATGAAATTGTTGTTTTTTATCTTGGCGGTGTTACTCTTGTTGATTTGCTTTCTCCTCCACTTCATGAAATCTTCCTGCTTCAACGTCTCATTCATCTTTTCCTTATTCAAGCAGTCCCATAACCAATCAGGGTATTCGCTATCTTCAAGAGCTACTGGTTCATCACCACTTTTTTTCACTTTTAAATTCAAAACCGTTCCAGCTTTACACGAGGATTGCATAGCCAAGGCAGACGAGTGCAATCTCGCTACATGGGTCCGGACAGCTAACCTCAACATGCTGAATAGTCCAAAAATTGAATGTGAGAAATTTCAATGTCGCATACTGCATGCTACTTCATGTCGGGATTTGAAAAAATTTGAATCTCAGCGTAAACCCTATATAAAATATGCCACCAAAAAAGAAGGGAGTTATCGAAAAGCCCATTTTGTTGGGAAGACCAGGAAACAACTTGAAGTCTGGAATTGTTGGATTGGCAAATGTGGGAAAGTCTACATTCTTCCAGGCCATCACCAGATGTCCATTGGGTAATCCTGCAAACTACCCATTTGCTACTATCGAGCCAGAAGAAGCCCGTGTGATTGTTCCATCTTCACGTTTCGAGAAGTTGTGTGACATGTACAAGCCCAAAAGTGAGGTCCGTGCCTACATGACCGTATATGATATTGCTGGATTGACTAAAGGTGCTCACTCTGGTGAAGGATTGGGTAACAATTTCTTGGCCAATATTAGAGCTGTCGATGCTATTTTCCAAATGGTGAGAAGTTTCGACGATGCAGACATCATTCATATCAATGACGAAGTCAACCCATTCAATGACTTGGAAATTGTCCACGATGAATTGAGATTGAAAGACATTGAATTTGCCAAGAAGCATTTGGAAGGTATTGACAAGATCACCAAGAGAGGTGGACAATCGTTGGAGGTCAAGCAGAAGAAGGAGGAGGCCGAGTTGGTCAAGAGAATCATTGAGCTTTTGGAAAATGGTGGCAGAGTTGCCAATGAAAAGTGGACTTCCAAGGGAAGTCGAAGTCATCAACACCATGTTCTTGTTGACAGCCAAGCCAGTGATCTACTTGATCAACTTGAGCGAGAAGGACTATGTCAGAAAGAAGAATAAGCATTTGTTAAAGATTAAAGAATGGGTCGATGCTCACTCTCCAGGCGATGCCATTATTCCCGTTTCGGTTTCGATGGAGGAGAAATTGGCAGGTATGGAGTCCGACGCCGAGCGTGATGCTTATTGCAAGGAATTGGGTGCTCAATCTGCATTACCAAAGATTATTACCACCATGAGACAAAAACTTGACTTGATCTCATTCTTCACTTGTGGTCCCGATGAAGTGAGAGAATGGACCATCAGAAGATTCTATACTGCTCCTCAGGCTGCCGGTACGATCCACGGTGACTTGGAGAGAACATTTATTTTGGCACAGGTGATGAAGTATGACGATTTGATCGAATATGGAGATGAAGCCAGTGTCAAAGCCGCCGGTAAGCTTATGTCTAAGGGTAAAGATTATATTGTTGAGGACGGAGACATCATCTACGTCAAGGCTGCGGAGGGCAAGGCGCGGTAAATGAGATAAAATGGAGAGAAATCGAGCTAATAAATCGAGATAAATGTAGTGAAATGTAGGTGAAAGTTGCAAATCGCGAAAGTTGCAAATTACGCATTTGAGAGAAAAATGAAAATGAAATTCGATGAGAAATAAGTGAGACCAAGGTCCTTTAACTGAAACAAACACAAAATGCAATACAAAAAGCAATACAAAACTTGATATATAAGTGCAATACAAATCGATACACTCTTCTTCATCTACATTTATTTTCGCCTCGATTATTCTTCCTTCGCCTCGCCCGGCAAAGCCACCCACGTGCCGGCGAGCACACGACAGTAAGCTTCGGAGGCTTATAGCTAAAACAGTGCTGTGCCTCCCTGGCCGTCAATTGCTAATGTTTTGAACAACTTTAACAAGTTTATTTGCAAATTATGAGATATTCAATCCGAAGAGGGTTCTTGGTCGCACTAGTGGCTTTGGCCATGGTTTGTATGATGGTGATGTATTTACGATACGATTACGCTATGGGCGCTGTACGAGGTATTCCCCAGCATACTAGGTTTGAAGAGAGTGACAGTTTGCTCAGTAAACATGTTCATGTGTCCAACTACAAGTATGGCGACTACGACCGATTGGCTGCGAAATTTAACATGGAACAGTTCAAGCAGCTTCCGCAAGAGGAAAGATGTGTCAAATTTTTCCGTGATTTGCTAGAGAACGACCCGGATTGGGAACTCCGGCCGTTTGATAAAAACGTCGATTTGTTTGAAAGACGTATATTGGACAAGCAGCGATATTTTCGGGAACTGATCCGAGACCTTCGCGATGATAACGACGACAGAAAGAAGCTAGATGTGCCGGGTTCGACATACGAAAATGCCACAGTCGAACGGAATTTCCAGCAAGCAATTAAGAAGACGATGGAAACTGAACAGAAAATGGCAGATTTCATTGCAACCACGAGAATATACCAAAAGTGTTTTGTGGAAGAATGGGTACCACCATCGACAGAAACAGAATTATACGACAAAATGACAAACAAGGTTCTTCCTTTTCTAACCAACACGCTTCCCGAGTTTACTTTTAACAACTCCACCATCACCAATGGGTTTCCTTTGGCAGATAATTTTGACGTTTACCATGAGTATAAAGGCTCAAACTTGGTGGAGTTTATCAAGACAAAAAGTAACGGAAAGGGCATAGTTTTGAGTGCATCGTCCAAACACGGCAGAGACATAGTCAAATTGATCCGTCTTCTTCGTGCGCTAGACAATACCTTGCCTATTCAAATTATTCATCGAGACGACTTCAGCAAACGGAACCGAGAATTCGTTGAATTTGCAGCCACAGCCGATAAAAAGGAACTCCTTGAACCGCCCGGAACTTACAGCTGGAAGAAAGTGTGGCCCGAAATAGACTTGTTGGCCAATGGTACAGCCTACGGAATCAATTATACTCCGCAAAACGTCACCTTTGTGAATATCAAACCAGCTATCAAGTCAGAATTCCGCACCAAGTTCCCCGGGTTTGCAAACAAGCTCCTTGCACTCTTTTTCACCTCTTTCAAAGAGGTTGTTTTGCTAGACGCAGACGCTATTCCGTTGGTTCGTCCAAATCACTTCTTCCTTTCGCAGGAGTACAGAGAGACAGGTACCTATTTTTTCAAAGATAGAACATTGAGAGACACCAACGAGTACATCGAAACCAATTTTTTTGCGAAATTGTTTCCTTCTGCTAATGAAAAGACTTTGGAGGATATCTTTGGCATCCTGCTGGCCACATATGTCAGTCTTGGAAACACCTACATGGCCGGCTACAGACACTACCAAGAAGCAGGTGTAGTCGCAATCGACAAAGTTGCCCATCTTTCGGGAGTAATGATGATGTTTCCTTTATCGCTCTGGAAAGAACCCGTTGGCAGTGCCGTGTGGGGAGAAAAGGAAATGTACTGGCTTGGGCTTTCGATGGCCGGAGACGAAAACTACAGATTCAATTACTATCCCGCGGCAAGCGTGGGCCAGCTCACAACCGCTAAACAATATAGCTACTATCCAGATGCTGAGAGCAACGAGGTATGTTCTACACATCCAGGACATATCGACAAATATGGAAACGTCTTGTGGATGAATTCTGGTTTTTCATTTTGCAAAAAAAATAGCCAGCTGCGAGACAAGCAGCATTTTCCGCTATCGGAAATGAATCAGATGGAAGTTTTGGGGCCCCTCTACGCCGAGCCACTAGTTGTTACCCATGCCATCATACCGCCAACCGAGCCTGAATTACGAGGCATCCACAATTCCTACGACAAGTCCAGACAGATGAAAAAAATGGACGGATGGAAATTGCAAAAAGAGATTGACGAAGTTGATCGACTGAAACAACCCTTTTTCAAGGACAGAAATCCGCTGAAGGGTTGGATGAAAAACCCAATTTGTAGTGGCTACTACTACTGTGCATACGATAAGATTACCACTTTCGACAAGACGACGGATAACGGCGTGTTGGTGAAGATAGACAACACTTTGGTCGAGTATTACAGATATTTGGGCAAGGCATGGCTATCCGGCTCGTCACGATTACGAAACTAAATGTTCATAGCATATTCATTATAGATAAAGATTTTATGAAGTTCTCATGGTTATTTTTCACTCTTTAGGAACCACTACAAAGTGTGTTCCCATGATTCTCTTGAGTGAATCTCCACTGCGATCCAGTTCTGTTACCTTATCACGCATGATAGACCCAAGATTGTACTGTATCGTTTGCTTGTCACTGTCAGGAAGAGCAGTGATATAGGACCGTGTTTCCCAGTATTTGAACACTTCATCTTCGGGTATCAAAGATTCGTAGAGCAAGAATCCCTCATTTTCAATGGGCGGAAACACTTTGGAATTTTGTAAGACTTCTCTCCATTTTCCATGACGATACTGGGGAACATTGACATCGTAGCCATAGATATAAGTAGAAACTTCATGGCACCAAGGACGCTGATCATAGATTTTTTTGGAAACTTCAAACGGTGTTTCCCGCTCAATGGGTCCGTCTAACAATTCTTGAACGGTTTCAGTCGCCAAATCTTCAAACAAAAACTTGACGCTCGGCAAAGGTGTGTTCAAAATTTGCAGCTTTGAGTAGGTATCGTAGTTCCAAATGCAACCAAACTTGCCCCCGTTCTTTAAAACCCGCTTAATTTCCTCAAGCGATGCCTCGTCACTAAACCAGTGAAATCCTTGCGCCACTACCACGGCATCCACACTATCATCCTTAAGAGGAATGTCATACGAAGAACCCAAATGAGTTTCAATGTCTGGAAAGTTCTGGTGAAATGTTTGCAACATTCCTTCAGATGGTTCCACAACAACTAAGTTGGTGTATCCCTTATCGACTAAGCTTTTGGTGAATTTTCCGGTACCGGCGGCCAACTCCAAAATCCGCTTCTTCTTGTCATTTCCTAGATTCAAATCTTGTAAGAATTGATCGACGATAGAGGACCTAAACGAGGGTCTGAACTGGTCATAGGAGCCATGGTTCGAATTGAACGACGTAACGGCAGTTTTGTGGGCGGAAGTCATGGATCTGGTTATAATTAATAGAATCAATATGCGGCTCGCACCCGAATTTTGACATTGACGTGGGGTGCAGATAAGAACGAGTGGGGTGATGTATGCTGTCGTGTATCATAATAAATATCGTTATATAAATATATGGTATTGTCATTGGGTGTTCATGCTAGCGTACTCCTGATGCTCTGTTCGAAATCTCTTGGAGCAACTTGCATTTGTTCAGTGTACGTTCCTAACGTGAATGAGTTAAGCGAGTCGTTCAAAAAGGCAGTGCTGCTGCTTAGAAGCTCCACCAAAGATTTTTTGAAAGAGTCGCTAATGGAAAATTCTAGGCGCTGAAAACGCAAGAGGCCGGTGATTTGGTTATTGTTGATCATTCTGTTCATGATCAAGTTGATAAGATCGTTCGATCTCGTGATAGTGAGAAATTGGATGATGCTGCTCAAGTGGGTTTCAGACAACGAGCGCACGTTCAAAGAACGAAGACATTGCAAAAAGGCTTCGAATCTCTTCACCAAGTGCTTTTGGGATGTGTTGGTGTCATGGTTAATTGTACCAGCTCTCACAAACGAAGACAAGGCCAAGTTCACAAACGCAGATTTAGAGTTCAAGATCACCTTGATGTTATCCATAGCCAATTGCAAGCTCTCTTTGTTATTGCGCTGGCTGATGATTGCATAGACAATTGACTTCAAGTCATTTTTCTGGACACTGACAGAACCAATGTCGTTCGTCAATGAGTTGTAAAACGTCAAGAAAGAGCTCGAATCATCCTTGAATAATGCTGAATCAGTCTTACCAACGCTGAGATAATAGTTCTGAACCTGATCTCTTATTTCGGGATTGTTCAGGTAATTTAATTCACTCAACTTTGCAATCATACTTTCAATCGAAGAAACATTTTTGTTGAAAATCTGATATTTCAAAATTGCTGAGAAAATCAGTGTGGAATTCTCATCCGACAAACTCAAACTCTCCATCAATGATGGGGTACTCAACACCGCGCTTTCAATAAGCTCGAAATTGTTCGTTTTGGATAGCATGCTGAAATACTTGCCGACCCATTCGCCGCTTGAGTTCATGCGATAAAGAAGGGGAAAGACTTGGCCAAACAAGCCACGAGCGTATAAATTTGGGCTCTCTTCAAGTGCCGAAGTCAACAGTGATAACACATCTGTTTGTATGAGTGGACTGTCTTTCGCCAACAGGGGTGCCGAAATCTCCTTTGAGACCGCAATATTGACTGCGTCACTGTGAATTTCGATCAACCTCTTCACAAGTATTGCCTTTGACTCAACAGATAATTGCAGCGATAAGAGCCTTTGAATAAAGGATTGAGCACTTATTGGATTCTTGCGCTCCAAAACATCACTGACAAACGACAGATTAATCATGATGTTCCAAGTGCGGTAGTTGAAGCCATAACCCTCTTTAAACAAATTTAAAAAGCGAGACACACCCACTTTGTAATTAACGTTTAGGATAAACGACAAGTCTATGTCGTATTTCACATGGTCCAAAAGGGTGGATGAGAAGTCTTCCGAAGCAAGCTGAACAGAAATATCCAAAGAGCTACACGCATTAGCCAAAACGCCAGTCATACGGAAGTCAGGTATCGACTTGCAAGACTCAAAAAGCGAGACAACACGCGATGCCAAATGATCTTTGAAAGAGATCAACTCAGGATGAAGCTCAACGTAGTGATTCTCAGTATCTGTGAATTGATTGCTGAGTTGACAAAGTAACCTCAAGGTCTTCAACCTTTCCGTATCTGTCATACTTTGTTGGTCGAGGCAAGCAAATAACATCTTCGACACCTGGAAAAGACCGTAAACATTATCAGTTTGCAAATTGAAGGTCGAGAATGCCGATCTCACCGTGGATGAATTGAGGACGAGGTCCAAAGTGTGCTTCTCAGCATCAGCAATCAAGCAAGGTGCAAACTCAGAGAGAAAAGCATTGATATTTTCGGCAGGGTAGTGCTCAGATTGACCGTCTATAAGGGTCCAGAGAAGATCAAGATAGTACTTCTGTTCCCGGTTGGCCGCGTATCCTGAGTACAAATAACTGCTGCAAATGCGAATGGCATTGATATCCTTTATAAGATGATTCTTGAGAAGAATCTCTTTGATCAATTGGAAGACACGGTCGTGATCCCCCATTTTGATGGTAGTCACTAGAATAGCCTCACGACATGGCTGCAAGTTAGACTCAGTGTGGTAATCCTTCCGGATAGCAAGTCTGAGATAGAGCTTCCATATCCTTTTGTAATCCGAGCGAATGACATTGACGTCTGTGAAAGTTTCAAGACGGCGAAGAAGGGTATTTATGGTTTCATTTAGTACGCTGACTGAAAGCTCTGGAAGGTACGACAACTGGTTGAAAGTATGAATTAAGTTGTGAGCCTTTTCAATTTCGCCAATTCTTAATAAGCCGCGAATGTATGAAGACATGACGAGGGAAATTTGTTGTTTCGAAGGTACTTGTGATTGTGTCATCTTTCCGTGAGATCCCTTTGACGTCTTGTAGTCTAATAAGATTGTATCCAAGAACTTCGTGGCTACTGGCAAGTTACCGCGCTCAGCGCAGGTTTCGATTATTGCGCAGTACACTTCGTATTCGAAAGCTACGAGGCTATCGTCTTCTTGTGCTTGTGCTTTGAACTCATCATAGAGTGTCGTGATCTGACGAAGTACATCTTCAGCCTGGCCAGGAGCGAACTTGGTCAATTTGATCAAATCGACAAAAAGTGAACCTGACTTGTAGCTTGGTACCGATGCCATAACTTCTGTGAAGACCGATTTCGTTACAAGCTCTCCATGATTGATGAGCAGATGCACGAGCCCAGGAAGTACGTCGTCAAGATTAAGAGACTCCTTGTCAGCAATTGATCTGAACAAGTCAATTCCAAGTTTTGAGTATTCCATACAGCGAGTCAAGGACGTTTGACGAGCGTAATGGCACTGATCTTTGGCCAACTCCCATGTCTTATTTGCACCCTGAAACAATTCACGCAATATGATATTAAAGGTTTCCTCGTTAGGTTTGAGCGAGTCGCTCTTTGTGTGCACAGAAGCTTGCAAAATATCCTGATAAACTGTTAACAAAGTAGTCAATTTGGACTCGATGTCCTCATTAGTCACTTCACTGTTCAACGCTCTGTCGGCAATTGCCTTGAGAACCATATTGTATTCGGCGATGGAAGGGAGTGTAATTTCATTTCTCTTGAGCGATTGGTAGAGAGGGTAGATGACGTTCAAGTCTTGTGGAGATTGATGGTTAGCGAAAACAGTGACGATCTGATTGACCAAATTAGTAGCGAGAGATGCAGAGATCGCCTCATCCGCCTCTGGTTCAGATTTTTGAGGTTCTTCCGGTGACTTTTCCTGGAATTGTTCTGGGGCTTCGGCCTCGTTTTCTATGGGGAAAGCTTTCGTAGAAAGATGACGAACTTGAACCGAGGTCGCAATTGGACCCAATGATGCCAAGTATTGCTTGGAGATAGCCTTCAAGTAGTCGATATTTATGTCGATGTCCTTTTTCGTTTGCAGAATAAAGAACCGCGATGACTGGTCAATGTCGTATGCGGTATCGTAGAGCTCTTTCATGATATTAGAAGTGAGTGGTACGTTGAGCACCTCGTTACGGGATCGTCTTCGGTCAACATCCCGATTAAAGATGGAATAGTAAAGGCCATAATGGCCGGCATCGATGCCCAAAAAATGAGTTCCGGACGAAGCAGCGGAAGCATGGGGAAATTTTCCTCTCCAACTGGTGTTGAAGAAAGTATGAAAATTTGTTAAATTGTTGGTTTTCAAGAACGGATACGCACTCTGGAAGAAAGAGATCTTCTCAGTGTGGTGGAACTGCTTCACAAAACTTGAAAACACCATTATAACATAATTGGTTGTGAATGATTTGCCGCTGGAGAAATCGGTGAGACAAAATAATTGTTCACATTCGGAACGAGCCGGAACCGGTCACGTGTCCGGCCTTAGCGCGGGAGTTAAGCCGGGGTTTCGCACTGGCATTTCGCAGCCATTAATTTCAGCAAGAGTTAGCTACATCATTCTTCGACATACATTGCCTTTTTTTTACTCTTTTTTATTTCTCGTCATATTGTTCGTTACAACTCGTAGAGTGACTTTTCTAATGCAATTCTCAACTGCTCATCTTCATCAATGCCGGAACTCGAACCCTCGGTGGGCGATGCAGTTGTATTGTTAGATTCGGCCGGTGACAGAATGCTTTCACTAATTGCCAATGCCACTGAAAGTTCCTCTTCAGGTTCGTATTCCGCTCCATTATATCGTTCTACAAGCTGCTCCCGTTGCTGCTTGATACTCTGCTGGCGATCGTAATCTTCCATGCCGTCTCGAATCGACTGTTTGACATACTGCTTATTTGAAGGTCCAACGTTCAATTTTTTTTTATCTTTGGTGCCAAATTTTGTTTGGTTGTCGCCAAAACTGAAATACTGAACTGCGTCCATGATCACAATAGCTCCCAGGGTATCGGTTTGGTCGGGATTCAATATGATATCTGAAACTCCAGTAATGCTGTGGTAGATATGTGAAAGCTTCTTGGGGAATTTGACGGAACAGTATCTTAAAAACTGACCAGTAATGGCGTTGTAGAGGTTGGTGGAGCCATTGAGTCCTCCCACCGCAAGAATGCTGGAATTGAGTGAGATAGAAGTGGCTTCAGCTTCAGGAATAAAATGATCGGGCCAAATTCTGGTAAACGCAGGACTTATAAGACACTGGGGAATGATAGTAGAGCCAATATCCCGCACATTCCACACTATCACAGTGCCATTGGACAAAATATTGGCGTATAATAGCCCATCAGAACCTGCCAACAGCTTATCTCGTTTGGTGAGGTTTCGTTTCGAAACCGTTTGCATCTTTGCATTTACAATCGTCAAGTCTGGTTCAAATTCCACAGAAGAATTGGTGTTTCGCTCGTAGTTGTATAACCAGATCCTGTTCTTGTAACATAGTATAATATTGCTGTCAGCAAAATCAACATCCATGAACAAACGATGTTTGTCTTGCTCCACGAACGTGAGTTCCAAATCGATTGAAGAGACCTTAAACGTTTTCAAATCTATGATGTAAAACTTTGAAAGAGATAATGCCACGGCAACGTTTTGGAAATTACTTTTGATCTCAACCAAAGGGTCGTTCAACTCAAGTGTCTTCTTCAAGGTTCCGTTAATATTCCAAAATTTCACAGCTCCCAGCATTGTTCCCGCTATACAATCCACATCTCGCCTATGCTTATCCAAGTAGAAACTCAAAGCAGTACAGGTGATGGGATCGAGGTCTTCAGCAGTATCATCTATAAGCGTAATCAATGAAGTGCGTGAAGTTGTGGAAGATGTAGACGTTTTCAAGTTTTTCAAATATAGTCCCCCAGTCTCCTTACCGAGAAACAAGTAATCCCAGCTCACAGAGTAGGCGGAAATGCGGGAAAATGCCTGGTTTCCTGGAATATACGTGACATTTTTGCCATCTCGAAGATTGCAAATCTGTATATCTCCTTGAGAAAAGGTAAGCAAACGGTTCTGATTGAAGTCAGCTATGCTGTGATTGATCATGGCAAACTCATTGTTGTTGAGAACTTGGTAACTGGTATGTCTGGCTATACCTTTACGCCATCTTTTATACACCTCAAGCCTGGTGAAATATTCAGTCATCCAAACCGACGATCCAGATACAGAAGGAAACACTTTGCTCGAACCAAATCTCCGCGAAAACGATCCTGCCCACGTATGCTTGTCCCGAATCGCCTCATACCACTTTTTGCACACCACTCTTCCATTACAAAGATCGAGTGGATTCAACCGCGAGAAGATATTGATAAGTACTTCAAAGGGAAGGTCATTTATATGTATTCTCGGGCGCCCACCAGACTTCTGGGCTCCATTCCGTGAGTTTCCAAGACTATCAGCTTCCATAGCTACGTATTGGTTGCTAGGTACCAATATATATGATGACTCTTAGAAAGACGAATAAACCCGAACCTCGTAAATTCCGATTACATAAGCACACATTCCCATGTGGGGATGCAATTAGAACTCGTAAATGAAGCATGGGTCAATTTGTGATTTAGGCACTGCTCTTACAAAGGCTGCTGTTCAATTTCGTTGTCTTTGTCCGTCCTACCGGGGTTAAGTTTATTGTGGGGTGCTTACCTAAGCGGTCAAAAATTTCCAAAGCTCGGCCGCAAATCCTCAACACTTTTGTTACCGGCCTATGACGGAAGACAACGCTGAAGGCCAGGAAACTGCATTGAGCAGCCAAAATTTGGTCAGTGTGGAGATCACGCTTCCGAAGGATGTTCTGGGTGCTCTGAAGCCGTTGACGGTGAAAATGGCCGAGTCAGACACCATTTCCGACTTGACTCTGACTCTCGGATTGCTTAGTTCGATGCGAGATTTGACCAATTACTATGTGTTTTACCGCAATACGAACATTTCCGAGACTTTTGATGAATTGTGTCCCATTTCTGAGGTTATTTCAGCTTTAAGAGTGGAATCGCAGCCAAACGTCAAGCTTGAGTTACGTCATAAACCGTACACTTTGGCAGCAGTTTACGAACACTTGAACAAGTTTCGGGAGGTTATTGGGTTGCACTTTATTGACAGAAGAGCTTTTGAATTGGGTGAGTTGAGCGGAGTTGGAAAATTTGACCAATTGCAATTGTCGCAAGTTCCCGACCAAAAAGAAGACGAAAAAGAAAAGGTAGACTTGGGTGAAGATGACAAGGCAAGTATAAGTTCCATTTGTGACAGAATTTTGGACGAGACAAAGCTCGATCTTCTGGAATATGGAAAATTTTACGACATTTATTCGGACCTTCAGGTACCCATAAAATCATTGACGATTTCGCAGTGGTCACCAGTCTCGCCCAAGGAAGCAGTCCGAGGCGATTTGTTGTATTTGACGTTACAGACGTTGGAGAACGACACCTACCACATCACCTGCCATCTTTCTGGATTTTTCGTGAACAGTTGCTCTACTGTCAATTTCAATCCAGCTCGCAAACCTTCCCACGAACCCAAGTTTCTTTTCTTTGACCTTGTCAGTTCGTTGTCTCCAGCGTTTGCCAAGACAATTGCCCGCAACGAAGAGATACTTGCGAACTCTTCTCGTTACGCAGAATCGTATTTGATCCCATCGCATACCAGTGGTTCCTATCCATGGCTAGTAGACACTTCTGCTATTTCTCGCAAGCCAGACCAGTCTCGTCCTCAGTTGCTGATACTCAACAACGGTGTGGATGGCTCGGATAACGTCAAGGACTGGAACGAGGACTTTCAAGCCATTCGTGAGCTTCCTTCTGGAACTGTGAACGAACGTATTTTGAGAGAACGTTTAGCCATCAAGTTGGTTTCCGAGTTTACGAAACAGGCCACCGAGACTGCCGTCAACATTATCAAGGGAAATCTTACTCCAATGAACCCCAATGAGCTGGTTGAGCAACATATTTATATGAGAAATGGTATCTTTTATTCTTCTGGAGTAAATGCTACTGGCGCATTTGACGAAACTGGAGGTAATGAGGCAGCTAGATATGCTGCTGCTAAGGATTTGGCTGGTGTAAAGCTCTTGAACAGAATTGATGCCAAGGGAATATACCACTTGGCTACCTGTGTCGTTGACTATATGGGTAGAAGAATTGTGTGCCAAGCACCGGTTCCAGGAATTCTCAATGATCCAATTGTGGAAAGCGACGAAGCTCCTGCTGATAAAGTGTGCTACGGCTTACTGACGGATGGCACAAAAGTGTATTCGGATTCTCAATTCCACGAAGCGTTGAAGCCAATCGCTGAGGCCTTCCATATGAAGCCTCACAAAGTCACGTTGCCTAATGGATTCAAGACCAAGGAAGACATTGCTCTTTCGAAGGATTCTAAGGGTATCAGAGGAACAGATGGAAGAAACTACGTTATTGATCTTTACAGAAGTACTCCGCTTGACATTGATTTTATTGAGAAACACTGGAGACCTGAACACAGCGACTCTTATCCTCACAGAGAAACTGTATTGAGGCACGAAGCTGTAGAGGAGTGGTGGAGAAGACGGGCGTTGGCTATTTTCAAGAGTGAAACCGAGCGTTTGGAAGCAGAACAAGGTGCAAAGAAGAATGAAGGAGAAAGCGAAAAACCTCAAATTTTACTTGATGCTCAAAAAGTTCTGTTTAATCCTGATGCATTCACCCACGATGAAGTCGATGAAGAGGACAAGGAAGTGGTGAGAGAAATGTCCCTCTTTGTCACAAAACAATTGATTGAAGAGTTTGTTGAGGAAAGCAAGAAACAATTGTGTCCATTTGATGGGTCTCATTTGTCTTCGTTGTTGCATAAAGCAGGTATCAACTTGCGGTACCTTGGTTTAATTGCTACAAGAGCTCAAGAGTCGCTCGAAGCTTTTGAACAGGAGGAAAAGAGCAAGATTGAAGATAATGAAAAAGCCATTGAGGAAGAGAAGAAAGAAGAGAAGACTGAAAAGAAAGAAGAGAAAGAAGAGAAAGCCGATGAAGAGAAATCTGAAAATGAAGAAGACAAAACTAAACCCGAGGAACCTTCGAAGGGTGTTTTCGATCCTATTAAAGCCAACTTGAACTCCGTGCGCTTGTTGGCAATCCAGGAGATGATTGCTAGAGCTGTCAAACACATCTTCCGTTCTTTTGCTCATACACTTTCATCTTACTTACTTCCATACTTTGTGGCTCATTTCCACAACTGTCTTTTGGGCTCGCAAGTTCTGAGCAAACCAGAGATTTCTATCGACGAAACCCTTACAGCTTTTGCCGACCCGGATGCATTGAGATTTATTACGCTCGACCACCAGCAGGTTGTGTCCATGGTGGAAGAGGAAGTACTTTTACGTTTCAGATTTGAATTGCCTGAAAATTGGATTAACGCCGTGTCTCCTATCACAATGATGAGAGAAATATCTCATAAATTTGGTATTCAATGGAAGACACAGGGCTACGCATTCACCGCTGAAGGATTCAAAGAGTTTCAACAAAGCACCGAAAACATTATAGTGCACAAACAAAAATCAAGCAAAAAGCTGAAAAAGAGGTCTCTGCCTTCGGTTGAAGAAGTCTTCAAGCGCAAGACGATTTTCGTGGCCGATGACATTATTTCATTTACACCTTCTGTCAAAAGTTCCAGTTACAAGGCTACTTTATTGGACGAGATTTTCGAAGCAGCTCGCGGAAAGATTGCAGCAGAAGAAAAAGATTCCGGTGTAACTTTGTTGAATGAACTTGTTTCAATCTACGAACAAATTTATGGTGTCGTTCATCCGGAAACGAGCAACTTTTACAGTGTTTTGTCTCAATTTTACAGCGACCTTGGGTTCACTACCGAAGCAAGCGAAGTGGCTCGCAAAGCCTGTGTGCTCTTTGAACGTACTGCTGGTTTCGATTCCTTTGAAACCATATCCAGCTACATCAATTCGGCGTACTTTGAGGCTGCAAATAGCAGCTATGTGAACGCTTTCAAGTTGTACGAAAAAGCACTTGGAGACTGGGACTTTGTTTTTGGGTCTCACCATCCTTCTTCGGTGACCACGCTCACGAACTTGGCGGAGATTCTTGCTCAATTGAAGATCACGGACAAGGCGAACAGATTATTTTCTGCTGCTCTTGAGTTGTCTGAAAAAATCAATGGTGAAGATTCTCAAATTACAGCGATGATTCACTACCGTTTTGCCGGAACTTTGGTGAATGAAAACCGTTTTGACGAAGCCTTGGGACATTTCGAAAAGGCTCATACAACCTTTTCTAGACACATTGATCCTAACGACCGGTTGACGAAGGACTGTTCCAATTATGTTGCCAATCTCAAGACTTACATTGCCTACATGAAGCAACAAGCAAAGGACAAAAATAAACCAAAAAAGGTTAAAGCACCACCAGTGCCTCCACAAGCTACTACCAAAAAGAGCAAGAACAAGAGCAAGATGGCGCAAACCCAGATCCTGAAATTGCATCTCAATCTGTCGACGAGATTCTCAAGTTCATCGAGGGTAAAACCAAGACTAAAAAAAAAGTAAGTGTACATAGTGTATATAGTTGATTCTACTGCTTTTTTCTATTTACTGGGCACCAGGCGATTTAAACATGACAAACACATTTTTAACAAACTTGTCGTCTCTCTTAACGGCTTTCACCAAACGAGATTCAAATTCGTTCAATTCGGAAATCCTGAGATCTTTTGACGAGGTTGCAATTGTGATGTAGATGTTGGTGTTTGCTCCAGATGTGATGACTGAGAGCTTTTTCAATTGGAGGTTGATGGGGTTAGTAACCTCGAATGGATCCTGGGCTATAGAGATTTCATCTTGGATAGCCGATTCAATGGTGGCATAAACTTCACTAGTTTGAGGTTCACCGCGATCAATGAGCTCGCTACATGAAGTCTTGAAAGTATTCCACCCAGCCTTTATGATAAGCATGGAAACACACAAACCACCAACGGAATCCAACCATGCTACGTTGAACATATGGCCACCGGCAACGGTGAGAAGAGCCACAAATGCCGTCAACGAATCCACACGATGGTGCCAAGCATTAGCCACAAGCACCTTTGAGTTTGTCAGCTCAGCCACCTTCATAGTTTTACGATAAAGAAGTTCTTTAACGATAATGGAGCCACCTGCCAACCAAGCAGCATTGATATTGGGAATTTGTTTTGCTGGTAATGCCGGCTCTGCTTCAATTTGGGTGGTGCCATGGCTATGAGAATGGGCAGGTGAGTTCAGCAGGCCCAAGTCTACAGCGTGAGAATGGCTGTGGCCAATTTGAACCATCGAGACGTATTCGTACAAATACGCAGGCAAGGTGTATTCGAAAATTTGAAGAAGCGAAGACCATCCCACGGAAACTCCCGCGAACAAGAGAATACCCAGCACGAAAACACTTCCCACGGTTTCAATTTTGCCGTATCCTAAGGGAAATTTCGTTGGAGTCCCGATCTTGGTAGAGACATTGACCGTGGCCAACGTAAGGAAGTCTGCCACCATATCGGACACCGAATGGATGGCATCTGCTATGAGAGCTTGCGAGTGGAAATAGACACCACCCACACCTTTAGACGCTGCCATGCCGATATTGACAAAGAGACCGACCCAGGTTATTCGCACGGCTGGATTTGACAAAGAACCCGACGTCAAGAGCTCATTGTGACCATGGGAGTGGGAGTGAAAAATTCCATGGGAGTGACCGTGGTCAGAGGAGTGTTCGTGAGAGTGGACTCCATGTTCGTGAGTATGGCCTAGTTCGTGATGCTCGTCGCGAACAGTAGGTTTTGGGGAGTGGGAGTGAGAGTGGCCGCAAGGAACCCCGTTATGGGAGTGGGAGTGAGTGTCTTTTTTCGGTTCCTGAGAGCTCTTGAGAGCAGCCAGAGTCGAGAAGTCTCGCTTGGTAGCAACTCCATCGCCAGAATGCGGTGAAAATGCCAGAGCTTTCAGCAGCGTCGACATGGAATAGATGAGAAAGTGAGAAGATTTTTGACACGACAGGATGGCGCGAAAAGTCGAAATTGGAACTCGCGGGGAATTGCACGCTGTGGTGCCGAATTTCAACCAACGACCCAGCTTGATGATATTCATTGACCTGGCCTGGAGGTCGCTAGTGTCGATGGCCGATTCGCGGTTGGTGCTAAATCCGGCACAAAGCCGGGAGATAAGTTCATGTGGGGAAGCGGGCGTAGCTAGCGGTAGCTAGCGGAGCTTAGCGAAACTTAGCGGGACTTATCGGTAGCTATAGCGTAGCTAGCGGTAGCTATAACAGCATTACCTAATGATAAAACCGGATGAACTCGGTTTCAAGTCCAGCTTTATCGTTTATAAGCAGATCGCAAATCAGATTTCAATTGAAATAATTCGGACAAATCATGAGATTTTAGATGTGTGTCTGAAAGTTGGGATTTTGAGTTACCGAGCTAAGGAAATCACCCAAGTCTAATGTGCTTCTCCTTTACTGTCTTGGCCCTTGCAGTATGCTTCATCTTCGGCTGAACAACTTTTCCACTGCCGAGGTAGTGGTGATTGACAGCCCGTCAGCGGGCGCACTCGTGGATTGGGAATTTGTTCCAACCTCATTCTTGGTTATTTTACTGTTATCTGTGCTTTTGTCCTCTCCATGTCCATTGGATTCGATCTTTGTTTCTTGAATTTTCAGTACTTTTTCACTTTCTTCTGATTTCACTCGTTTCACTTTTTCATTCTCTTCTGTTACTCTTTTCTTTTCATTTTCTTCTGTCACTCTTTTCTCACTTTCTTCTGTTACTCTTTTCTCACTTTCTTGTGTAACTTTTTTCTCACTTTCTTTCCTTCGTGCTTCTCTTTCCTCATATGCCTTAACCCGCTCTCTCATCGCAACAACCAATGGATCGTCTGGTGCCACCTTTTCTAGCGCCTTTTCGACTTTCCACTTGTCCTGAGCCTGGTGTAAAACACTCTTAACTTCTGGCGTGGGCCTTCTTATATGCATAAAGTTACAGTGTCCTCCTCGTGAACAAGCTCCAGCATCGTAAGCTCTGCAATTGGCATCTTGGAAACTTTCCACCGGCGACAATTCACAGTGGATGGGAAGTGCATCGTACCACTCTTCATTGAGTGCATTCATGACGGTTTCGGCAACAGTATCGTTCATAAACTTGACATAAACATTGCCATTCAAGTGGTCGTTATCGTTTTCACACACAACCATAGCATCAATTTCACCAATGCGGGCAATATATACAAACACATCTTGGTAAAACTGGTCGAATCGCTGTTGAATTTGTTGTGAAGAACCTTTGGGATTACGATATAAATTGAATATGAGTATAGTATCTGACCTACGTGGATGTATATGCCGCCGGGAGCACTTGTCGCCATGCCGACACGCTCCGATCTTGGAGTAAAACGTGCACACGTCTGCCATGAGTAGAGCCTCATCGCGAATTCGATATCAAGGCATGGTGTCTGGGTGCAATGACCCTAGTAGTTCTATTGGACCTAGAAGCAGAATACCTGGTCGTCTGGCTCCGACCGCATGGTTCCTCGGGGCCACCCGAGTGCCTCGGCCTGCTCAATCATGGTTCTCTTCATTTCTGGTGGTCCGCAGATGAGAAGACGAGCATCGTCGCTGGGTTTTGGAAGATGTGTTTCCATCATTTCTTTAGTTACGTAGCCCGTACTTCCTGTCCAGTCCTTGGGAGGCGTGGTCAATGTGTAGTGCACCTTCAAGTTGGGAAATTTCGAGGAAATCTCGTCGATTTCTGTCTTCAACAAAATATCATTGGCAGTCTCATTAGCGTAGATTAACGAGAGTTTAGTATTATCTTTTGGGTTGGTGATGACCTCGGTGATCACCTGGAGGATGGGTGTTATTCCTGAGCCTCCAGCAATGATTCCTATTTCGCGGTACAGATTGGGAACATAGGTAAGTCGTCCTACGGGACCACGAAACTTGACAGTTTGACCCTCTCGCAACATGGCAAATCTCTTGGAAACTTTTCCTTCCGGGTACGATTTGACCAAAATGTCAAAGAAACCAGCATCAAACTTGTTCGAAATGGGCGAATAGTACCGTACTTCGTCAATACCATCGATGGTCATACAACATGCAACATGATGGCCAGTGGGAACATCCAACACCTCGTCTTCATGTTTAAGCTTGAATCTATAAATCGCCGAGTTGCGCAGAACAATAGTTTTGTCAATAAGCTCCAAATCGTTCCATCTAAGTGGCTCAATTGAACTTCTATTGTTCATGGCTCTCCAAACCTGAGCAGTACAAATCACCACGATAAACGCAATGCTGTAGGGAAGATACTCAAAACCGAAAAGAGAGGTGCCGAACAAAATGAGGGCTATGGGGATGAAGACCGAGTGAAGCGGCTGCTTCAATAACTCTCTTTTGTCCTCCATACGTGAATACAGTAGAACTAACTTTTTCGCGCACAAAAAACAGTTAGACAAATTTCCACAAGTACTGCATATAGTCCGGCCCATACGGACACTACAGAATACTACTATTTTCTCAAAACATTATATAGCACTTCGTAATTAGTACTCCTCTTCTTCCTCAGGGTATGAATCGGTGCCCACCTCGATGTAGTCACGCTCCAAAGCGGCCAAGTCTTCTCTGGCCTCGGTGAACTCTCCCTCTTCCATTCCCTCTCCTACATACCAATGAACAAATGCCCGCTTGTTGTACATCAAGTCAAACTTTTTGTCAATTCTTTTCCATGCCTCGGAGATCGCCGTGGTGTTGCTCAACATACACACAGCTCTCTTAGCAGCGGCCAATTCGGATCCGGTAATGGCGGTAGGTGGTTGGTAACAGATACCAATCTTGAATCCAGTAGGACACCAGTCTACCATTTGCACCGCCTTTCTGGCCTTGACTTGGGCCACAGCATTTTGCACATCTCTGTTAACCACGTCTCCACGGTACAACAAGCACGATGCCATGTACTTTCCAGCACGAGGATCACACTTGACCATCTGGTTACCAGGTTCGAAACAAGAAGCGGTCATTTCTTGCACGGAGTTGGCCTCGTGGTTGGCTCTGTTCTTTGAGAACACTGGAGCGTACGACACCAATGGGAAGTGAATACGGGGGTAAGGAACCAAGTTTGTCTGGAACTCATTCAAATCCACGTTCAACGATCCTTCAAAACGCAACGAAGCCGTAACCGACGAAACCACCTGGGCAATTAAGCTGTTCAAAGAATCAAACCCGGGGCGGGGGATATCCAACTTTCTTCTAGCCATGTCATAAATGGCTTCGTTGTCCACCATAAACGTACAGTCAGCGTGCTCCAATGTAGTATGAGTGGTCAACACAGTGTTGTATGGTTCGACCACAGAAGTCGACGTTTGGGGAGCAGGGTACACGGCAAACTCCAACTTGGACTTCTTGCCGTAGTCAATGGACAATTGCTCCAATAATAACGATCCTAACCCGGATCCGGTACCTCCTCCCAAAGAGTGTGTAAACAAGAATCCTTGTAACCCATCACACTGGTCAGCCATACGACGAATTCTATCCAAAACATCGTCCAAAATCTCCCTTCCAACTGTGTAATGACCACGAGCATAGTTGTTGGCGGCATCCTCCTTGCCGGCAATCAATTGTTCGGGATGGAACAAATCCTTGTACATACCGGTGCGCACTTCATCGATCACATTGGGCTCAAGATCCACATATAAGGCTCTGGGAACATACTTGCCCAGCCCAGTCTCACTAAAAAATGTAGAAAAGCCTTCTTCGGCTCCTTTCGGACGATCTAAACCTTCTTGAAGAAATCCGTCGGGACGAATTCCGTGTTCCTGAGAATATAATTCCCAGCAAGCGTTACCGATTTGACAACCAGCTTGTCCGACTGGGTTAGTATGGGTGAGAAGAGCAAGAATACATTGTTTTCTGTGTACATACCATTAACACTGATCACCTCTCTCATGATTGAAGAGGGCGTCGCTTTCAAATCAAAAATAAACAAACGCGCAGACCTGCAGATAACATGATCTAGACGAGAACAGAGATATGAGAGAAAAAGGATAGAGGAATCATACGAAAAGGAAAACGGAATATAACGGAAAGAAAGAAAAAAGAAAACGATTAGAGATAGCATAATATTTACACAAAAGTTTTTTAAACGTTTATTCATCGTCTCTTATTCGCAGCCATTGCACCCATACATGGTCTACAACTTTTCCATTCTTTTTCGCAACCATTCTCACCAGATATTCTTCACCTTATCCCACACACTTTCGTGCTTTGGTTCCAACCCCAATGCTCTTCTCACGTCATCGCTGGAGTCTTGCAAAAGCTCCACAATCAGCTTGTCCCATTTGGTCTTACCTCCGCCGTAAAACACATCCAGCTGGGCTTGGGCCAATCTGACCAAATCCGACCTCTTCAAGCTCGAAAGGAAATCGTTGTCAAAGCCAAAGGACAGCAAGTACGATTGCAAATCGGCCTTCGAATACAACTGGAAAATGTAATCCCAAGCTTGCTTGGTGCTCTTTTCCACTTGATCGTAAGCGTTTCCGGCAGCTTCACCTGCAGCTTCGTAGGCGCCGTTTGCGGCATCCTTGACGGCTGAAGAGTAGTCACCATACTTGGTACTAGCAGCAGAATAAGCATTGTTCCAGTCTGGCTTGTATTCCTCGGCAGCATCACCGGCACTTTTAGCGGCATCATTGGCGTTTTTCGCAGCCTTTTCAGCCACCTTTTCGGCCGATTTAGAAGCTTGGTCAGCATACTTTCCAGCAACATCTTGCAAGTCATTGGCTTGTCCAGTCAATTTCCCAATGGTTCCCGCTACTAATTTTTTAGCAGAATCCAAATACAGATTGGCAGCTTGCTGCGACTCCTTGGACTTTTGCTTCAACAGCTTACTCAACGAGGTTGCAAATTCATTCGCAGCAAGTGCAACACTACTAGCAGACTCCTCGATTTTCTTCTTGCTGTAGCCCGCTTCTTTGCTCAAAAGTCCAGAATACTCGTAAGCAGCATCCTGGGCACCTTGCAAAATACTTTCCAAAGAGTCACCAGCATTTTGAGCTTCCTTGCTAAAGTACTTCGACGCTTCGTCATAGTATTGAACTGCCACATTGTAGCTGGACAAAATGGCGTCTTCAGCAAGAGACTTTTCCGACTCGGCAATCTTCTCGGCCTTATCAGCAGAATCACCTAAACTCAGCTGGAACGAACGCACAGAACTGGTAACACTCTCACGGTAATCGTCGAGATCGGGCTTGTGCAAGTCAATCTGGGTCTGAATATCAGAACCCTTGCTTTCGTAGTACTCTTTCAACAGCGACAAAGCATCCTTTCTGGCACCATTGACGTTTTTTCCCTGCTGACTCAACCACTTTTGAACGGAATTCAAAGACAATCCTTCCAAAACTCCAGTGAAAGGACTGTCGGATTGCTTGTACTTGACGGGAACATTGACGCTCTTTTTCACATAGTTGATCAAATCTTGCTTCAGAGCAAATTGGGGAAATTTGACGTCTCTAGCCTTCAAGAAATCACGAAGTCTTTCTTTGGACCACGAGTCAATCCCCACCAAGAACGTATCGTTGATGTAGTCCTTGGCTGTCTCCACAGACTCACTAGCTTTGGAGAGATAAGGATCGGCACTCTTGCTGGCTTTCTCCAGCCATTGCTTGATGTCACTTACAAGATACGACTTGTGTGATTTAGCAAGCTTTTTCAACTTTTCAATATCCAAGTCTTCAGCGTAGACACCAGGTTTGGTGTCGATAAACCCATGGATGTAAAGCCACTCGCGCAACTGAGGGTAGCTCCAGCCGTCAATAAAACTGTCCTTGATCTTTTCGCCCTTGTCAAACGCCTCCTTTCTTCCCAACTTGAGCGAGTCAAGAAAGCTGTTCTTCGCGTCAATTGCTTCCAAACTGGCCAAGTAACTGTTCTCCTTGACCGAGTTGATCAAATCGTCCTTGGTCTGCGATGGGTCGAACGCAATGTCATGGTCCTCCAACCACTTCTTGACATCGTTCAATGACCACCCCAGGTAAAGCCAGTCGCCAGCATACGATCCACTGACTCCATTATCTTTAACAATCTGGTCGTACTTTTCCTTGGCCAAATCAAGCAACTCTTGCTTTGACGATTTTCTGCCAAAAGAAACGCCATTCTTGTGCAAGAAATCTTTCAACGAAGAAGCCAGCCATGTTTCAAACGCCCAATCCTTCACAGACTTGTCGTTTTTGAATAAATAGCCCCACTTGGATTCAGTTTGGGGAAATACATCTTGCAAATCTGCCTTTGGTTTCGTGGCCAATTTCAAAATTTCTTGGTTTCTGTCGTCATTGACATCAACCACAACATTGTGCCCGGTCGTCTGCAACTTTTCGTACTCCGATTCGGCCAATTTAGACAATTCTTCAAAAGAGGCCGAATCGTCGTATTTCACGTGAAGATCATTTAGGAAATGTTTCACATCATTTTCATTAAAAGTTGAAACATCGGCTGCCACAATTGAAGCCAACGCTAATACTAATACTTGCCACTTCATTTTGTGGTATATGAGAAGAATAAGTGCTAAATATATTTGTGTGGAGAAGGTCAGGTTTGTAGCAGCAACAGCAAGCAAGTACTGCACACTGGTCTTTTTTGCACCCACAGTGGCTGCGCGGCTTCACTTCACCACCGCGGCACATGCCGTATTTGCTTTCATTTGCTTCCATTGCTATAATTGCTACTGCTACCAATTCTGTATTGATGCGATCTATCTACTTCTTCTCGTACAGTCTTCTATACTTGTCGTCTATGTCAACAAGATAGTAAGTACCAGGTACAAGCGACTCAATGGATCCCAGTGGCTTGTACGACTTTTTCAAGTGAGCCTTTTCTCTAGATTCGAGGGCAGCAACGTAGGCTTCTGGTGATTGGATAACTCTTCCTTCGCCGAGCTTGTGGTCAAAGTTCAAGTTTTTCGTCAATTGCGAAATATCTCCTTTGACAGTCATTGACATCAATGTAGCCGCCAATCCTGAACCGTACGAGAACAATCCAATTCTCTTACCTTGCAATTTCTCGGAGCCAACGTAGTACAAGACAGATGCCAAAGAAACCCATGCGGAAGCAGTGTACATGTTTCCGGTGTTGGTGGGCACTTTCAAAGCCGGATCAAGTCTGGTTTTCGCTTCGGTTTTAGACAATCCAAGGAACACTTTTTCCAAGTTTCTGTCGACCAACGACTGTTCGTAGGTCAAGGCGTCAATAGTGGCCTTTGTTTCGGCGTCAATGAGGTCCTTGAACGACTCGGGGTCGGCTTTGTAGTCGTTGTACAACAAACGAGCGTACGACTTGGTAACCAACTTACAAGTGGGAACGTGAAAAGCGTTGTAGTCAAAGTGGGAGAAGAGACCCGCGGCTTTGCGGCCGAGTTTCTTGGAGTAGGCTTGGTAGCAGTGGTCAACGGCTTTAACGTAACAACTCAACGAAAAGTGGCCATCGACAACTGGGTACTCCGAAGTAAAATCTGGCTTGTAGAAGTCGTAGGCGTGTTCCATGAACGTACCTCTAGTGGTATCGAACACGATTGGGGCGTCAGGACCAATCAAGAACGCCACAGCTCCAGCACCTCCAGTTGGTCTGGCAGCACCCTCGGCGTAAATGGCAATATCTCCAGCCACAACAATAGCCTCGCGTCCATCCCACGACGACGATTCGATCCAGTTGACAGCATTAATCACTGCCGAGGTTCCTCCGTAACACGCGTTCAAAGTATCAATTCCTTCGATGTCATAATTTTCAGGAAACAACTGCATCAAAACCGACTTGACACTCTTGGATTTGTCCAAAAGAGTCTCAGTTCCAACTTCCAAACGTCCAATCGAGTTGGGATCCACGTTGTAGTTTTTCAAAAGATTTGAAGTCACCGTTAAAGCCAAAGAATAAATATCTTCTCTGTCGTTGACAAACGCCATATTTGTTTGGCCCAAACCAATGGTATATTTTCCTGCTGGAATGTTGTCATATTTCTCCAACTCGGCCTGGTTGACAGCCTGGGAAGGGATGTAGACTTCGATCGCTTTGATACCAACGTTATTGGGCATTTTTGTAACGGCTGCAAAGGAAACGATCGTTTAAATCTTCGAGTCGAGGCTGCAAACGAGCGCGTTACCCGGAGGGAAATGTGCAGGAGAAGCCCGAAAGGGTAAAGAGGTGAAGGAAATAGAGGAACGAGTAAAGATTAGGGTACAGGTGAAGGAAGATGTCAATGTAGTAGGTGAGTACACAAAAGTGCCTATATGGTCGTCAGCAAGTAGCTTGTATTCCGTTATTGTAGAAGTAAATGTCGTAGTCGTAATCTATGTGCATAGATGCAGTAGTGGGCTGTTTTGAGGATTGCTTCGGAGATGAATTAGCCTTCGGAATTGGTTGTATAAGGTTAGTGGTTGTTCGTTGGTTGTTAGTTGTTGGTTTGATTTTTGCTTGTGAATCTGAGTAGCCGAGTCTCTCTGTCCGTCTATAATGTCTATAATGACCGCTTCCTCTTCACTTTCTTGTTTCAAATTTAGATTACAGCCCCCAGAAACATAAACGTATCGTAATCGTTGACCCCGTCGGCAATGAACCGCCGGTACGCAGCCAAGTAGCCATCAAACATGCTTTTCACTTCGTCCACCAATTTGGTCATATAGCAGCATTCCTTGCTGACAAAATCGGTTCCTTCGCCCACCATGGTTTCAATGGCATTGATACTATTGCGCAATTGCTCCAAATTGGCGTGTTGGCCCGAGGCAGAGCCGACAGAAATGGACGAGGCCCGACCCGCTGTGGAGGCAGTGGTGGAATGGTGTTCGAGCGCTTGATTGTAGTCGTACAATAACTCTACGGTTTCGTCCACGAGCACGTTGAGCGAGTCGGAGTCGATGGACTCAGTGCACTGGGCCAAACATTGTTTGCAAGCGGTGATGCCCTTGAGAATTGCACTAGACCGGTCGTACGGACTATTGGTGGAGTTCAATGTGAGTTTTAGTGATACCTTGACAGCACTAAAGTTGCGGAAGGCGGTGCGGTTGAGGTCCTGAATCCTGGTTTGGATTCTTTTGAGGTTGTTTAGTATGTGTTGGGCGGTATTAATGAGAAATGTTTGCTGGTGCGACAGAAGTGCAACAAAGAGCGGAGTTGGAAGTGGGTGAAGAACGAGCGAGTTGCTAAAGTCAAACTCGCGGTTAAGAAGGTGATCTTTGATCTCGGCCAAGCTGGTGGCCAAAAACTCTTCTCTGGCCAAAAAATTTTGCCATGATTCCGGACGCAGCAATTTTGAATCAAAAAGCTGGGGAGCGGCGATTTTGAGATCACGAACCGAAGGCCCATTATTGAAGATTTCATCCTCTATATCCAGCACGTACGACTGGTCTGAGTCGTCGTCCAAGAGGGTGGCGAACGGCGCCCGTACAAAACGGGGGGAAATCGACTGGAGCATGGGTGGAGGAGGAGAAGAACCAGAAGAAGGCGATGCCGAGGCGGGCTCGGCGCGAACAAATTTCGCAGTAATTATGTGCAGCTTCGCGGAGTACCGAACGCAGTGCAGTTCGGTAGCAATCAAGTCGCGTGAAATGAAATTTGTGGAATAGCGGGCGGTGTAGATGAGATTCGCGTAGGCTGCTATGGAATGACAGCAGTACTAAGCACTATGAACAGTAATCGACACCACTGAACACCACTATGAGTAGTAATGACACCACTAAACAGCAGTATGAAAAGCACTATGAACAGTAATGGACAATCACTTAGACGACAAGTTCAATACTCGCGTCCTAGCCATTAATTTTCTTGTTTTTATTTTTGTTACAGTTGTCTCACTTGGTTCCGCGTTATCTTTTATAGTTAGTCGCCCAAGCGCGCACACGAGCACTGGTGCTGGGCGGGGATTGCCGCACCGGACTGGGGTGCAGATGGTGGGGAAGAGATGTTATGGAAAAGTGGCTGGAGAAGAAATCGGATGTATGTAGTTGTATGTACTTGACGTATAGAGCAGAGCAGTGTATTTTTTTTCTTTTTTTTTCATCCATTTCTCACGCTTTTCTTTACACTTTTCTTCCCTATTCTTTTTTTTTTTTTCACTTTGCAATTAATCTCTCTTGGCAAACTCCGACCCCGAGCCGCATTACCGAGCCATTGTCCGGCCATTATGAACCTTCTACATTAACCTTCTACATTTACCGTACTCTATAACTCGTCCTTGACGGACGCCGCGCCGCCAGCTGGCACAACTACATACTCGATAAATAAATCTCCGTGGTCGTCGCCTACTGGCATGCCTCGACCATGCACAATTTCCGTTTCGCCATGAAGAACAGTGGCACCTTTTGGTCTCGATATTTCAACTTCTTCATCGTGAACGTCAAAGAACGGAATCACCCGGCGCCAGCCTCCATGCATTGCTTCGTTAGCACTTAAAACCTCGGTTCGGTAGAGATTGCGTCCAATTCTTCGGTACCCCCAACTCTGTCCAAAGTCTTCTCCTATCGAAACAATCAAGTCTCCTGGAACCCAGTCGGGATTCTGGTCACCCTCTCCTTCCAAAACTTGGGTGCCGTCGCGCTCGAACCCGGGTCCCATGTAAACGTTGTAATGACGAGGTGTGGGCTTGGCACCATGGCCTCCACAATGCTTGCACAAACGCTCAATTTTGGTCCCTTTTCCTCCACATTCGTCACACGGACCACTGAACGTTTGTACCATTCCGGGCGCAAGTCGACGAGTCACCTTCATGAACCCGGATCCTTGGCACTTGTCACAGGTATGCCGCTGACCATCTTCCGATCCACTGCCGTCACAAATGTCACATATATTTCTCATTTCCACATCAAATTCCACATCTCGCCCACGATAGAAATCCACTAGCGAAACCCGAACATTAACCTGAGTATTGTCACCTCGCCGTTTCCCTTGTCGCTGGTGTCCACCTCCACCAAAACCTCCAAAAAATTGCTGGAACATATCACCAAAATCTCCATGATCAACAGGAGCTTCGGCTGTTCCATATCGATCGTAGTTGGCTTTCTTGTCTGGATCGGATAAAACCTCATATGCTTCGCCAATTTCAATAAATTTCAGATGGGCTTCTTCTGATGGATTCTTGTCTGGATGGTATTTTTTGCTTAGTTGTCGATACGCCAGCTTTATAGACTTTTCATCAGCACCCTTGTCGAGTCCGAGAATCGCATAGTAGTCTTTGGCCACCACTAATGCTAGGAGAAATACCAATAGTAGAAGGTTCATGGTGAGTCCACGTCAACGATTTCGCGTTGGCATCGGCAGCGGGACTGCATCCGCGACATCGCGAAGATGGCTGCGAAGAATCAAATGCAAGTGAGAAACAAGTTTGACATATTTTCTTTATTGCCACCAAGCAAAAAAACATTATAGAACGTTGAATCCAGACCATAGTCTAATTCTGGATTGATAGCTTCTACTGATTTACTAACTATTCCATTGCAACTTATTGTTGATTTAATCCTGATCTTCATTCTCCATTTTTTCATTTATTCCTGATCTCCATTCTTCATTTTTCCATTTCCTTTATGAACATCATCACAGTCTCCCTTTCCTCGCCCGCAAACCACGTCACGGCTCAGCTTTTCAACGCCCAGGAATCTCATCTTCCTTATACAAAATCCGCTCCTCGATTCCACGATTATCTGGCATTTTTATCAACCACAAAAAACAAAAACGGAACCACAAACTATGCCCCACGGGCTTTGGTTTACGACTTGAATGGTGGCTTTGGAGGTGCTCCAAAATATGAAGTGGATCCCTCCACAATTTCAAATGTTGAAGTCATCAATACTGCTCCAAGAGTACCCAAACATGCCTTTCAATCCAACCTCGATCTGGGCATTGACAACGCTCAACTTCTCTCTGTGTCAAACACAAAGTACTGGACCGACTACAATAAACTCATCTACAAACCGCTGTCGTGTGTTCTGCTCCAAGACTGGGATTCAGGTACGCCGTATGGTACCAACCGAAACTTTCCTCGGTTAAAGTTTGATACCTATTCAGTGGGATGGGAAGAGTACAAAAAGTGCCAAGAAACCTCGATAGACGAGTTTCGCAAATACTTGGAAGAATGTGATCTTTTGCAGGGTGTCAGCATGTTTAGCGAGTACAATTCTGGCTGGGGAGGATTCTCGTCTCATTTATTACTTGACTTAAAAGACGAATTTTTCAACAACGGTGCCAACAATAAGCATAATATCTGGGTCTATGGCCTCGCAAAAGACCACGGAAGAATGGATATCAACCAGAAATGTAGCAGTATTGCTTCGTTTGTTGAGCTCGCCCACCATCTGTCATTGTTCTTCCCAATACGCCCCACATGTGAAAGCCAAATTTTGGCGCCTGGTTTCGACTCTACAAGCGAATGGCACCAGAGTTCTCTAACTTCTCTTTTGGTGAACTCGTTATGGGAACTCCAAAGTCGAAAGCAGAGCCCTTCTCATATGGCAGAATTTGAGGACAACTTGACCAGAGGCTCGAATCGAAATATCGTCGGCGAGATGTGTTTGAAGGCCAAAGTGAGCCAGAAGAGCCAATCTAAAGATTTTGGAGTTTTGGATGTTCCGCAGGACCAAATATGGGACTTGATGAATTCCGTCAGTCTAGCCAAAGAACCAGCTTACCTCGATATGGGGTTGCTGAATCTGAGCCACGAGTTTAGTCGAGCCATAGTGCAAGAAAAACCTGGGGAAACTTCACAGAAAAATGCCTATACTGCTTCTTTTTCAGCAATCACCAAAGGCTCAACTTTTCCTCCTACGGTCAACGGAAGCTCTTTCGTGTCGGAGTTTGCAATTACTTCCGGAATTGCAGCAACACTCAAAGAGAACCGCAAGTTCTTGTTGCGGATCAAACACAATGAAAATCTTACCGATCGCGATGAGTTGATTGAGGATATAAGTGCCATGATCGAAGATTATAAACATGGCTACGACGACAGCGATGAGGAATTTGATATCTGAGGAGAAGAACTAAGCTAAAGACTAAGACAAAGACTTTCTCAAGAAACTAAGCAAAGGAAGTCAGCTAAAGAAACCAAGTTGAAGAGAATTAAGCTAAAGAAATCAAGTTGACTTGAGCTAAAGAACAAGCTAAGAAACCGATCCAAGGGTCTAAGTAAGGGTTTGAAACTGAGGTAAACCATGGTCCTGAAACCAAGCTAAGGTTTCAAGCCAACTTCTTCAAAGCTAATGAACGAAGCAGTGAACGAAAGCTGAACTCAATGTCTACAGTATTCCTCAAGCTATTGATTCAACCTAAACAGTCTTTTCAACCAAGTAGATGTTGTACTTTTCCTTCAACGTCTTCATGATTGGGTCGTTGATTTCAGACGACATAGGAGCCAACAATCCAACCTTATTCAAGGTTCCATCGAGAATCTGCTGTGTTGCAACCGCACAAGGAACACCCACCAATTTAGCCATGGAAGAGTATCCATTGACATCACCATAATCGACCAAAGTGGAAGTTCTGGTCTCGGTGGTTCCATCAGCCCATTCGATTCCAAACTTGTGTTGCAAGCAAACCAAGTCTCTTTCACCTTGTTCGTATTGCATCAACTCCTCCAAAGTAGCACACAAAGTGTCGAGAGGATTACCCTTTGGAGTGATGTTCTTGTCGGAGAAAAGACCCAACCATTTCAATCCCGAAAGAATTCTGGTTTTGTCATCTTCGCTCTTGAAAGTAGCCAACTCGGAAATCTTGGCCACGAGAGCTTCCTCAGAAGACGACGAGGCACCGATCAACTTGGCAAAAGCATCTTTCCATGGAACTGCCTTGGAAAAAGCGTCATTTGGTGAGTCCTTCAAGAACCCAAGGTCCACGAAAACCTTGATGAATTCAGGGAATCCTTGGAATCTTAAAGTACCTCTGATGACGGTTTCGGCTTCAGGAATGTTGTACAATTGCTTATAGGTGGTGGAATCACGGTTTGGGTAACACACAAATGCGAAACCAGGGTAGATGAAATATGGCTTAGCAGTAGCCATCAAGTCTTCAGATTTGACATCCACAACCTTGCCGTCTTGCCAGTAACTGGCAGCGTTTCTGAGAGCCAACAAAACTCCACGAGATGACCAAGAGAACTTGTAACCCAAAGGATTGTCCGAACACTCTGGAGCAGGAAGTCCACCACAGTAAGACAAGAACAGCTTAATCTTACCACCCTGAGCATGTACCTCTTCAATTGTCTTGACAGCATACAAGTGGTCGATACCAGGGTCCAAACCAATTTCGTTCATAACTGTGATACCAGCATCTTGGATCTGCGATTCCAACTCCTTCAATTGTGGGTTGATATAAGAAGTGGTAACCACATGCTTCTTATTCTTAATAGCAGACTTGACCACATTCACGTGGTAGATGTAAGGAATCAACGAGATAACCAAGTCCACCTTGGAAACTTCAGCGTCAAGAGCAGCCTCGTCGGTGACATCGACGGAAATGGCCGAGGCCACATCTCCAGCCAATTGCTTAGCCTTTTCAAGAGTACGACATCCCACGGTCACCTTGACGTCTGGGGTCTTGGCTAAGATGTCTACTGTGGGCTTGGCGACAAAACCGGATCCGAGTAAAAGTACGTTTCTGTGTGAGTCATAGGCTGAAAAAAAGGTGGGGACACCAAGATGAAAAAGTTTACAAGATTGAATCTTGATATTGAACCTTTTCAGTGTCTACACCAATTCGAAATGTCGGGTCTACTTACTTTGTCATTTTAGCGATGTTTGCTTCAACACTTGTACTTATAGTGAAAAATTGGCCTATCCTGTATTGATAGTTTGCCGACGGCGATGCAGGAACAGTGCTGCAGCGGTACCGGTGGATTGCGCCAAGTTCCATGCAGGGAGCGGCAGCGGCTTAATTTCCTAATGCGTTAGATGGATGGAGGTACCAGCGGCTAAACTTCCAGAACGACCAAAAGCATGTAAAACGGCTGAAAGCTAAATGGCTGCAAATGCAAATGCTGCAAATACCAAATGGCATCGTGAAATAAGTGGGTGAATATTGTGGTGGATAGAGGTGATTTGAGGAGCTACAGCTTGCTTGAAAGTTCAGTTCTACTGTGGCAAAAGACAACATTACGTTAAACAAATCAAGTCTGATCAATACTTACTCAAGGTTTGCTTAGTGCCCTCGGAAATCGGGGCGTACTACCGGAAGTACGATGCACTATGCGAGATCAAGATGTCAAACTTGCATTTGACAGCATGCCGCATATACGCAAAAACAGCACAGAAGCATTAAATAAGCTGAGTTGATACAGCCAGCAGGCCTGAATCACCCACCTAAATTACCCAGCTGTTACAGCCATCACTATTGTCCTGAATTCTTCCCCTATAGTCGCATTCCATTATCACATGCAAATGCGGGATCATGCAGGCCCGATCCTACTCAACATCCGCATATCATTTACGAGGCAAGAGCTTATATATTGCAGCAACAAACCCATTCCAATTGCAATGGTTTCACTTGACGATATTCAGTATCTTGCCAGTAATCTTCCGACTTATGTGCGGGTAGATAACCAGCTTAAGTATGCACTTGCATGCATTGCATTCAACCCCATATTCTGGAACATTGCTGCCCGTTTAGAATACAAAACTAAGGTTATCACCAAGTTAACTGGTGGAGCCCGCAATGGATGCTATTTGCTTGCCTTGACAATCTTCTCTTTGGGAATTTACAGGGACCAAGTATACCATCAGGCGCTTCTTACACAGCCAAGTTTCCAGCCATTGGCGGAATCTCAAGTTATCAAAGCATTGGCAATTGCAACTTTTGGCTTTGGTAATGTGTTGGTGTTGTCGTCTATGTGGGCATTGGGAGTCACTGGAACTTATTTGGGCGACTATTTTGGTATTTTGATGGATCATCGTGTTACTGGATTTCCATTCAATATCAATGATAACCCCATGTATAATGGATCCACATTGTGCTTTTTGGGTACTGCTTTGTGGTATGGAAAACCAACAGGAATCTTGGTAGCGTCGTTCGTTTTCGTGATGTACAAAATTGCCTTGATGTTTGAAGAACCATTCACGGCCAAGATCTACGAGCAAAAAAATAAAAAGGAGTTATAGAAAAATATGAGTCATTGTATAAAGTGCCACTGGTTAACTTGACCCATTGTATAAATGTTAGACTCATAAAATGCTAGACTTTTATAAATCTTAGCCTTTATTTTTTTCTCATTTCTCATACAAACTCAAACAGACTACTGTGTCCTTGATCTTCCACAAACTTCATATTTAACAATTGGAATTTTTCTGGATCCTTGTGGTAGTAGTACAAGCCTCTAACCGAGCCCGCTTCCGGACCTTTTATGGTGAGAACCACATAGTAGAATCCTTCGAATGAAGCATGAGGTATTCGCTTTACTCGTGAATCTGGCAATAAAAATTCTTCCTTCCATCTCATGTAGATATGCTGATCTGGGTACTCCTGTTCGCGCTGCAAAGTTTCGAGTAATTCTTCGTCACTGAGATAGTCCAAGCCGGTGAGTTTGCTCCAATGAACAAGGTCATTATCGGGGTTAGAATGCCATTGATTATTTTCTGTGAAGAAAGAAAACTTGCGCAAAACCTTCTCCAGTGATGCTAAATTGGACGAGGATGTCCATCGTGAATGCAAAAGGGGATTATTGATGATTTCTCCTTTGAAACAAGTAGTGATTTCTGGATTATCATCGGTCAATCCGGTGATCTGAAGAAACCCTGTCATCATCGAGTTGACAAGATCGACTGTCTTGAACTCCACCCGGATCTGGTGCCTGGTCTTGCTACTTTGCTGTTCTCCCACGTATCTGGCGTTGGGTTTGAGATACGAGTTTACTAGTGGAGGAGCACGATCACATAAATCTCGTTTTTTGGTGTAATTTTTGAACATGTCAAAGACAAATGGTCGGGGGGAAGGGGTATGGGTTGAGAGAGGAGCAGTTATCTTGGAGTTTTGTCCATCACATTTCGCTTCTAAGATCTCCTTATCACGAGTCACTTTTGCCAGTTCATATTCAGGTCCATGATGGTCTTGAGAGTATTCTGGAGTCAGATTTGTATTTCTACCGGACGTAGATATGGGCATCACGAACCTGGCTTTCTCAAGTTTTGGTGGTGTTATCTTTTTCAGTGGGTTGTATTTGGTCAGACGATACCTTATCACTCCGAGTTCGCATTCGCACTGCGATTTTATTTTAAATTGGTTTCGGAATCATGGACTCTCCGCCAACACCACAGCACCCCGCTGCCAACGAGGAGGTCAAGGAGCTACCGCAGGGGACACTCCCGGAGTCTACCATGCAAAATATCGACTTGAATCCAGACTTGGAGATGCTGGACGAGGAAAACGAGCAAAATGGAGAAGATGTAAAGGAAGATAATGAAGAAAACGAAGAGAAAATGGCTTCAAATGAGGGTCCAGGAGGGTTTATTGGAGCTCAAGAAGGCACGGAGTACCCTCTTAATTACGAAAAAACCAACAAAAATGAAATCAATGGCAAAAATGACGGTTCCAATGACAGTAATGACTACCAAAATACAATTAAATCCCCGGAACATCCCCAATACAAGCTCCAGTCCTCTGTGGACCAATTGGACCATTCACCAATAACATTGGCCCAACAAAGCAAATTAATCAACTATGTCGATGCCCAGTTGCTTGCCATACAGCGTCGCTTTGTCAAGAGCCAGGCAGATACTTCTCAACCATATCCGTTGCTAGACCTCCTACGCGACACCCAGTCTGTGGTGGACATTATCTGGTGCTCAGTGAGTACTCATAGCAAATTATTTGGCCAGCCTGAGTATATGGTTTCTCTCCTAGGCAGCCTTGAAGACTACTTGCTGCATTACGATTTGGCAGAAGCTCAGCAACAACTCTTTGGTTTTTTTCGCATTCTTGACCAAAGGCTTTCTACATTGATAGACGGATACACCTACGAAGGCCATATTGAAAAGATAAGTCAAACCCTACTTGTGCGGTTGGTGCCCATCGTGTCCAGGGTTCGAGTTCTAGTGGTTACAAAGTTGGGAAGTACCCGAGAAAAACTTGCAAAAGAGGTCATGGAGACGGAAAGTACAGACAACGAAAATGCTAGAGCGGAATTGGACTGTCTTGAGCTTGAAATAGGCAACTTGCTTGAGGGAGTGCTTGAAAGATTGGAATGAATAATGAGAGAAAATACAAGGGAATTAAAATCTGGTTGCGTTTAGGTTGTCTAGGTGTTCTAGGTGTTTTAGGTGTGTTTAGATTGGTCTATGTCGTCTATGTGAGCCAGACAACTTTCAATTACTGTAGCTTCATTTTTCCTTCATCCTCCACTTTTCGCAGCTTTCGCAGCTTCTCACAAATTTCGCAGCTTCGCGAACTTCTTCATATTCGTATTCACCATGTGGCCGTTCTCCAGCGACAAGGACTCCACACAGGTGTCCAAAGAGCTCCCAGAAGATCTAGGAGCGTTCTTCGAGCAGGCTAATCCAGAAACATCGCAACAATCCAAATTTGAAGTTTCTCCCCAACAGAACAAAGTCAACTCTATTCTTCGCCAGCGTGAAAAACAACCATATTCCCACGAATTCGATCAATATAAAAGGCGGGAAACCCTCAAAAGTGCCACCCAGGTCAACTGTGCCGAGATCCAACAACAGGTGGTAGAGTGTCTTCGTGGATGGAATTTGACACTGAGTAACCGATGCGAAGCTGAGATCAAAACCCACACAAAATGTGTTGAAACCCAGACACGGGCGCTCAAACAGCTCTTCTACGAGGACTGTGTAGATGTAGAGCAGTGTAAGAAGATACGATACGTGGTGGATAAGTTATTTGTGGACAATTACGGCCAATACGGCGAGCATATAAATGACGAAGAGAGCAGTATAAAGTTTAACAGTGGAGTGGAAAATGCATTTGCCAAAATATGGCGCTAGTAGTTCGCCATGAACAAGATTGGGAACTTTGAAGAGAGAGTCTGAACTATTGTTGTGGTTCATAGCCATGTATTTCATGGCGCCGATGTAAGTATATGTATATAGAGACAATTCATTATGAAGCGTTCATTTTCTCATGAACAATTTTCTTCACTCTAAAATCCACTTTTATGTGAGGTTTGATCCGGTCACTTGGTGGTGTTTTCCTTCAGTACATAATGAGTTAGTACTTTCATTCAGTCCATTTGAGTTGGTCTTTTTCATTCCGTTCATCATTCAGTTCGTTATGAGTTAGTCTTCTTCGTTCCGTTCTTTTATGACTTTTTTTTTTTCATTCTGTTCAGTTTATATCGGTCCATCATTCAGTCCATTTATGAGTGTGGTTCTTTCCATTCAGTTAGTTCATCATTAAGTCATTGAGTTAGTTCTTTTCAGCTCACTTGTCATTGTTTTGGTTTTTTTTTTCATTCATCATTCAGTTCATGATTCAGTTCACTTTGAAGTTCATCATTCAGTCATTGAGTTAGTTTCTTCAGTTCTTTTGTCATTGAGTAGTTCTTTATCTATGTCACTCACCAATTTCATCCACAACTGCAACTTTTCAGGGTACTTCATACTAGCCACCAACCCCGAGGTATTGGGAAATACGTATAACTTTGTTCCAGGGACCAACTTGTGAAATTGTTGTAATATTCGATTGTAATCGCTGTATTCGCTGTCTTGTTGGAGTCCCCATTTGAAATTCAACTTATTCAATTTGACATTATTTCCCGTCTGATTGCTCAAATATTTGACCACAATTTCCCAAATTCCCTTACCTATGAAAACCACTCTTTTAGCCTTTGTTTTGTTGAATTCGTCTATTAATCGTGGGACATTTTGCAATTTTTCAGTCATGGTTAATTCACTTGCTGCTTTGGTACATCGAAGAACCAAGTCAGTAAACCCTATTTTGTATTTTGCTAGCTCGTAGTCTTGCGCTGCTTTAATCTTCGTGATGTAAGTACCCTCTTTTTTCTCGATAAGTTGTCCGAACAACTCATCTTCAATTTTAACCTTTTCAACTTCCAAACCTAAAACCGCCAAAAAAAGCTTTGAATCGTTGAAAAGTTTCCAAAAAAGATTTGTGAAATGGGCATAATGATGCTGTTGGGCTGAAGATTCTACGCCCGGATTGTAGCCTACAAATAGAACTTCCAAGTCGTCAGCAAGCGACGGTGGAAGATCTTTCATTCCATCATAAGGTGACGATTTTGTGATTTTTGATCTTTTGGAGGCTGCAGGCTTGGTGACCTTGTTGCGTTGGTTCGACTCCTCGTACTTGAACGACCGGATCACCGAGCGAAGTCCATCTGCCATGAAACGAAGCTGGTGAATTTCGCAACTTCGCACGGTCCTGGAGTGCATCTAGTGAGCTTTTAGTCCACTAGCATTTACTGATAAAATTCTAGTCTAACTATTTTTTTTTGTGTTGCTTCGGATTGAAACTTTCTTGGGTGTTTACTTGATCATCAAAGAATACGGATCAACAACTCCAAACTCTCAAACATATTTTTCTGGTATTTTTGAATGGTTGCAAATTCACGAGCCGCGCGCTGATATACCGGTGGAACAGACATTCCCAGCTTTCAATTGTTGCTCGACTATCAATTGCACACCAATATCCAGAGGCAAACCACGTCCCAAATCAGGAAGCTGAGAATCAACTGAAATACATTTTTGAACAATAGAGTACTAAACGAAAGAAAGTGAAAAATACCTAAAGCTTTTTGTGCAAATATCTTTTGATGATCTGAAGTTGTTCCAGCAAAGATCTTTATTCAGTGGCTATATTTATCTAGTATTTTGTAGATCTTTTCTCAACCTTCTCTTCTACTCTTCTTCTCTTCCGATGCATCATCACACCCCAACACCAGATATCTTGTCGCGATTCTCATGCGTTGCAACTTCTTTCTCCATGCACAAAAGAACACCACGAGACTCGATTTCACTGCTAGAAAATGAAACTGTAGCTACTTCCGTCCCCAGACACGTCGCAAGTGAACAAAAATCCTCCAAATTTTACTGGAAACGTATCAATCATGAAGAAAAATCATATAATCGACGCTCCATTTTACGTGATCCCTCCACGCCGTACCTTATATCGTTGTATTTACAGCTCGCTGTTAACATAGCAGTGGTTTTGGCTGTGTTCTACTTTGTTTGGAGGTTCTATAAGGTGATAAGCGTTGATATTCAGCACAAAATTGAACTTTACACCATCGAACTTATGGAAGAGGTTGCTCGTTGTCAGCGAGAATATACCCGAAATCGCTGCTCGGTGGAGAATGGAAACAAAAGAATTCCTGCTCTCGAACTGATGTGCACAAAGTGGAAAAAGTGCATGAATCGAGACCCGGCGCATATCGGCACCGGAAAAATTGCAGCAGAAACTTTCGCAGATATCATAAATGGTTTCTTTGTTCACACCACATGGAAATCGTTGGTCTTCTTAACCACCATCACAATTGGAGCCATTGTGCTCTCCAATGTGGCATTTGGAACATACCGGCGACTGTATGAACCTCAACGCTACGAAGTGCAAAAAATTCCCGACGCTGAAAATCTGGTCCGCGAACTTCAGGAGGTCGTATACGACCACCAGATAACAATCTAGGGAGATTTTGAAAAGCTGGTGGTACTGACTGTTTGGCACTACGACGACCTGCATACTGCCGCATCGGCTACTGCCAGATTCGTATTTTGAAACTTTCAAAACTCCGTACCTAGTTGATGATGAGCCACTTTGGCACCATTTCCGACATATATATCCACAACAGGCGTGGTGTGAAGAAACGGAAGTACAGCAGGAACGGCTGTATAGAATGCAAGAGGCGCAAAATGAAGTGCGACGAAACTCATCCGATTTGTCAATGTTGTCAGCGGTTCAATTCTGTGTGCAGATATCCCGATAACGTCAAGGTGGTTACTAATGGAACAAGAGGAACTGAACCGCTGTCGCTGAAACACAAAAAAGTTCAAATTCAAACTCAGCCTGAAGTTTCACCAATACCGTCTCTTTTGAATACAAGCACCGAACAAGAATCAGAGGCTGTCAAAGGTGTTCTTGAGTATGCCAATTACCTTGCCAATGATCTTTCGGAGTACGAACTTCTGGCTCAAGATTGGACACTTCCAGACCTTTCACCTTCCAATTTGGACCCCACTACTAATGGCATTTACGACACCACCTTCAATTTGGGATTTGACGAATCGTCGTATTTCCAGACCCTTAAGAATTGGAACAATAATATGAGCTCGAACATTGCTCAAAACAGCTACTCCTCCAACTCGGAACTCATCACAGAAGTCATTAACCTGAACAATTTGACTGGCACCGATTTGTTTTATTTCAAAGAAATCACTTCCACAGATATGTCTTTTCACTTGCACCCATTCGCTACAAACATCGAAACCAATCAAGCGGTACACATTTTCTTACAGCATGCGGTCAATAGAAAACACTTGCTATACTCACTCTTGGCACTCGCAGCCACCTATTCGTTTACAAAGAACAAGAAGCCAATCCATGATACGAATCGAAAGAAATTCGTTTTACGGTCCCTAGAATTGGTCAAGTCTGAGCCAATGTCTTATACAGACAACGATGATGCCCGAATGAAAATTGAAGGTCTTATTCTCACGGTTCTACTTCTCTCAACATTTTTTGCGGAGGGAGGTATGATTGACAGTCAGAATATCACAAACTCGTGGAAGGAGCATTTGGACAAAGCGAAAGAGCTTTTGAACAGATACAATAAGCTCACGGAATTGGAGCCAAACCGAGAGCTAACTCCGGGTATAACTCTTGCCAAGCTGTGGTTTTTCATGTACGAATGGATCGTGATTTTGAACACAGATCCTAGAAAACGTCAAGATACCTTACACACATTTCGTGAGTCCGGATCTTTCAATTACAGCGTGAATCCGTTGTATCATGCGTCGCTAGTGAAGCTTGGATTTCTCATCACCAACATGCCACCAATTCCTGAGTACAATGAGTTTCTTGGGTGCACCGAAGACGCTGTTAATGCTATCGATCTTTTTGAGTTTTATTTGGACGAGATATGTGAAACTTTTAAGCAAAGTGGAACCCTTGGACAAGTTGCTCCTGGCAAGATCTCCAAATTATTGAGTGCCATACACGATGCAGAATGTGTTCAAATTATGCCTGGGGTGAAAAGTGACTTCAAGATCTCAATCACATCTTGTGCACATCCCGAATATGATCTTCCCGACAAAGTGACACTTCCTAAATCTGCGTATGCAGTTGATAAAGCTGACGATCCTGTAAGCTACTACTCATGGTACGATTATTGCCAGCAAGTGAGCATGAAGTACCTATACTTGAAGATCTTCACTACACCTGGGTTCCTACATCTTCCCAAACGACATGCTATGATCACAAACATTGTAGACGATGTTTGTCGAACGACGTTTTTCATCAAGCGGAAACCGGTGCGACCTGGCGATACTGCTTTTCTAGAAAGCGACAACTACTATTTGCCGGTTGGACTTTTCGACCATAAAGCTATAATATTCCAGCTCACTTTTCGGTGTCTATGTGAATTATCTACTACAGATGACCAGTTTGAGAGATTGGAATTGTTCTTCAATGGACTCTACATGCTCGGGTATGGGGCTGCTGCAATTCCGCTCGAACGTATTGCAAGCAGCCGCAAGCGCGCTGAGAAGCTTCGGGTGCTCGATAAGGATAGCAAGGACCTTTTTGATAAGAGCGATTACGATTATTCACTTCAGGACCATCCGGTTTATTAGCAAACGGGTTTCTTTGTCAACGCCCAAAAAGGAAATTTTCAAGATATGTCACATTTTACCTGCATATTTTTCTGCTAGGGAACACTCCACACACTATATTTAAACCTTGCAAGAGATCAGTTTCACCATGAGACCGCAAAAAATTGAACTGAAAAACTCGATAGAACTCGGTTCTTTAAAATCTATACCGGAAACAGATTACCTTGAAGATGGAGATTGACCGGTATGAGAAGGCTAGTCTTTTTGCATTCACAGAGCGCTCAGACTTGCCGTACCTCATTTTATCAATTATCAGTATGCTGGCTACCGCTGCATGCTCTGCTGGACAATCGATAGTTTATGGGCAAGCATTTGATATACTTGGTTCATTTATTCGTGGAAGAATCGACTCAAAAATTTTTGTGCAAAAAACCGGTTTCACTTGTGGTATGATCGTCGTTATAGGCGCTTCTAGAGCAGCTCTTATATGGTTTGGGACTATGATGAGTATGATTTTCGGGGAGATTCAGGCGAGAAGAGCGAGAACGGCAGTGACAAATCTGATCCTTTCAAAGGATTTGCTGTGGCTGGACCAATCTGGAAACGTTATTGGCGACCTTACCCAAGTAAATCGATGTGTGGAGGAGTTTCGAGAAGGTTTATCAGAGGCTTTGGGTCAGTTTGTTCTGTCGGTCTCCACGGTTATTTCGCTTTTCGTTACCGGAATGATATACTCGTGGTCTCTCACTCTTGTCATGAGTGCCACTTTTCCTTTGATTTTCGGAATTGGATATTGCTTCTGGCGGTTGATGTACAGAGCTGTTGAAGCTGAAAACCACTGGTCGTCAATGGCTTCGAACGTGGTGAATTGGATTGTCGCCAAGAGCTCGATTGTACGCATATTCCATGGCCAGAAAGCTGAAGCAGATAAGTTTCACATGTATACTGCAAGCTCTGCTGCTTCGTTCACTCGTCTTTCAAATTTGAGTGCTATGAACGACGGAATCATCAAGACTATAGGGCTATCGATGTGTGTTGAGGGCTTTTGGTATGGGATAACTTTGATTAAAAATCACTCTGCGACCATACAGAATGTGTTCACTGCCTTTAGCGCATGCATGATGATTGGTCCTGAAATCTCTGAAGTCAGCGACCAGATTTGCACTATCAATGAGGCCAAAGCGGGAATTCTGCGGATTCTCAGTGTTACAGGAACAAAGGAACAGGGCCATAAAGTAGACTTGGGATTATATCCATCCATTTCAAAATACCTGGTAAGGCTACGGGAGGTCTCCTTTCAGTATCAGCCAGATTTATCCTACTCGATCGAACATTTGAATCTTGAAGTAAAGCATGGAACTTTCTCGTTCATCATAGGACAATCAGGTTGTGGTAAGTCGACCGTGGCTGACTTGATGATGGGATTTCGGCGCCCATTGGACGGAACCGTGAGTCTTGGAGATATTTCAATGGACTTGTTATCACGAAAATGGATAAACGATCATGTCACCTTGATTCAACAAGACTCAATCGTATTTGAAGGTTCACTCAAAAACAATATCTGCTATGCGAGACGAGAAGAACTTCCCCAGTCTACCATTGATTCTGCCTATGAGTTTGCAGAGTTGGGTGAGCTAATCTCTACAATCGGTGGTGAAGATGCTCCAATTTCCTCAGACTCGATTTCTGGAGGTCAACGACAACGAATTGGTTTGGCGCGAGCGTGGGTCAGAAACACTCCTATTCTTATCCTAGATGAAGCATTGGGCTCCCTTGATGGTTCTAGCCGAGCACGTATGATGGACCGTATAAGAAGCTGGCGGAAAGGAAAGACGACCATAATTATCACCCACAATCTTCGTGAAATTGAGTCTGACGACAACGTAATCTTGATGGAAAGAGGTAGCATTGTACTCCAGGGCCGGTTGAATGAGATTCGAGACGAAAAAGAATACTTGAGGTTTAAAGGTGAGGAAAGAAAAAAACGACAATCAATGGTCGATGGTTCCAGCGCGGTTTCAGTCGAAGAAGTAAGCGTTGATGAAGAAGATGAAACCTCCGTGAATGTCTTATCTGCCTTGCGTATACTAAGCGATTGTCGGTCATATTTACCTCGGTGGTACATTATAGCAGCAGGGTTAATAGGCTCTATTTTCACCGGCATTATGACTCCAATCTTTTCATTTTGCTCTTCACATATGTTGAACATCATGATAACTCCTCATACCGAGAAGAAGGTGCTCGTTACATGGTCTTGCTATGCCTTGGTGGTGGCTTTGGCAACTGGAATCTTCACGTATCTTACTCAATTTGTGATGGCATACGTCAGTGAACAGTGGATTTTCAGAATCCGACAATCGGTTTTCCTGAATCTTTGCTCTCAAGAAGTACAATTTTTCACCAAAACCAACCCTACTTACCTCACGTCGCTTCTCATGAACGATACCCGTGATCTTCGATGCTTGATATCCCAGTGGCTTACCATATACACTGGGTTGGTAGTCATGGTGGTAGTTGGTGTCGTATGGGCTATTGTCGTGGGATGGAAATTGGCCCTAGTGGGCATTTCATTTGGTCCCATTTTATTTGCAATAACCTCGGGTTATGCTCGTATAATGGAAGTTGCCGAGGACAGATACAAGACCAGGGTAACATATTCCGAACAATTGTCTCAAGAATGTATTTCCAATCTTAGGACCATCATTTGCTTTGACTTGAACGAAATGTTTAAAATCAAGTCTTTTAACCGAGTTTCGAAGTTAGAGCAAGAGGGGAAAAGAAGAGCTGTCTACATTGGATTGGGTCTTGCGTTGACAGATTTGTGTGCTTCGGCATCTACTGCTACCATACTCTACTACGGAATGACATTGATTGGACTGGGCGAATATACCACCGGACAGTTTGTTCAAGTTGTGACAATGCTCACTTTTGTCATGACGACAGGGGCAACACTTTTACATCAGATTCCCGAGATAGCTCGCGCTCAGCGGGTCGGATCACATATATCAAGGCTTTTGCAGCTCCCTAGCTCTACACTCGAAACTGGCGGAACAAAGTGTCCGAATTACTTTCCTGTGAGTAGCTTGATTGAGGTTCGACATTTGACTTTTGGGTATGTCCAGGGGTACCAGATATTTGATGGACTCAGTTTCCATGTCAACAAAGGAGAAGTTGTGGGCATCGTTGGAAAATCAGGAAGGGGTAAAAGCACCTTGTTCAAGCTTCTCTTGAAGTTGTGCAGTGTGAGACCTGGAACAATATTTGTTGGAGGAACAGATATCAATTTGGTTTCGACTCTGTGGTGGAGATCTCAGATTGCAATAATTCCTCAGGATGCTGACTTGTTTGAAGGTACGATTTACGCAAACCTAACCTATGGACTCGAAAACGGCAATTTTTCAGCTGACGAGATTGATACTGTTCTCGAAAAAGTGAATTTGTTAGACTTTGTTAATGGTCTTCCAGAAGGGCTACAAACGAACATCAGCGTCTACCCAAGTTGTTCCTTGAGTGGTGGACAAGCACAACGGCTTTGCATTGCAAGGTCGCTTCTTCGCAAACCTCAAATAATGTTATTTGACGAGTGCACTTCGAAACTTGACCCGGCGAACAAAGGATTGATAATAGAGTTGATGAAGGGTCGTCGCGATATGACAATGTTAGTTATAGCACATGACAGCGATGTCATGCTGGTTGTCGATAGGAAAGTATATATATAATTCTAGATCTTGATACAGATGTAAGGAACATCCACATCTTCACCCTCCTTGTCATCGCAGCAGATTTCGAGAATCAAGTTGTGAACATGAGGAGGAATTTCCTTCTTGCTCACCTCTTTGATGAGAGCAGTCATTTTCATTGTGCTTCTGTCCTTGATCTTCTTTGGAGGGAAGAACGAGGCATACAAGAGTGAAACTCCATACGACAACATGGAGATTTCTAACCCTTTTTCGTTGGCAAAGTAGTCAAGAAGCTCTTGTAAGGTGATATCACCTTCAATTTCGAACCGGTCCCAAATTGAGTCGAACTCAACTCCGTTATACTTACCCTTTGGCGACAGAATTGGTTCTGAAAATCCGACAAATGGAAGCGCAAGATTGACAAAACCGTTCTTGTAGTGCTCGATGTTGGTATCCTTAGCAACCACTTTGTACAACTCCAAGCACACAAGACCAGTAACCAATGCGGTTGTAGTCGCAATAGCAGGCACAATTTTTCCGGCAATAAGCTTGGTCTTGGACGCATCTGCGGTCTCGATAGCATAGTTCAAAGCACGGCAATTTGAAGCAGCTGCGATAAATTCGATGTGGTGGTTGGTATCATCATCCTTTTCGAACTCGATGGGGGTGAGACGGAAACCAGCTAACGAAGCGGGTTCTGGCAACTCAGCAGCAATTTTCTTGATCTCGTCATCATCAATACTTCCAGACATACTGCGCTGTTGTTCTTCTGCTTCGGCATCGTTAGCAGCGATGCTGACTCCCGATTTGGGCTCATATGGATCAAAGTGCATCGACTCTACAACCTTCTTGTAATCTTCACGCGATGCACTGGTTTCCTTCAAGCCGTAGATCGAAGCCAAAAGATTGGCACCACCAACCACAAAGTTGAAGTGGTCGGGGTTGTTGATGTCAAACCTCAAAGGTGTAGGTGCTCTCTTGGGTCCAGACCAGAAAGGAGCTCCATTGGAAGTTTTGGCGTCGACGGGAAAGTTGTATAATAACTGGAGAATCTCATGATTGAATTTTTCCTCGAATCGAGTACGAGCCCAACGTATACAGTCGTCAAAAGTATAGGGTCTGCTCACGAGATAGTCCCGGATATTGGCAAGAGTGCCCTTGATATCAGGATTCTGTTTGAGAGTTTGCTCGACGTAGTTTGGTTGACTGAGGTACAAATTGACGGTCTCGGGCAGATCAGCAAAATAGCCTTGGAAAAGCGACTTTGCCCACGCAATGGTGTGGTCGATTTTGTTAGGAAACGACCGGAGAGTACAGAGCGGAATCAGCTTCTCTGGTGGATCGTGCGAACTGGCGTATGATTCGGTCAAGTTGGGTATAACGACTTGAGTATTTCCCTTGGTACCAAGAGTTCCAGATTCGAGAAGAGGCTTCTTGTAGAACACACAGCGCCTGTCGACATAGGTACGAGCATCGACGTTGTCGAGCGCATTGGTGACAAAATCGAGTCCATTCCAAAAGTCGTCATCGTAGAGATCTTCGGTTTCAGGACCGACTTTTTCCAATTTGGCCTCGATGTGAAGGTCGGGGTTCATGTCGAGAGCGGCTGCGGCTGCGACTTCGGATTTGTTTTTGCCGACATCTTTTGGACGGAACAAAAATTGACGGTTTAAGTTTGATTTTTCAATAGAGTCCATATCGGTGACCGTGATTTTACCCTTTGGACCACTACCGAGCCCCATCATTGCCCAGTTCTTCATCATTTCGCATCCAATAGCACCGGATCCCACCAAGAAGACATTCAAGTTTGCAATCGTTTCCTGGAATTTGGAGCCGAAGACAGCGATTTGCAGATCATAGCGTGAGTTTTGAGGCTTGGTGGTTTCGGGTGTTCTTGGGTACTCTGTTGGATCTGGCAAAGATTCCAATGAGTCGAAATACACCCATTGTTTAGCAGGAGTGAATTTGGACGAGCAATTCTTCAACACTTCCTGGGCAATAAATCCACCGAAAAGAGCCACCATTCCGGGTATATCTCCCTGGGCCTGGAACGCCAACTCTGTGATAAGCTTTTCATCGACCTCGGCGTCGCCAAGAATCGAGGGATTTTGTTTGGCAAGCTGTTTCGTGAAGGAAATCAACTCGTTGGCATCTTCTTGGTTGCATGGTCTAGGAAGACTTTGATGGCGGTTGCGAAACATCTGCAACGCCTGGAAGCCCAAGTGGAGCTGTGGAGGCCTGTCGAACTTGGCAAAGTCGGAAATGAGGTATTCTGGGTTTGCGAGCTGGGTTTGCAACGACTGGAACTCGAATTCCTTGGGCATCTTAACCTGGGTATACAAGCCTCCTTTGACGTACTCGCCGTCGTTGGGTCCGAGTTTGATTCTGAAAGCATAGGGACCCAACACCTCGATTTTCCGGGGGTTTCCGTCGTTGAGATTGGGCATTCCTTGCACCTCGGAGAACTTGACGTAATCACCGTCCTCCAAGCCGTGGCGATTATCGTCAAGCATGGTCACGGTTCCGTCCTTTTCGATGTCACTGACAATTCCCTGGTGGGGTTCCTCACCGGTCTGGTCCACCACTGTGAATTTTTCACCGAAATCCACAAACAACTGGCCGAACAAACCGCGGACATCAGCGGAAATGAACCCAGTATCATTAGCATGTGTCACCTCGTTGATCCGAATCTGCTCTTCAAGCGTCGTATTGGTGCAAACCACACACTTGAACAGCGCAAGTGTGGATGCAGATAAATCATCAACCACCGAAATGGGAACATACTGGTTCAACTCCGACAATCTGGATGCCGAAACTTCCGCACGAGACCTACCCACGTCCGCTTCTCTCAAGAAGAACTGTGACGAGAGATCTTGGATTTTCACTGGTTCCGGATCGTATAACGCCAACAGCTTGACTCCAGCAAGAGTGACGTTTTTGGCGATTTCCACGCCGAGTCCCGAAAGTCCTACAATTAAAACATTTGCGTTTTGCATACGCATCATAGCTTCTTTTCCAAGCACATAGATCTGTCTCAGGTACAAGCCCTCGTCTATGGAGCCGGGAGGATCGATCTGCATGCTTGTCATGATGAAGATTAATAATTGCGGAGTGTTGAGAATGGTGGTGGTGGTGGTGTGCGGGTGTGCAGGACACGACTATGGCCACGACCGCGAGCGATGAGCGAGTGGTCGTGATAAGAAATAAGAGTCGATGAAAATATTTCAAATTTTTGTGACTCATTTGACTCCTTTGTGAACAATTGTAATCTCGCTTGTGAACCAATTGGAGCTTACTCTTTATTTTCTTATCTACTTTATTCTTAATTTTATTCTTATTCTTGCTTTATTGTTCTTTGCTTATTATTCTGGTATTTTCCAGTATTATTAGCGTATTTTCACCACTCTATCTACATATTATTGTGGCTAGTACAGGTACCGAAAATGAATATTCTCCACATCAGTCAAGTCCTTGAACTGAAAGTTTTCGCCAACTTTTTCGTACCATTCTTGCTCAGCTTTGGTGCCTTCAAGTTGGTCTCGCTTTCGATTTTCCGTTTTCAGAATGTGTCCAATGGCATATACAAGTGGAATCAGCACCGCTGACAACACTAGAAGAGTTATCTTTGCTCTTCTGTAATGGGGTGCATCGGAAGCCCTAAAAAGTTGCGGACCGATCAAACAGCCTACGGCAAAAGCTATCATTGTGAGACAATTTCTGGCGAGTCTTTTGGTATAGCCAGCTGTATTTTTCGAGTTCCAGGCGTAGATCATGGTGATAACACAGGTTCCAACATTGATCAAGTAGACCGAAAGTAAATTGCCGATTTGGTTGGTTGAAGAAAGCATCACGATATAGCCTATAATGGCAGGAATTAGAAGCGAAACGAAAATATGGCTTCGGTGCTTTCCATTGAAATACGAGCACAAGTAGGTGGCACCAAGAATCAGAATTATGGTGGACACTCCCACGGGCATTTGCATGAGAGCAGCATGTTTACTGGAGTAGCCAAAAGAAGCTATAATGGTGACGCTGAAGGTTATGACGGAGCCAGTTGGAATCATGGTGATCAATGTGAGAATAAACATTGGCCAGGTATGTTTATCGTGGAAAAAAAGTTCATAAATGTGAGCTTTTTTAAAGGTTTTATTTTCGGTTCCGGTTTCATTTTCACGAATATTATTGAGAACCACTTTTTTTTGTTCATCATCGAGAAACGTAGCCTCGAGCGGGTTATTAGGAAGATAAACAAACACCACCACGCCGAAAACCACCGTTATTAGTCCCATCATCAAGAAAAAAATCTGCCAAGATTTAAGAGAAGTCTTCGACGAGTCGACATGTTGAAAAGCAAATGATAAAAGACCACCTAAAATTGTCGATGTTCCTGCCTGGATCGACCAGAACCCCATTCTCGTCAATTGTTGGCGATGCGAGTACCACATCCCGGTAATAATGATACATCCTGGTGCAACACAAGCCTCAAAACATCCTAAAAGTGCTCGAATAACCATCAACGAAGCATAAGATGTGCACACCGTATGGAGAGCAACCACTATCCCCCAAGCAGTCACACAGAAGGCAAAAAATTTTGCCGGTGGAAGTACTTGGAAACAGTATGCACTTATAGGCTCAAACACAATATAAGCCACATACAATATGGTTCCCAAATTACTGAATTGGTTCCCTCGAAGATTATCCTTGATCCCCATCACCGCAGCATAATTTAAAAGAGATTTGTCAAGAAATTGTAAGAAATAAATCCCACAAAGAAGAGGAAGGATCACCCAATCTACTCGACGATAAACATGTTTGGGATAATTTGCAGCCGTTTCCAACTCAGAATCCACATCATTTACCGCCACGAACTCATAGGCAGCGTCAAACTTATTGCGCAGTTCAATATCTGACATGAAGAAATCATCAAAGATGAAAGTTTATGTAGATTGATATGCCTCAGGTGGTGCACCTGTAAGAGCATACGAGTGTACTGTATGTAACGGTGTGTATATAAGGGGCGGCGATCACTCTCCACCGTTGCCACCGGTGGCTTATTGCCCTGGTACATACCGAGGTCGCTTAACGGTGCAGGTAAGAGCAATCATATTGGTTATTCAGCCAGTTATTGTGACGCCTGCGCGACGCCGCGGTTAGATGTCGTTCAGGGTTCACTGCAATAAAGCCTGCTTGTGCATTTTACGCGAGGCTGTGCGGCGCACCCGCCTTATCCGGATTCACGAGTTTATTTTTCGGTTTGTTGGCGACACTTCAAGCCGCGAGCATACACTAGCCACGTTCTTGGGCTTGCAACAATGCTGTTAGTGTGGTGTATATTATGGTGAGTTTTGTCGTGAGATCTGCTTGAAAGCACTCGCGTATTTTAGTTGCTGCATCTCGTCATGACTAAGAGGGCGGGCGGGGTACATTGATTTTTGTACTATGCATGCGTTGTGCACACTGCATGCAGTTATGTTCAGTGGGTGGGTGCATGCGCCTGCATCGTAAACGTTTAAGGCGGGACCGCACCAAATCGTATATTATGTGCGGGTATCGTAAAAACGATAATTCACAGCCGCCCCTTAATAATAGAATCACCTTCTTTATAAACCCCTAATTTCCCGCGCGACGAAAAAACTTTTATTGGCTTTTGCCATACCATGGCGATAATTATGAGTGGCTATAATAATCCTATAGAGTATCCACAAAAACTGGCCGATGTTGCCAATACTCCTCGTGAAGAAACTCGCAATTTTAACCCACAAATGATGATTCCTCCTCCATCCTATTTTGGTTCTGGTCAATATCCCAACCAACAAATGTATTATCCACCACAATTCGATACCTATGGACCTGGAAATGTTGTTTTTGTGCCACAAAACAACACGTATTTTAGTCATGTTGAGTACCGTCAGGGCGCCGGCGCCGGCGGGCAAACTCAGGTGGTGCGGCAAAACCTGAACGTGACCACCAAGTTTGGTGACGCAGTAATGCATCATAGTCTGCGTGATATTCTGAGAGATGTGCAGCGAGCGTTACCGGGGGTGCATACTAAAGGATTTGTTGAGCAGCTCCAGCAGGTGATGGTGCGGCCGCCACTTTCGAGGGCGTCGGTGCGGCCCGAGGCGGCGGGTGGCGCGTCAAACCGACGGTCCAAGCGTCGGCTGAAGTATACGCGCGAGCAAGACGATTTGATTGTGCGGTTGAAAAAAGAGGGCAAGCTGTGGGTGGAAATCGCCGAGGTTTCGGGCGTGGGCAGTTACTTGGCGGCCCGTAACCGGTACCAGGTGATTGTGGGGCAACAGGGAAACAACAATTCTTCGTCGTGGACACCGGAAGACCGACGGGTTTTGCATGAAGTATTGGATAATGCCGAGCTTGATAAATGGCGGTGCATTGCTGCTGAGCTCTCCAAGGCTTCAGGAAAGACATTTACCAGTAAAGAGTGCCGTGATATGGTTCGGTACTTGTTTTGGACCAATCCGTCGAGTTTCAGTGTTAGCGATGAGGTGGTGACGGAATGTGCCAAAGAGCAAAAAATCACCGAACGGGCAGTTTTGCAAGAACAACAACTTCTCGACGAACAACACCAGCTGGATCTTGCTTTGGGCTACGGAAAGCAAAGGGTTCCTAGTCAGTACCTGGCATTTTTGCACCAATCGCCATCACAGGTTTTTCAGCGGTACGCAAATCAACCAACCACCCAACCAAATCTTAATCAGCCAAACCACCAAAACCACCAAAACCAATCAAACTTAAACCAGCCGAACCAGCCAAACCTTAATCAGCCGAACCAGCCAAACCTTAATCAGCCAGGCCCACCAAACCTTAATCAACCCAACCAACCGAACCTTAATCCCAACCATCCAAACTTAAACCAACCAAGTCTTAACCAGTTGAATCAACTCAACCAGCCAAAACTTCACGTTCACCTGTCTGGACTTCACCATCACAATCATCATCCACACCCTCAACATCCTCAACCACAACCTCCATACGACCACTTTCCACCCCAACCGTACCATGACCGCCAGGATGATTACAAACTGTATTATTAGATCAATGAACTAATTATTTGCCAATTTCTCCTCTACTACCCTAATTTTGTCAGCTGGCGTTTGATGCTTATCGTTCCTAGTACCTATCCGGATATCACTTTGAATCCGAACCACGCCGCTATCATGAAGTTTCTCATGAAATTGCCCAATTAGGTCTGTGACTTCATCCCACGGTCCTTCGATGGTGGTTCCTGCACTGTGGAGGACGCATTCAAGGTGAGATTGGCGAGCCAATTTGGTAATCAAGGCGATCTCGTCGGAAACCGACGCTTTGCCGGTGCCGATCTTGGTTAGTACAAGAACCGAGGTGAAACCGAGGTTCGAGGAGTCCAGAATGGAATCGACAATAAAGGGTACATACCGGAATGACACATACGTCTGCCAAACAGTGCAACTTGACAGCCATGCTTGCAAGTTTAATTCCGAGGGCGACGAATGATACGTGGGTCGTGGCCGCACCGTTTCTACCGTGCAGTGGAACTTGCATATTTTTGTGCGTCTCCACCGTAAAAAGCCACCACAAACGCACCTGTATTATCAGGATATATTATCCGAGGCTCGCCTCAATTTCGCCCAATCAAGCATAATCCACCCCTGCAACCTGCGGCCGGCATGACGTGGTTGGTGTACATGGTTCACACCATAACTTGCGCCGATCTAGTATAGTGGTTAGTACACTTCGTTGTGGCCGAAGAAACCCAAGTTCGATTCCTGGGATCGGCAATTTTTTTTATTACTTCTTAAATTTCGACATAAGCTTGGCTGGAAGCTGTGTCACGCGCTCAAGTGACTCTTCGGGATTAAAATCCGACAGCTCGTTCCGGCTGCTAAATTCGTACTTCTTCTTAAGTCCGCTGGGTTTCCCAGTTCCGACCTTCATGGCCTGCATGGAGGTCTCAATATTATCGGTGGCCGAGGGTCTAGCTAATTTTGCAGGTGCAGCAACCTCACCCTCGGATTCGCGTCCCCAGCCCGAGTCAAATACCCTCGTGGGGTTGGCGGTTTGGCGCTGTTCCCATGGGAACACTGCAGGAAGCGAGCCTGCAGGGGCCGGTTCTGCGTAAGACGAAGACAGCGGTGGTGCTGATTCGGTAGAATCCCAAGTGTTGGAATAGTGGGGGATTTGCAACCGGGATGCTTCACCGGTGGCGCCTAAAATGTGGTTTTTTGTTTCTTTATCAAAAAACTCGGAAAACCGGTCCCACCATAAATGATGAAACCGGAAATGATCAATGTTCGTACTACTGTGCCATGGCTTGATTTGGCCGATGTAATGCAAGATCTTGATATCCTTGAAAAACCGGTGAAAAGCAGGCACATATTGATAAGATTCGGTCGGGGTAACATTGTACAAAAACGGAAGTCGGTGCCAATTTCCTGCAAAAAACTCGTTCAACAATCCCTGATCAGCGCCATCAAAACTGGAATCTGAACCAGAAGCGAATTCAACAAGGTCAGAATACACTTGAGGATCCGGTTTGAAAAGTAATACCCCGGAATTAAAAATATCCGGCCACCCTGAGTCGGGACTAGCTGCAATCTGTCGAGGGGTGAGCGCCGCACCCTCGTCGAAAAGGTGGTCCACATTTGCTAATGGGAGTACGTCGGTGTCCAAATATAAGATTTGGTCGTACGATTCGTTCCACAAAAGTAGTTTCGAGAACGTGACGGCCAATTCCGGGCGTCCTAACCGGTCATCAACCGGAGAAGTCACCAAACGATCGGAAATGGGGATGATTCGGTCATATGCAGCTTCCAACAACTGCAACGAACGATCCGATACCTGCGTCTCGTCGAGAAGCACCACGACCGGGTACTGCGTTCCGAGGCTCCGGAGAGTATGGGCAAGCGTAAGCGCGCCGGGAAGGTAGGATTCGTTGGTTAAGAGAGTTGCAATGGCAGACATTAGGGATCGTCTTATCTGTGCGACAACAAAGGGTCTTGGTTTGCATCCAAACACCACGCGTAAGCGAAGCTTAATTTCTTTGTTTGTTGTTCGATGTCCTGTTCGGTATTCTACGTTTACGAATTGCTTATAGCGTCTTCCTTTTCTTGTATTTCTTCCTGTACTCTTATGCCCGCTGGTATATACTCTCGCTGCTCTGTTGGCTCCGCATTTCTGCCGTCGACTGGCGGTTGCCGGCGTTTTCCTTCAATGCAATCAACTGCTTCGACCGGAACCCCTCGTAATGAACCATCGACGTGGTTTCGATCAAATCTTGAAGATGGGTTCGCGTCAAAAAATCGCGTAGAAATACAAACTCGCACTGCGACACATCTTCCACATTGATGGCACCCCATCTGGTTTTGCGACCACGAACCATTTCGCCGTTGATCACAATCTCCTTGTCGGACCCCACCACTGCAAACGGAATGAGCAGCTTGATATCCTCGTTCAACTGCCTTTCGTCATCATACAAGTCGTCGGAATCGTAAGGATAGATGTTGAAATTGTGGCGAATAAATTCGTTTTGGAGTAATTTTTTGTACTCCAGTCTCTCCTCCAATGTCAAGCTATCACTCTTGGCAATCACAGGGATCACGTTGGCAATTTCGCTAAGTTTCCGCAAAGCTTGAACATCAGTTTGCAGCAAAGGTTGACCATTGGGAGCCAAAAAGTAGAGAACACAATGAACCCGCGTGTCAGGAATATACCGCTCCCTTTCCGCCGTGAGCTCCTTACGCAAATACTGCGAGTATTGCTCCTTGATATACTTGACGAGTGGTTCCCAGCACTTGTCGTTGTTGATCTGATCACCAAATCCCGGCGTGTCAATCACGTTGATGTTCAATCTAACGTTGTTCTCCGTCAACACATGCGACGACACCTTGATTTCCGTGGTCTTTTCCACGGGCAAATCCGCCCGGCGACGACCGCTCAGATCGACAAGTTTCAGTGAAAACAACGTGTTGATCAACGTACTTTTTCCGAGCCCCAGGCGTCCCACCACCATCACATTGAGCAGGAACCCGCGCTTCAACAACCGGTTCTCGATTTGCGTGGTGATGGTGTCGAAACCCACATACTTTTGTGGCTGTGTTACCTTTTCGTCCATGTTTGTGTCGCGTTCTTAAACTCTTGCGAACTATTGACGAGTACTTGTACAAATGATTGGTGCACCGGTGTTTTCGCGAAACTGAACTTTTGTGGTTTATTCGTTAATTTTTCACCATGTTTGCCCGAACCCCTTTGGTGGCCCTTGCGGGGTCGTTGGAGGCCGTGGTGCGTATACCGGTACCGCTGCTTCTCGCAGGCTGGATGGCTATGCCCAGGGATCCTCGGCTTGAAGAACTCCGTCGGCAAATGGAAAACAACCACGGCGACCCGCCATTTATGATTGGAAACGAAACGATTTTGAAAGCGGTTCCCAAGAAAAAACCTTCATATAGACGTACAAGACAGAAGCTTTATGCCCCGGGTGGAAAACAGGTGCAACATTTGGACAATTTGGTGAGATGTCCAGCGTGCGGCCACTTTAAACGGTCCCATTTTATGTGTATGCATTGCTTTGCCGAGATCCGAGACTTTCTCAAAATGAAGAGAAAGCAGGAGTTTCCCGTGGAGGAAAACAAGTACCCGGAACTCGATCTGGTTGACGAAGCTATTTTGTATCCAGGAAAACGGGTCAGCGACCATGAAAGACGGCTCCAGAAAAAGGAGTGGATTCCCAAGCGGGAACAGCCCATGATGTACGAGAAGCACACCAAGGGCCGGGACATCAAGTGACATGTATATAAAATCTACTAAAATTACTAAAATTCATATTCTGATTTTCATCTCATTCATTTTCAGTTCTCACTTTTTCTCATTTCTCGCGAAAATAATTTTATCTTAGCTTCTCTTTCTCTTCACCATGTACCATGTTCTGAGCCACTCTGTGAGTGCTAGGCATCCCCTCAATGTCAAGCCTCTGGGAAACGAGCTCCTTAGTGATCCTGAAGAGCAAAAGTTGAAAGCCAAGCTAATGGGTGATTTTTCACACTTTTCCGACGAAACCATCATGATGATTCTCGGCCACATTTCCAATAAAAAAGACCTTTTGCACCTCGCACACACGTCCAGAGTGATGTACGCGTACACTTATGACGAGGAATTGTGGCGACGGCTTTATTTCAGCAAAATTGGTGGTTTTTCAAATGGTGAAAATCGGCTGCAAAATTTTAAATGGAGAGGTTCTTGGAGAAATTCTGTGTTGGGAATCGACAAACGAGCCAACGTGACCCTTCCTGGGTCTTTGGTGTGCTCAGACTTGCTCTATCGGCCGTATCAATGTTCCCAAATCGACTACTCGTCGTTATTTTCCAAGGTTATAAAGGACGAAACCAGCCGCCATAACCAAGCATTAAAGTCATCAGCTGAAGTTGTTAACGAAAAATCAATTTTGAGGCTTCCAGATTCCGAATCTCACGACTATGAAAAATTGCAAAATAAGCCATTTATTCTTGTGAGCCAGCCGGGACGATGGCCCAATTGGGATATTTCGCACCTTGTGAACCGGTTTCCAGAAGTGGTGTTTCGTCAAGAAGTTGCTCAATGGCCACTTTCTTTGTATGCTGAATATCTTCGGAACAACTGCGACGAATCTCCACTTTATTTATTTGACTGCAAAAGTGATGCCATGAAAACGTTAAAACAGGAGTATACAGTACCTCAGGTCTTCCAAGATGACTTGTTTTCCGTTTTTGAAAAAGTCGATTGCCGCCCAGATCACGCCTGGCTCATCGTGGGACCTCAAAGATCCGGATCCACTTTCCATAAAGATCCTAATTATACTTCTGCATGGAACGCTGCATTATCAGGACGTAAGCTCTGGGTGATGCTTCCACCGCATATCGTACCCCCGGGAGTTGGAACTGATGATGACGAAAGTGAGGTGACGTCGCCGGTCGGAATTGCCGAATGGGTATTGGCAGGATTTTTCAATGACGCTGCAACCATCGATGAATGCATAATTGCCGTAACATTCCCGGGAGAATGCATGCACGTTCCGGCCGGATGGTGGCACTCAGTAATCAATATCGATGACAGCGTGGCGTTGACGCAGAATTTTGCACCCTCGTCAAAAGTACAAAATACCCTCGATTTCTTTAAAAAGAGAACTGATCAAGTATCCGGATTTACGATAAAGCGAGTCTACAAAGCTATCAGTAAATTTTTAGACACCCACCAAGACGATGATGGTGAAGATATAGAAGCATTAAGAACCTTCCGTTCTACAATATCCACCATGGATATCGATCAAATCGCTGACGAGGATTGTGGAGAACTCGATGAAATGCCTACGATGCCCATCTACGAGTTTTTCCGTTTGTTACTCATAAGTGAGGGAAAAGGTCATCTTCTTGAAACCTCTCAAACCCGGAAATCCCCCCACTCATGGACAAAAGTGGTTGACAGTACTGGTTTTACATTCGGATTTGATATAGAATAAAATACATCCAATGCACCGATCACTCCACTATGATTCGATATATATATCGAGGAACTCGGAATTTACGTAGTATACGCAAAATGACCGGATCTACAGAATCGCCAATCATTTTTGCGCCCAAAACGTACCAGTATAAAAAGGGACACCTCGAAGAGTCGGATTTGGATGCGAGTCCCATTGAGCAATTCCACCGGTGGTTCGATGATGTAAGGCAAGCATCCGGAGATGGTGCTATTCCGGAGGCATGTACATTTTCAACGGCAAGACTTCCCTCGGGTCGGATCTCGTCGAGGGTGGTTCTTTTTAAGGAACTTGACCCCCACGGATTTATTGTGTATTCCAATTGGGACGGTTCCAAAAAGGCAGCAGATTATGCAACCAACAAGCATGCAGCATTAACGTTTTTCTGGCCACAATTGGAAAGACAGGTTCGAGTTGAAGGGGTGATGGAACCCGTAAGTCGTGAAACCTCGGAACGATACTTTCAAACCCGGCCCCGAGGGTCCAAGATCGGTGCCTGGGCGTCACCACAGCTGCAGCTGTTGCATGAACGTCAGCAATTGGACGACTTGTATGCAACACAAGAAAAGCGGTTTGAAGGAGTTGCAGATGAGAATATTCCGTGTCCACCAAAGTGGGGCGGCATGCGGGTAGTTCCTTTAGAAGTGGAATTTTGGCAGGGAAGGGTGAGCCGTTTGCATGACCGGATCTCATTTAGGCGGGAAACCACCGACGCATCCTGGAATCGCGTCCGGTTGGCGCCATAACAGACGCAGTAAATACGTCTTGGCTGCCATTATGGCTGTATAAAAGGAGCCCGTTTCCTCATTTTTATCATTCTTTTTTCATAAACATAAATTTTAATCTATATTATCTAGAATTTTCTACTGAAGCTTAGAGATCTTCTCGTAAAAGGTCTTGCCTTGAATGTGAGCAACCTCCTTCTCCAACTTGGTTGGTTGTCTGGATCCGTCAGCTCCGGCTAAAGTTCCAGCACCCCATGGAGAACCACCGTGAACTTCTTCCAAATTGGTAAGCAATGGGAAAGCTGGACCGTAACCCAAAGGCACGAAAATCATACCGTGGTGCACAATTGGGGTAAGAGCGGTCATAGCAGTGACTTCCTGACCTCCACCTGGGGTTCCAGTGGAAACGAAAATACCAGCTGGCTTACCGTAGAGAGCTCCCAGGGCCCACAAACCACCAGTTTGATCCCAAAATGCCTTGACTTGAGCAGACATGTTACCGAATCTGGTTGGGATTCCGAACAAGAAAGCATCGTACTCGGTCAAAGTGTCCATGGTAGCAATTGGGTAGTCTGGTTTAGCAGGAGCATGCATAAGTTTCAAAACCTCGTCACTCAAGGTTTCAGGAACTTGGAAAATGGTGGCGTCACCGCCAGCGGAAACCACACCCTCCTTGATGGCCTCGGCCATGGTGTGGATGTGTCCGTACATCGAGTATGTGATAATTGCAACTTTTGGAGCCATCGTCGGTTGTTGCAAAAACAGCAACCTCGCCGCTATAAATATGAGCGGTTACGTAAGCGGGTTTCACACCGTTTACAGATTTTGTAACATTTTACTAATGTGAATTGTAAGCGTGGATGTCACATTTTACTAACCTTACATTTGCTTGTCCGAGATAAAAATTTGTGGTAACAACCAAAACTTGAAAACAATTCATATCAAATAATGAAGGTGGCTGTGATATACTACTCGACCTTTGGACATATGGTTCAAATGGCCGAAGCAATCAAAGAGGGTGTGGAAAAGAGTGGAAATGCTTCAAAAGTTGATATTTTCCAAGTAGCAGAGACTTTGAGTGACGAAGTGTTGGCACTTATGCATGCACCTGCAAAAGCTACTCATCCAATTGCCACAAATGACACTTTGACTGAATACGATGCGTTTTTATTCGGAATTCCAACTAGATTCGGAACTACCCCGGCACAATTCAGAGCTTTTTGGGACAGAACCGGTGGCTTGTGGGCCCTGGGTGCGCTTAATGGGAAACCAGCTGGTATGTTTATATCTACTGGGGGTCTCGGTGGTGGTCAAGAAAGTACAGCAAAGACGTTTCTTTCCCAATTGGTTCACCATGGAATGATTTACATCCCATTAGGGTACGGTGCTGCATTTCCATTGCTTACAAAGATGGATGAGGTTCATGGTGGTTCAGCATGGGGTGCCGGCACATTGGCTGGTGGAGACGGTTCGAGACAACCATCCAAGTTGGAGAAAGATATAGCCATTGTACAAGGTGAGCAATTTGGAAAGTTTGCGTTACGATTTGTGAAGGGCGCCGGTACTACTCCCGCTTCTGGTGCTACGGCCACCGAATCTGCTTTTAAATCTGGTTCCAAATCTGAGACTGCGGCCACCCCCGGTACCAAATCCGAGGCTGCTGGCGCCGGTACCGCTGCTGAGGAAAGCAAGACTACGAAAGAAGAATCGGAAAAGGACACGCGGGCCAAGCAGAACACACCCGCTCAACCAGAAAAGTCTCTGAATTGCAAGTGCATAATAATGTAGTTAGTATAGAACGCGCAAATGCAATGTAATACGTACATCCAAAATCGATCGACATCAGGTACCAGCCGCGTATTTCGGCATCACCAACGGAAAAATTACAACAATGCCTTACCGCAGTTTCAACTTCCGGTGTTTCCCAATTGGGCCCAACATGCGAGGTCATTACTCTCTCATTGATCCATCATTTAAGATGGCCTGGACCCAGTCGAAAATGATAACCGGTTGCAGAAAATTTTTGGTAAATTTCGTCCCTTCATGTCACATTTTGTAAGTCACACTAAGAGGCGGCCAGAAACAACAATTGGTTGAAAAAAGTTATGTCTGGTTTCCCCTATAGAACTAGAGATTAGGCCCAGATGAATATAGATATAAAGTTCCGGAATTGCGGCAAACCTTTAGGTTACAGGGGGCCGGAATGCGACATGGGTGCTTTTGCAGCCCAAACTACTCACGAATTAACGTGCATTATGCAAGCATTGTGCATTCGGATAAAAAACTGCTAGATGCAGTTAAGATTCAAATGCATGAACCCATGCATTCTACCTGCAATCCCAAGTTTTGGGGATCCACAATCCTTCCATTCAATCAATATCCTACCCAATCTCATCCTCGTATTTATAGAAGTCAAATATCGTGTACTGGTGTACTGAGAAGTGCTGGTTAGCCGTTATCAAAAAATCTCATTAGTGTCAAGACATTTGCAATCAATATGCATGTGCCATGCATGCAAAGGAAAAAGGGCATTGTCTACGTCATACCTGGTACTCAATTGCAGATACCCACAGCATGTACCTGATGCATAGATCGAATCATTGGGTTGAAATATTGAAAATTTTCGCGCGTCTATTTACCTATGCGTGGTGTGCGACGGCTCCCGGTGGATGATCCGATGAATTTGCTAACTCGGAAACCGGTGGATACAGATTCACCGGTGGAGAACAGTGAGGAGGAGCCGGAGATCCTCAGTGTGGAGTCGGTAAAAAAACCGGAAGATATAGAGCCAGCAGGTCTGGCAGAACCGGTCGATACGCGTATACAGACGCAGACGCAGAAAGAGACGAAGAAGACACAGAAACAGCAGAAAGAGACGAAGAAAGCACACAAAGAGACGCAGAAAATGCAGAAAGCTGCACTCCCACAGGAAGCGGAACACGAGCGGGAAGCGGCACAACGAGAAGCTTCGCAATCGGAAGTGACCCCACAGAAAACAACCCCACAAAATCCATCACAAAATGCATCACAACCCGCAATTCAACCCGCAATTCAACCCGAAACGCACCCCATAACGATGCATTCCGAACGCAAAACCGAGTCCAGCTCCGCTGTCCCCGGTTCTCGTTCCAAACGGTCGCTAGCCGACTTGTGCTCGCAAACAAATTCCGCCCATAAACGCTACAGAGTCGGACTCAGTCGTAACGTCGACCCTCTACATAGAAAACTTCATAACAGCATTAATTAGCATAACGTGGTGATACAAGTATCTTGATGTGTTTCTCCTTGTGGTTGATAAGCTCGTTAAAGCCCTTTTCTATTCCGTCTTCAACCGACACAATTCCGGTTATTAGAGTTCTCACCTGGTCAATGTCTACAAGTTTGGCTTCGAATGCCTTGACAACGTTTACAAAGTCTTCACGAGTATGGCACATGGATCCATTGATGGTTCTTTCATGCAATGTGATTTCCATGGGAAAATAATCCACCGGTTTTTCCGGCCAAATGGCAACGTTGGTGGCTACTCCGGTGGTTCGTAATGCCTTCAAAGAAACCTCGAACGAGACCGGAATGCCGGAACAGTCGAAAGAATGGTGGAAGCCAAATCCGTCATTGGTCAACTTTTTAAGCGCGGTAACCGACTGGTCTACCGATTCGTAATTTGTGGGGTCAAAAGTCTGCACGCCAAAAGACTCTGCCAACTTTCTGCGAGCTTCTGCCGGCTCACTCACGACAATATTTCCGGCCTTGTGTGCTTTTAACGCAAGAATCATCACGAGACCAATGGGTCCCGCGCCAAGCACCAACGCCAGTTCGCCCTCATTTAGCTTAGCGATGCGCACTGCATGCCATGCAACTGCAAGCGGCTCAATCAATGCCGCCACGTCCACCGGAATCACCGATGGTGGATACGGCACAATGTGGTTGTCGCCCACAACGCAGTAGTCGCCAAATCCGCCGTCTTCGAATCCCAATCCGGTAAACGCAATATAGTCGCACGCATTATATGATCCTTCACTACATGCATTGCAGGGCTGCTTCTTTGCGTTGGGTGCATCAGGAAACCGAGGTCGATCCAAGCAAGTTCCGGTTGGCGCCACCACCACTTTCTGGCCAACTTTGTATTCTGGGTTCACCTTGGCGCCCAATTCCACAATTTCTCCACACATTTCATGACCCATACATTGTATGTTTTCCTTATTGGAGATTTCGTTTCGTTTGTTTTTAAAGAAAATTGGCCCATCCAAATATTCGTGCAAATCAGAGCCGCAGATACCGCAATAATCAACCTTTATCTTGACATCTGTTGGAGATTGTAGCTGCGGCTCCGGATAATCGCTGTGAAATTTTAAATCTTTAACACCATGAAGAACAATTGCTCTCATTGAAGAATTGTGAGAAACCATTCATATTTATAGGCAGCACTAACTCCGCATTGGGGATAGTGGCTCCACTTCTGCAGGTGCGTGGGGAATGAATTTCGGGGCAGCACTCCGAGGGGAATCTACAGCTCGGATGCAGGAGCAGATCCCGACTCCGATGACTTGCTCCCCAAATGCAGTGGACTTGGTGCCAGATCCGAGGGCAGATTCAGCTGCAATGGCAGAGGCTGCAGATTTTTCTCCTTGAGCTGGTTGGCGCCGTCGTAAAAATGCAGCCAGAGTCGGCCCACATTGTCAAATTCCTTTCCGACCGAAACCGACCCGTTCAACGACCGGTTTAACACATCAAGGTTGTAAACCACCGAATCGAGCGACGCCCCGATTTCCTGAAGGAGCAAGTCCCGCTGCTTCTCAAAGTAGGTGTGGTCCATCTGGTGTCAACAGTCGCGTCGACCATCTTTAGATGCGTACAGGTGTACAAGTGTACTTACTGCATATTGTGTGTCCGGGTAACTCTGCTATAAATTCTCAAAATTACTTTACGTTTCTTATGCTAAAACCGGGACACTTGCATTGAGCGGTTATGCCGGAGAAACTCCCTAGTGTAGACGTACTCTCTAGCCCGGGAAACAAACTGACCAGCAGTTCAGCGTGGTTTCGACAGTGGAACCGGGACTTTACGATTGGTCATACATCTGTAGAATAGTTACAAGAATGTTGGTTTCCAATGCGAATGCGAATTAAAAATTCGAAACCGCACGCGTCGATTATACCACATATTATACACAGACATTTAGGGCGTCTTCACCCTTACATAGTACATCACTTTCTCAAACAGAAAGATACGGGAGTGGGTTGCTTCAGAGGACCGTCACATTTTTTCATATGACACCGACGGACATAATCCTTTTTTTCATCGAATTTAGCAAACCCGTTGTTTTTGCAGTAGGTGGATCCAGTACTATTTGTACTGGATGAGCTTGAGGCAGAAGATACACTCTTCTTCTTCGTCAAACTAAGGAGCGACATGGGTAGGAATTTTTGTTTGTTTGTAACAGCTCTTCTGATTATCTAATGAAATCCCCCAAAATCTCCAATGCTCGTAGCAAGAAGCAGAACTCCTAAACCACCCGATTACCACACTTGTAAGTATAAATTTACTTTGAAATTAAACGCTCTTAAGCTTCAAACCACTGGTTGAAAACAAATTTTTGAAAACAAAAAATCTTTACAAATCCCTCATTTTATATATGTACGCGCACTTTGCCGCAAAAATTTTCCCAACACCTGTGACTGTGCTGCATGCCCTTCGTCAATAAACAGTTGGTGCGCGCACGCCGCTTTTCTGCCCAATGGTAAAAATACCGCATCTCAACTAGGTAACAAGTGCGCCGCGGGCACGGTAAATGTGGGCACGGGCTCCGTAATTGTGGGGCCGCGCCGCTCCTCGGTTGTAAGTGATCGGTGCCTGCAGGCATTGTTGCGTCGACATGCCGCACCGCCTAATTAGTAAATGACTACCGAATGCGGAAAGTGGAACACGGAACTGAAAGGAAGAGGACGGAACTGAAAAGAGGAACGGAACTCCAGAACAGCCGGAATTACCGCAAACCTTTACGCTTGCACTTGCAGTGCACTTGCATTGCATCTGGCCCGGGCCCGACCTGAGTCATGGCAGGGCCAGCTCGATTGTTACGTAAGCTTGTGTATTGCTATTAGTCTGACACCTCCTCGTCGTCATTGTCAGGATATGCGCGCTCAAATGGGTCATTGCGTTCCTGAACCGGTTCTTCTTCGCCATATGCAGCGATCCACCGGTTGCTCTCCTGCTCCAATTTGGTTCGGTTTGCCGCCAACTGCCGGCCCATTTCGGCCACACTGGCAACGTGGTTCCCCACTAAAATATTGTAGATAATCCCAAAATACTCAATAAGTGACCGGAGCCCTCGTAAGTAACCGTTGTCTGGCATCAGTGGGTGTTTGGGTGGTACATTGGCGGTTTTTATCGTAAAGTCACCGCCAATCACCGACTGGGCAAAATCGATTATTCGAACCTTGATGGGATTATCACCGTCTGATGGTAGACCGTCATACATCAAAAGAATTGACAGTCCGTACATCCGGTACCCCACAAGATTTTCGAAAATTCGATAAAGTTGCTGTAACTGGTCGATCACGTGCGGAATTTGTTTCACTACTGAATAAATCAGTCGACCATCATACAAAAATTTGGATAATATTTTACAAAAATCTGGCCCTTTTCGCACTTTGCGGCCAAAATACTTGTCGCGCACAAAGAATTTTTCACTAGCGCGATTCCAAACTTGAAGTCCGCACACCCGCACACCCAAGTCTCGCGACGTTGTTTGCGAGCATTTAAGACGTTGCAGCCGTTGTTTTTCAGCGCTGGCTTCCACTCCATATTGACGGGTTCCCATTTTCAAGTCGAGAACACATGGCTTTGCCATATCTGCCGTCAAGTCCTCTAGCAACAAATACCTCTCGAATCGCGTATGTTTGCGCAATTTGGGACCGTCTGTAGAAACCGTAGATTCGCGCCGTTTTTCGTCGTAGTCGTCCATAGTAAAAATGTTGTCGTGATCGTTACTCGCTCTGCGCGGCTGAAACACCTCCAGAAGCACCTCTACCTGCAAGTCTGTGTTGACGGACGTCGACCCGACATTGGAATTCCGAGGGTCCTCATCTTGCACTGCAGCGTGGTGCGGCGTGTTGTGCTCGGACATGCTGGATAGAACCGGTGGTGTGTCTCCCAAATAAGATGCGGTCGGTGATGGTGCAGAACTTGAATATTTTTTCCATAAAAGTTCCGGAATGATATGACGATTGTCGTGGAGAACAACTTCCGGGGGCAAATCATCGTCTTCCGAGGATTCTTTATAGGCTGGTTGAGTATTGTCATCTTCTGATATAATGCTGGAGTAGCGCACGTTGAGAACGCCGATGTATTTCGGGACAAACTTTAAAAGTTCCGGATGTCGAACCTCGATGGTTTCATACCACAAATTTTCCCGGTTGACAAGTGCCTTGCATACCGCCCGGCGTGAGAACCGGAAGATTGCTGTATGGCCGCCAACTTTATTTTTGAAAGGTCGTAATTCTACCGCTAATGGAAAAACCTCGGTTTCCAAAGGTTGCTGTGAATTCAGATCCTCGGAAAACGAAACTTTTTTCTCCGGTTTACGCAAATCATCGATCCTTACATTCCCAAGTTTTGTTGTCAAATCGGTGGGCCGTTTTTGGATCTTGGTAATTGACGCACCGGAATGGTCGAATTCCAAATCGGCAGTCAAATGTTGCGTCACCGACCCGGACCGCGCCATATTGGTACGCTCGGTATGATGCGGGAAATATGTAGCTGATGATACCGGATTAAGTTCACTCGGTCCATTTTCGGGAACAGTTGGCGTATCGACGTCAACAACCGAGTCATCGGCATGCAATGGGTCTTTTATCGGCGATCGTTCCGTATGATCGTCGGTATTATCGATTAATGTCTCTAATGCGGCGCTGCCATCTCCTCGGAATAATCGTAAAGATCTTGCAGCCTTCCGACCTGTGACAACAGGAACTTCATCCCGTTCATTCCGGTCATTTACTGCAACATCCATATCAAGGATACTTGTGTTACACCACTTCCGGTAGGTTTATGCATCAAACGTTTGAATAGCTTGTTTGCTTCAAAAATGCAATCCTCTGCAGGTGTTGTTTTTGCGAGCAGTGTTCGATGATCAGTTAAAATTGTGTGAAAATCGCGGATACCACTAAAAATCTCCAATGCAATAAAACAAAAAAAATTAATGAAAAGTTTGGGAGATTGTTGTCTAAACTTGTAAACAATTGCGGTTTGTATCTTCTTGAGCAATATTCACCAAAAGGCCGGAAACGTGGCTAGCATACTGCAAGGTGGCTGATACATCCCCACACCAGATACGCTGCGCCTCCAAACACCAGCATCGTGGCCGACACCTGCAGCTCCCCGCACCGCCGCATCCACCACAAAATATCACATCCACACATTACAGCCAAACACCACATCCAAATGCCATCTTCTAGCAACGCGATGCACACAGTCGATGATTCGGTGGACTTTGGTGGCAAATGCGTTGATTTTGTTTCTTCCGCTTCTTCTTTATTTCCAAAACCCCAAAATCCAATTAAATCAAATCCAACATTTCAAGATAGATGATCTCGCCAACATCAACGAAACGCTAGATCCCGATTTTCGAAAAGACGAAGAAATCACGTTCATAGTAGAAAAACCAATTGATGGCAAAACACGTGAGAATGCAACGTTTCTCGTCTTGTGTAGAAATTACGAAGTTTACGATATATTGAAAACCATTCAGAATGTGCAGGACCGGTTTAATGATCGATACAATTATGATTGGGTTTTTTTAAACGATGAAAGATTCGATGGCCATTTTATAACCAGCGTGACCAGTTTTATCCGTGGCGGCCGAATTAGTTTTGGCAAAGTGGCCAAGCTGCATTGGTCATATCCCGACTGGGTGGATCTAGACCATGCACGGCACATGCGCGAACAATTGGCTGCAAAAAACGTACTTTATGCCGAGTCGGAATCGTACCGCCACATGTGTCGATTTTACCTGGGTTTTTTTTACAGGCATCCGTTGGTGATGCAATACCGGTATTACTGGCGCGTGGAACCGGATGTGGAATTTTTGTGCGACATTAATGAGGACCCTTTTTATGTGATGCGAACCACAGGAAAAAGGTACGGATTTGCCATTTCAATGTTTGAATACAGCGATACCATTCCTACCCTCTGGAATCATTTCTTGAGCTATATCAAAGGAAAGGGAAAGCTGCTAGATTTCGTGCAAAATCCAGACAAATCCTACAACCTCTGCCATTTTTGGTCGAATTTCGAAATCGCCGAGGTGTCGCTCTTTGCCAACCCGGATTACGATGAACTCTTCCAATACTTGGACTCTACCGGTGGTTTTTTTTACGAGCGATGGGGAGACGCGCCCGTGCATACTCTCGCAGTGCTGTGGTTGCTTGAGCCGCACGAGATATATTGGTTCGATCTAGGCTACCGCCACCTGCCGTACACCCAATGTCCGCAAAGCACCACCTTTAGAAACCGCAACCGGTGCGTGTGCGATCCAGAGTCCGATTTTACGTTCACTTATCAAAGTTGCACCGGCCACTTTCTTCAGCTTCTTCGCTGAAAATTTCCGCGGTCTAAAAAAAAATAGCCTGTCGCGCGCAGCTTATGTAACTGCGATTATGTAACTGGCGATTGTTCCATGTGGAGGTGCCATTAAAAAACTACCACGAATATCACATTTATTCGCCGATCTGGGGAATGCAATAATTTTGTTACCAAATATGGCATTGCGAATACCTCGACGTCAGAAGAAACGTTACTCGTTGGTATTATGGCTCGTGGTGATTGTTTTGGTGGTGTTTGTGGCTGGGCGCAAACTAGGTGATTCGGGATCCCCGTCGGTGATTGTTTCTGATTATGATGTCCACGATGTTTTTTCACGACTTTGGCGCAAAAGCAGCCGTCCAAAGGACAAAACCGTCCCGTATTTTCGTACGGATGCTGCCACAAGACCAGGAAAAGATGGAAGCCAGGTGCACCTTTCTCCGGAAGTGGCTATGGGAGTTGGCGCCGTTTCGACCGCGGAAAAACTCTCCACCATAGAAAGCATGCACCGCAAGGTGGACGAGAACCATCAGCGATTGAATTTGGGACGGGATTTTTACGATAAGGTTTTTTCGGTTTTGGCCGAAGGAGCTCCGTCAGTTGAACAATTGGATCGGTACCGCACCGAAGAAAGAATTTACCATGCTCGGTACACCACGCGAGAGGAAGAGCTTGCCGATGATATTGTTTTCAGCGAAGATTATTTGGGGCTGTTCTTGCAATTGACCGATGAAGAACAACGGTCGATGCAACAGTCGCATTTGTATGCTGTCACCAACATCCCAGACCACGCTCCTGAAGGGCTATATCTGGGCAATGGAATCGTATACGTTGGTGGTGGAAAGTACAACTGGCTTGCGATGCTATCGATCAAGCAGCTTCGTGAAACAGGGTGTAAACTTCCTATTGAAATCGTGATTCCAAAGCTCGACGAGTACGAACCCGACTTGTGCATGAATATTTTTCCTGCTCTTGGCGCTCGTTGTATCTTTTTGCCGTATATGCTCAGCAGCGACGACGGAACGAGCGCGGTTTCCAAGTTCAAGTTCAAAGGCTACCAATACAAGGCGTTGGCAATCATGGTACTGAGTTTTGAAAATGTCTTGTTGCTCGATGGTGACAACATTCCTGTAGGAAACCCCGACCATTTGTTCACGGAAAAACCATTTACAAACAACGGATTCATCGTTTGGCCCGATTTCTGGAAACGCACAGTTTCACCGGCCTACTACCAAATAGCAGGAATCCAAGTTAGCCAAACACAACTACATCCTCGTTACGACGAAGTGGCAGGAAAATACGAAGACATTCCTTTTGTCAACTCGCCGCTTGATTTGAAGTCAGTACCGTTGCACCAAAGAAAAGGAGCTATACCTGACCCCACATCGGAATCAGGCCAGTTGATGATCAGCAAGTCGTCTCATATGCAAGCACTAATCTTGGCTCTCTACTACAATATTTATGGTCCTACTCATTTTTATCCTCTTTTCCTGCAAGGTTCAGATGGCGAAGGCGACAAGGAAACTTTTTTGGCTGCAACATGTGCCTTGAACAAGCCATTTTACCAGGTTGCAAAATTTTTGAATGCCTTGGGATACATTGACAATAACAAACAATTTGTGGGTACCGGAATGGGCCAATTTGATCCAGTGGACGACTACAAAAGAGCACTCGCACAAAAAACTTCGGTAAAGGAAAAAGAACCAAAACTTTTATTTCTCCACGCCAATTTTCCCAAGCTTGACCCTTGGATTCTAAAGACAGAAAACAAGATTTTCGACGAGGACGGCAAGCGGTTTCGGCTCTATGGCACTTCCATGCGCTTGAAAACCGGCGTTGACTTTGAAATGGTCATGTACAAAAATATGCGCCATTTGCTCTGTGAGCTCAACATCAAGTTTGAAACGTTTTCTGCTGTCAGTCACGACGACCTTTGCCAGGAAATCAACGTCCATCTCAAGTATCTCTCTGATACAGAACACTTGTTGGAGTAGGCGGAATCAAAATCAGATCAAAATCAGATCAAAACCAAAAAAATCATCAGAAGAAGACCGATGCTGGACTGCACGGCTTCTCGTGCCATTCGCGGCGGCCGCCGCTAGGACTCTATGACCACTATATACATTTGCATCTACCAAATACATCCATGCACCAGCGCGTATCTCAAATTCAAAAGTCGCCAACAACTATTTATACCATGGCCGTGCAATTTCTCTTGTTGCTTTCACGCCAAGGCAAGCTTCGTTTGACAAAATGGTACCAGACTATATCACAGAAGGAGAAGACCAAAATAACTCGTGAGCTCACCACTTTGATCTTATCACGCCGAGCAAAGATGTGCAACGTGTTGGAATACAAAGATTTTAAAGTTGTATATAGGAGGTATGCTTCGTTGTTTTTCATTGTGGGCATAGATCTGAGCGATAATGAGCTCTTGGCGTTGGAAACCATCCATAGATTCGTGGAACAGATGGATAAACTGTTTGGAAACGTGTGTGAATTGGATATTATTTTTGGCTTTGACAAGGCATATCATATACTAGACGAGTTGTTGCTTGACGGGTATGTTCAGGAGAGTCTGAAGAAGGAGGTTTTGCGAAGGGTGGCTCAGCAAGATGAGTTGGAAAACATGGATGAGTTTGACAATATTCTTGCGTAGCCGCTTCTGAGGGTCATTGTCGAAGGGTAAACAGTGAAAACATCATAACGTGGCCCTGGCCATTCAATGGAGAGGAACAGTGGAAACATTATAACGAGGTTCCGAGGGCCATTCAAGAAGAGGAACAGTGGATTGAAAGTCTTTTTTGAGTCATCTAATATGGCTCGTGAAAAATGGCCGAATTTGAAATTATGTCAGCTCGTGGTCATGAGTTGTCTCTGAAGAAGATAATATGATACACTGGGCCCCATAACCTACAAAAATTTCATCTACTAGCTTGAGATTTTTTTGGATTAGTCTTTTCGAGTCTACAGTTGCGATAACTGATTCACATTCGCCAACATAAACGGTTTAAGATGGTTCAAATCGGATCAACTTGCTTTGAAGCTTTGCAGTTTACACTTGCTTTTCAGCACACTGAATTAGATGATAGATACTCGGTCTGAAGTATATCTTGTCGTTGTAGTATACTTTTCGAATACAGCGACAATCACTTTCTTAGTGAAACCAGATGTTCACATTTGAACGTAGTATCTACCACTTCCCTCAAAATCCTTAAAATCGAGCTAAAAGTTGCTATTCCATCATTCTTCAAGAATGCCAATTCCAGCATCTCGCTTATACTTGCGAAGATTCAAAAATGGCTGCAAATTGCAACCAAAATTTATTTTGATGTATTGCTTCGAAAAGGACGTAAATGGCTTCTTTTGGTTCCTCAAAGTCGTGAATAATCGGTTCCTTTATATTACATAGTCCATAAAGTCTTTTTTCAGCTTCTTCTTTCATCCAGAAACTGTAATTTTGCAAATTTTATAAATTATGAAAATGAGATTATTACCTCATCTTTAAAGCCGGGACGTCTCTATCATTAAGCGTTCCTCCCAGTTCCTTTCTTAAACATGATTCTACTTCACTAATTCATTTTTGAAGAAATCACTATGGTGACTCTGACCGACTCTACGTATCGGTCCTGCATATAAATAAATCAGCATGTTTGAAATATTTAATTCTCAGTGCTATAAGAGCCAAATATCAGTATTTTCCTTCTGCTCCCACCTCACATTTATCTTGTCTTCCATTTTCAATCTCATTTGACTTTTTCACCTTCTCACAGTTGACTTAATCTCCGCCTAACTCCCGCCAATCTCCGTCTATATGTGGTGTTTGGACGTCGCATCTCACTATAAAAGCAGCGTTTTCGCAGCTTATTTTCTTGGCACTGGCTGCCCACTTGTGTAACCCCTAAATTAAAATGGTTTTAGATTTCTCTTCTGCTACTGCTCACCTCAAACAATACGCTTTCAAGGACGGCTTGGATATCAAAAGTTTGGTCGACTCGAAAAATTTCGGTGGTTTGACTTATAACGATTTTTTGGTGTTGCCTGGATTAATTCAATTTGCGTCTTCTAATGTTTCTTTGGAAGCCAAGCTCACCAAGAAGATCACGTTGAAATCGCCATTCATTTCAGCTCCGATGGACACCGTCACAGAGGAAAATATGGCCATTCACATGGCTTTATTGGGAGGTATTGGAATTATTCATCACAACTGTTCTCCTGATGAACAAGCTGAAATGGTTAGAAGGGTGAAAAAGTACGAGAACGGGTTCATCAGTGACCCAGTTGTGATTTCTCCCGAGGTTTCTGTGCGTGAAGTGAAACAAATGAAGGCAACCATGGGTTTCACTTCATTTCCTGTAACTGATACTGGTAAAGTTGGCGGAAAATTGGTGGGTATTGTTACCCTGCGTGATGTTCAGTTCCAGGATAACCTTGACATTTCAGTTTCGGAAGTGATGACTTCTGACTTGATTACAGGCAAGAAGGGCATCACATTGAGCGAGGGTAATCAGTTGTTGAGAAGCTCCAAGAAGGGAAAATTACCTATTGTCGACGGCAAAGGTAATTTGGTTTCAATGATCTCTTTGACAGATTTGCAAAAAAACCAAACTTATCCTCTTGCGTCCAAGTCGTTTGACTCCAAGCAGTTGTTGTGTGGTGCGTCAATTGGAACTATGGATGCCGACAGGGGAAGATTGGAGAAATTGGTGGATGCTGGTTTGGATGTGGTTGTCATTGACTCATCCAATGGATCGTCAGTTTTCCAAATCAATATGCTCAAGTGGATCAAATCAAAGTATCCAGACTTGCAGGTGATCGCTGGTAACGTTGTGACGAGAGACCAAGCTGCTTTGTTGATTGAAGCTGGGGCCGATGCTTTGAAAATTGGAATGGGTTCCGGATCGATTTGCATCACCCAAGAAGTGATGGCTTGTGGTAGACCTCAGGGAACTGCTGTCTACAACGTTAGCGAGTTTGCTAACCAATTTGGTATTCCTTGTATTGCCGATGGAGGAATTGGTAACATTGGGCACATCACCAAAGCATTGGCTCTAGGTGCTTCGTGTGTCATGATGGGAGGTTTATTGGCTGGTACTGCCGAAACACCTGGTCTGTACTTTTACAGAGACGGCCAACGGTTGAAATCGTACCGAGGAATGGGCTCAATTGATGCTATGCAACAAACTGGAACTTCAGCCAATGCTTCCAGTTCTCGATACTTTTCGGAGTCCGACAAGGTTTTTGTGGCTCAGGGAGTTGCTGGTGCTGTTGTGGACAAGGGATCAATCACCACGTTCATTCCGTACTTGTACAATGGCTTGCAACATTCTTTACAAGACATTGGTATTCAGTCGATTGAGGACTTGAGAACAAAGGTTGATTCTGGCGAGGTCAGATTTGAGTTCAGAACCACCTCAGCTCAATTGGAGGGGGGAGTCCATGGATTGCACTCGTACGAAAAGAGATTGCACAATTAAAGAAGGTGAACAATTAGATTACTCAATATAGTTTAGCTAGTAAAATCGAGGTTGTTGCCTATCTGCAGTCCATCTCATCAAGCTCATCGCGACTTCCTCAGAAGACAACCTGATGTCTGACAACGAGTATGATATCACGAACGCGCTAGCTCTCGACGCAGGCTCAGATTCAGACTCTGATGTTTCCTCGGGCAGAGAAGACGTCGAGGACGATATTCAGGACGAAATCATCTCGGATGACGAAGAAAAGTCGTCTTCGTCGCAAAACAAAAAACCCAAGATTTCCACCAAACCAGAGTCGTTTCCGTCTTTGGAGCTTTCGGACGACGAAGACGATGAGTCCCGGCCCTCGGAAGTAGCCGAGTACTTCTCGAACAACAAGTTACAGGCGACAAAAGCCAAAGCTGGTTCGTTTGCATCTTTCGGGCTCTCGAAATTTCTCCTTAAAAACATCGCCAAAAAGGGGTTCAAGCAGCCCACGCCTATTCAGCGTAAGACCATCCCGCTTGTGATGGAAAGCAGAGACGTGGTGGGCATGGCAAGAACCGGATCGGGAAAAACCGCCGCTTTTGTTCTTCCAGTGGTTGAGAAGCTCAAGAGTCACAGTCCCAAAGTAGGAGTACGGGCGGTTATATTGTCGCCGCTGCGTGAGTTGGCGCTCCAGACGTTCAAGCAGGTGAAAGAATTCACCAAGGGAACCGATTTGCGGTCGATTGTGCTCATTGGAGGAGACTCGCTCGAAGACCAGTTTCTGAGCATGATGACCAATCCCGATATTTTGGTAGCTACGCCCGGTAGATTTCTTCATTTGAAGGTGGAGATGAACCTTGATCTCAAGACAGTGGAATATATTGTTTTTGACGAGGCCGACCGGTTATTTGAAATGGGTTTTGCCGAGCAGTTGAATGAGCTTTTGGTGGCACTTCCTCCGTCTCGGCAATCGCTTTTGTTTTCCGCCACGCTTCCACGGTCGCTTGTGGATTTTGCCAAGGCGGGGCTTTCGAACCCAGTTTTGGTTCGACTTGATGCCGAAACGAAGATTTCCGACCAGTTGCAAATGGCATTTTTCACCACCAAGAGAACAGAAAGAGACGCCAATCTTTTGTACATTTTGCTGGAGGTGATCAAGATGCCTCTTGCGACCCAGGACCAGATCAAAAAGTTGAAAGAACTTGAAGAAGGAGCAGATGATGACGACAGTGACGAAGAAAAGAAGCCGAAAAAGAAAAAGAGAAAGCTTGAAAAACCAGCGCCTGCAAACAGGCTTCCGTCTGAGCATTCTACCATAGTTTTCGTGCCCACAAAACATCATGTTGAGTACGTTACTACGCTTCTCAGAGACGCCGGTCACCTTGTGCTGTACATTTATGGAACCTTGGACCAGCATGCGAGAAAGCAGCAACTTTACCAATTTCGAGCAGCCTATACCAACATTTTGGTGGTTACCGATGTGGCAGCTCGTGGTATAGATATCCCAGTGTTGGCTAATGTCGTCAACTATACGCTTCCTGGCTCATCCAAAATCTTCATTCATCGTGTGGGAAGAACCGCTCGTGCTGGTAATAAAGGGTGGGCCTACAGCATCGTCAACGAAAAGGAGCTTCCGTATCTTCTTGATCTCGAGCTTTTCTTGGGGAAAAAGGTATTATTGACCCAGATGCACGAGAAAAAGGTGCAAATATGCCATGAAAAAGGTTTGTCGGCTCCCGAAGTTTCGTATAAAGACAGACTAGTGTTAGGACTGGCGCCCAGAGTGGACATTGAGTCGTCGCAAGAGTTGTGCGACAATCTTTTGCGCAACCACTACGAGTTACGAACCATTCGAGATGTGGCTAACAAAGGTGAAATTCTTTATTATCGTACAAGACAGCCAGCTTCGCAAGAGTCGGTCAAGAGAGCCAAAGAGATCATGGATACCGGAGCGTGGGACGACCAGCATCTTCTTTTCGGGGCGAATTTGGAGAAAGAAAAGGAAAAATTTCTCGCCAAGCTCGCAGATAGAAAAGTCAAAGAAACGGTGTTTGAGTTCCGGAACAAGGGCCAGCGGGACGAAGACAGTCTTGTGGAGTTCATGCACAAGCGCCGGAGGCAGATAGCTCCTATTCAACGAAGAGCCAAAGAGCGGAAACAACTTTTGGAAAAAGAGCGAATGGCCGGTTTGACCCACGGAATCGAAAATGAAATTTTGAAAGGTGACGGAGAGGTTGGATACGACAATTACAACGGGGCGGATTTGGACGAGGTTTTCGAAGACGGTGACGAAGCATTGAGTAAAAAGAAGAGGAAAACATACCGAGATCCACAGTTCTTTCTCAGTCATTATGCGCCAGCACTGGTTATTCAAGACAAACAATTGGAGCTTTCTTCGTTCAGCAACGAGGCAGCAGCAGCAACCTATGATCTCGACAACGACGACAAGACGCAAACCAACAAGCAAATTATGCGGTGGGACAAAAAGAAGGGCAAGTATATCAATTCTCAGTCGACGGACAAAAAGTACATTATTGGAGAAAGTGGACAAAAGATTCCTGCCACCTACCGTTCCGGCCGGTACGAGGACTGGAGAAAGCTGCGCAATGCCCAGCCACTTCGAACCGGAGCAGAAGAAGTCAAAAGTAATGGAAGATTTAAACACAAAAAAGTGGCCGCTCCTAAAATGCCAGACAAGTTCCGAGACGATTATCACAAACAAAAGAAGAAGGTGGAGAAGGCTCTTGATGCTGGAGTGTCTGTGAAGGGCTACAACCGTCCCGGACAGCAACAAGAGTTGCGGAGCACCGAACAGATTAGAAAAGCTAGAGAGTTGAAGGAGAAGCGGAAAGCGAAGAATGCTCGACCAAGCAAGAGGAGAAAGTAAAAAGAGAGAAAAAGTAGGAGAAGAAAAGTTAAGAGAAAAGGTAGCAGAAAGTATGAGAAAGGACTGCTGATAATTCGTAGCATTTTCTGTTTGTTCTCAAATCTTAGTAGAATAAGTTAATAAACCACTCACTACAATCAAGAACTAAAGATTCATTCAAACGATTACAATACATTTAGACGGCTTAGATGATTCAACGCTTGGGCTTCTTTTTTTTCACCTTCTTCCTCCACGACTATATGGGTGGTACCCACGATCACGGCCTCTGTATCCACCTCTTCCACGATGTCCCCCAGACGGTCCAGAAGGAGGGGCCCTACGAGGTCCTCTAGGTAATCTCTTTTGCACATCTGGAGGTGTAGAGTTGCTCTCTGACCGAGTTGGAGCAGACTCATTTTCACCCTGCTGTTGAGGATTCAAAGGCTGCTGGTCAGGATTCTCTTGATAATCTTGCTGCAGCAGTTGTTGTTGCTGCTGCTGATACATATACCACTGTTGCATTTGTTGCCAGTATTGCATCATATCGGCATTCATTCCATTGACTCCTTGGTTGTATTGACCATATGGAGCAGCTCCACCACCGGCACCTCCACCATATTGATTGTAAGGATTATAACCATAACCTTGTTGTTGCAGACCACCATGGTGAGCACCCCTAGGCTCTGCACGTTTGACTTCCATAGATTTGCCTTTAAGAGTTAAAAACTTGTTTACAGTTACCCTATCAACAGCTTCTGGCGAATCGAAAGTAATAAATCCAAATCCACGAGACCGTCCCGTATCCTTGTCAATCATCAACTGAGCATCGATAATGCTACCGAATTGAGAAAAGAAGTCATGGAACTCCTTTTCGTTTACCATGGGATCAATACCTCCTACGAATATTTTACCTACCTTGTCCTGTTCTTCACGAGCAATGGCACGCTTGGGATCGATCAACTTGCCGTCCAAAACATGGTCTCCCTGGATCACCGCATCCACAGATTTGGTATCCTTGAAAGTAAGAAATCCAAATCCACGAGATTTTCCGGTAGCACTATCTCTCATAATAGTATGGTCAACGACCTCTCCAAATTTGGAAAAATACTCCACTAATCCTTGTTCCGTGGTATCCCAGTTGAGTCCACCAATAAACATCTTTCCGCTGTCACGACCAAGATTGGATGGTGGTGCTGGTCCGCCAAATCCTCCAGGAGGTCCTGGAGGGCCTGGAGGGCCCAGAGCATTAGTTGCTTGAGCTGGAGGCGCTCCGGGTTGTCCCTGTTGTCCGTACTGACCGTATTGGTTTTGGTTCTGTTGCCCGTACTGGCCATATTGGTTGCCGTACTGATTGCCATACTGGTCGTATTGTTGCTGGTTTCCATATTGGTTTCCATATTGACCATACTGACCTTGAACTGGTACCTGGGCAGGCGCCTGTGCGCCTGCTTGGTTTGCATCCTGAGCTGGTGCTTGATTATTGCTTGCCAACCCAGAAGTCTGTGATTCTGACCCGCCAGGTGGTGGAGGAACAGAAGCTCCATTAGTAGTAGAAGGTACAGTTGTTTCTGCTGTTGTGACGGGAGCTGGTGCAGCAGTAGATGCAGGAGTTCCCAGCGCGGAGGCAGCCGTAGACTCTGTTTCGGGTTTTTTCACGTCGTCATTAGCTTCCAGTTTCTTTTCTTCTGTTTTTGTTTCTTCCTTCACGTCATCATCGCTGGGTTAGTATTGTCATCAAACACCAATTGGCAATCCATCTAGAGATGCACCGGCATATACTTACTAAATATCGTCAAAAAGGGCTTCGTCATCAGACATTTTAATGTCTAAAGCCTAGAGTAGGAGTATACTTATCACACGTCGATGGTGAAATATCTGTTCCTGTCTTTGTCAGCAATTATATAAACAATACCAAGGGTTTCATAAGTTGGATTGGCGGATAGGGAGATACGTATAGGGAGGTATAGAGAGAGAAAAGAGTCATTTCTGGGGTCTGTGGCTCTTAAATAGATGCAGAAGGGTCATTCAATTTTATTGTGTATTCGATTTCCCGATGCGTTTTGCATTTATGCATATTTCTGCACAATATAATAATTTTGGCAGCCAGAAAGCAAAAATATAAAAGGGCACGAAAAGACGCTTTAAAGTTAGACAATTATAGGAAACTTCTCTTCTCGCGTTTTCAACGTGTTTTACGTGTTTTATTGCTTCAAATATTGTATTTTGCAGCTGCTCATCGCGCGACATTTTTCAACTCAAACTACAACACTTACAGACGATCATTCACTCAATAGACGAAAAGTGCATTTTCCGTCCAGAGTACTTGTTTCCCTGATTCATGATAGACTACCTCATATACTTTGCACAAGCATACCCCGAGTTTCGTCGTGCAGAACTCGAATCTTTGGCCCATCTTTATGATATACCGCTCGATATTCTGCATCATGATCCTTCTACTCCGTTCTTAATAGTACAATTGCGCAACGACGAGGATGCCAGAAAATTGCTTGATCGTGCAGTTCTTTCGAGAGGAATCTACGAGCTTTGGGGAGTGGGTGAAACGTTAGAACAACTTCATACGAGTGTTCGGTCGATATCAGAGCATCGCTTCGAAGAAAAAAAACGTAACCTGTTTCGGTTTGACTTTGAAGGTTATATGGGTACGCGTACTCGAGAGCAAAAAAATGCTATCATAGAATCTTTTGCATACTTGGGATTTCAAGGAAAAGTCAAGTTGAAAAACCCGGACGAAATTTACACTGTATTGGAATTGTATCGGACCAATGGCCAAACAAAGGCTGAAACTCCGTTGAAATTATGGTTTGGTCGTCAGGTACAACTCAGTGCTCGGTCCAATGGTGTTTTGGATAAGTATGATTTGCGTCGTCGAAAGTATATTGGCACCACATCTTTCGATGCCGAGTTGTCTCTTGCTAGTTGCAACATTGCCCAGGTTAACCACGATAAAATCGTGTATGATCCATTTGCTGGTACTGGCTCATTTATGGTTACAGCCGCTAACTTTGGAGGACTTACTATAGGCTCTGATATTGACGTCAGAATGCTCAAAGGAAAAGGAGATAAAGATATTGCTTCCAACTTCAAACAGTACGGCACGTCTCTCCATTTCTTGGACACAATGACCATGGATTTCACGAACAATGCCCTTCGTCATGACTTTCCTATTGACACAATTGTATGTGATCCGCCTTATGGAGTGAGAGAAGGATTACGAGTATGTGGAGCTCGTGATCCTGCCAAGGCGGCAGGAAGAGAAGATGTTATAATTGACGGAGAAAAGGCTCATTTACGGCGTGACTTTATACCTCCAAAGAAACCGTATGAGCTTTCAGATCTACTTGGAGATTTGTTGGATTTTGCAGCCCGACGTCTACCGGTTGGAGGAAGACTTGCGTTCTGGATGCCTACAGCCAACGATGAGTTTCAACCACATCATGTTCCGCAGCATCAAAGCTTACAGCTCTTGTACAATTTGGAACAAGAATTTAACAAATGGTCGCGGCGTCTTTTGGTTTACGTGAAAATGAATGAAAGTTACGAGGGAAAAACCATCAATGGACTCAAGGAGAATGTGCATTTCAGAGACAGATATTTCAGCCGGTTCAACGACAAGAGCAAACAAGTATAAAACTCGGACGTCTCTGCACCATGTTGGGCACCCGGGCCTGTGCGGCTAACGTTCTAAGCGCATAAAAATACGGTTGCGAAAAAACTTAATAGGGATGCACTTAAAGCGCTGGGGCATGCGGGTATTTCAATGGGACGGGCACAGTATAAAAGAGCAGCGGTTTGCAAATTAAATCCATTGATCTAAACTATCATGGCTCCACCTACTGTTCTTGCACCACTGCTCACTCTCCCACTTTCGGGTACATTTTCTGCCCGTACACCCCAACAAGTTACTGTTGACTCCGAAGCTGCAAATGGCGATGTGAAGTTTGCCGACTGGGACAAATTCCACTTTGCCCCCATTCGTGAATCGGCGGTTTCCAGGGCCATGACAAAAAGATATTTCGCTGATCTTGATAAGTATGCGGAATCAGACGTTGTGATTGTTGGAGCAGGATCGGCTGGTCTCTCGGCTGCTTATGTGTTAGCCAAGAACAGACCAGAGCTCAAGATTGCCATCATTGAAGCCAGTGTGAGTCCCGGAGGAGGATGCTGGCTTGGAGGACAATTGTTCTCTGCGATGGTTTTGAGAAAACCTGCCCATCTTTTCTTGGACGAACTTAACATTGCCTACGAAGATGAAGGCAATTATGTCGTGGTCAAACACGCAGCTTTGTTCATGTCGACGTTGATGTCTAAAGTTCTTGAATTCCCCAACGTGAAACTTTTCAATGCTACTGCAGTGGAAGATCTTATCACTCGCCGTGATGAAACCACAGGTGAACTTAGGGTGTCAGGAGTTGTCACCAACTGGACTTTAGTTGCTCTTAACCACGACACCCAGCTGTGTATGGATCCCAACACCATCAACGCTAGTGTGTTGTTGAGTACTACTGGCCATGATGGTCCCTTTGGTGCATTTTGTGCCAAGAGATTGGAAAGCTTATCAGGAGACAAACATAAGCTTGGAGGCATGCGTGGTCTTGACATGAATCTGGCCGAAGATGCCATTGTCAAGGGCACCCGAGAGGTTGCTCCTGGTTTGGTTATTGCTGGTATGGAGCTCGCCGAAGTGGATGGATCCAACCGGATGGGTCCAACATTCGGAGCCATGGCACTCTCTGGAGTCAAGGCTGCTGAGGCCGTTTTGAACGTTTTTGACGAACGCAAGAAGCAGAACGACGACGACGCAAAGAAACACGGATACTAGTTAGGTTATAGTCTACATTCTTTAACATGGTTGCATTTCATAGTTTACTGTGGGTGTCTGGACTTTTTTCACTTCCTCAACCAAATCTCTCAGCCAAATCTCCATCGATAGCAGCAGCAATGGCTGATTTTTTAAAGTAAGTGTTCACTTCAATTGCGTCTAGCTGGCAGAACTAACCAAGACCAACAAAGACAAATGCTCGTGGCATCCCTGAAGCCCCTTTTATAACAAAGGTGGAAGACGTAGTCAAAGCTGGAGATGACTTTCAAAGTGTCATGAGAATGTTTCTGGATCGATTGCAGCAATACAAGTTTATGGAGCAGTCCAAGCGCCAGCAATTGGCAGACCTCAAGGTGAAGATTCCGGATATCGAGAAAAACTTGGATGTCATTGAAAATATTAAGCAACAAAAGGCTGATGAAAATGCAAGTATGGAAGTCAATTATGAGCTCAATGATACCCTTTATACACGAGCTGAGATAGATATTCAAAAGACAGACTCTGTGTTCTTATGGCTTGGAGCCGATGTGATGCTTGAGTACCCACTAGATGAAGCAGTGAGTTTGCTCAACGACAGACTTTCCAACAACCAACAACTGTTGAAAGCAGTAGAAGAAGACCTTGAGTTTTTGAAAGAAAATATAACCACCATGGAGGTGAATACCGCCAGATTATTCAATTGGGATGTGGAGAGACGAAAAAGGGAAAAGAGTGAAGCAAAGTAGGTAATAGCGAGCATGGTATAGAAGAGAAAGGACTCTATGAGTAATTGAGCACAAACCCTGAGCTGTAATTTGTGTCAGTAGACATCGAAACTTGTAGCTGAATGGTATATAATGACAAATGCACGTAATAATGTCGACTTTCAATCTTTTCACGTTCTGAATGTATCCAAGAACTGACTACCCAAAGGACGCACAGGTGTCTCCGCTCTAATTCCCGCACCCTCGGTGCTTCGTACGTCGTCATTGACCTCTTCGGGTTCCTCCTCCGTTCTAACTGGATGGTACCCGCCCAAGCGCAGTTGAAGGAGTCCTGTGTATCTGGACCAAGCTTTTGAAGGAGATGATATAAGGTAGTAAATGGGAAGTGGAATGGACCATCGGTTCGACCCAACAAGTAGGTCTGATATGAAAAGCTTTCCCACGATAATTCCCACCACACAAGGAATTATGGAATGTATGCCGTTGTTGATGAGAAGAAGGGTGTAGATAGCATGGATTTGAAAGTGGTTGGTGAGATTGAGCTCCGAAAAAAGGCCAGGAGCAGAAGGGGTGGGTTCTGGGGAGACGGACGAAACCGGGGAAGGATTAGAAAGAGCAGAAGAAGCACCATTGTCATGACGAGAAGCCGCTGCCGCAGCTGCTGCTTCCGCTGCCAGCAATGTAACTCCATTTTCTTGGTGGTCACTATTTTCACTCTCAACTTCCCTATTTTCAGCGGAAAGCTGGATTTTAAAGTAGTACCTCACAGGAATATACTTGCCGTAGCAAATGTACAACGAAGATATCACCCCCAAAGGACCAGGAATGGCACGATTGAGAAAAGTCACTTGATATTTTGCAGACAAAGCCAGCGATATCAAGGGCAAGTTCAACTTGGATACGAAATACATCATAAAATTCACCAATAACTGCCCCAAACTCATGACCACAAAGCAAAGAACTCCATTGTACAACAAAAACAAACTGATCACAGAAAGATACTTTCGCGAGCCAAAAAACCGCTCCAATGTTTTGAATTGAAACCACAATAACACCGTTAACAAAAAATCGCTTTCATTTATAACAGAAAACTGGTACGTAGCCACTCGCCAGTATTGACCATATTCCACAATAAACGGATCGATGGCCAATATAAAATAGTGTTTGTACTGGAGAACAGCCACAGCAATAGAGATGACCGTTGTTAAAACACAGACCGACCGGGAAACGGGGGTATTGGAAAACCCACGAATGGGAGTGATCTGAGCCATGAAGATAAAGACGCGAGCACACTGCATATACACCTCTACCTACCTGCATATACTACCCTTTCATTTCCTGCACACGGCTCGTCCTTCACCTGCACACCAGCCCAGGGCTGCGCCCTCGCGCGCATCCTCAAATTTTTCACCAAACTTTTTCCATTCTTCATCACCATGGGTAAAGACCACACCACCAAGCAACACGCTAGATCCGGCCACAGAACTGCCCCCAAGTCAGACAATGTCTACTTGAAGTTGTTGGTCAAGTTATACTCCTTCTTAGCTCGTAAGTATTCAGTTTCGGCAATTATGTGATTTTTTCACTTTCAAAAAAATTCCCACCAAAACACACTTTCAAGTGTAAAGACAGCCATCAGAGCTGCTACGGTGCTACGGCACTGCGACAGCGTAACCTGTGGCTTCTGCGAGTACATTTATGTGCGACTTTGAGCAGAATACTAACCATAGGTCGTACCGATGCTCCATTCAACAAGGTCATCTTGAAGTCTTTGTTCTTGTCCAAGATCAACAGACCTCCAGTTTCTCTTAACAGAGTCGGCCGTGTGTTGAGCCAAAAGGGTGCTGCTGACAAGACCATGGTTGTTGTTGGTACCGTTACCGATGACATCAGATTGTTGGACTTCCCCAAGGCCACCATTGCTGCCTTGAGATTCACCAGCTCTGCCAGAGCTAAGATCGTTAAGAACGGAGGTGAAGCCATCACCTTGGACCAGTTGGCCATGAGAGCCCCTAAGGGTCAAAACACCATCATTGTCAGAGGCCCAAGAAACTCCAGAGAGGCTGTCAAGCACTTTGGTTTCGGTCCTCACTCCGGTAAGGCTCCAAGAATCAAGTCCAAGGAATTGAGAGCGGAGTCCGCCAGAGGTAGAAGAAGATCGAAGGGTTTCAAGGTTTAAACTAGAACTGTGTAGCTTTCTAATATATCAGTCGTGTACAATTTACCATTGGTGTAGCCGAGAAATTTGGCGAATTTTTTTGCCAAACAAACTCAATTGATGCTGCTGTTACCGGCTGGATACCTCCTGTACCCTGCAGAGGTATTGCATTCCATTCTAAACTACTTGTGTGTCTTTCTGATCCATCTTGATAAGCGGGAGGACCCATACACCAGCCCGTCCAAGCGAACCAGTTGCAAAAACTATCATGATGTCGTCAATCTTTCGGCCACATGCCGATATATTCGGCTGTTTCTTGGTCCATATGTGTTCCAAATGATTAGTGTAGTACGGAAAACGCAAATAGAGTCTCTTCTCCAGCTTCCAAAAGTGGAACAAAAACTAAATTTGAGTGATGAAATTTTGCATTTTAAGACCATTCATAACTTTGTGACAACGCTAGAAACCAACACCATGGATATAATTCCGCTGTTTCCATCACTAGAGAGGTTAATTGTGCTCGCAAATTGTTCTGGTGACTCAAATATTGCACATTCTTTACGCTCATTGACGATCTCCGCAGGCACTCTTCTCAAGTGTTCTGGTCTTTTAAAAGTTGTAAACAGACTCAATTCGCTCCATATGTTGTGTGCCTTCCATGATATTGATTCCAGTGGACTTTCACCGCTAAAAGAGGTTTTTGAAGACCATAATTTGAAAGAGCTAAACTTGTACTTTGGAAGAGCAGCCCATATTACTTACGATACCACTTTGGATCTCATTGTTCTGGTGGTATCCTCGTCGCAAATACAAAGGGTAGGCTTGCACGTCGCCCGACGATCTTTTCAGGAAGACGATAGAAATTGGCCCTGCAGCAGCCACCTGAAGGCTTCTGAAAAGCTTTTAAATTCGCTACTTTCCTCAGAAATAACTTCGCTCAGCGTTGACATTAGTATATTGGTACAGCTCCAAGTCCCAAATCCGACGCGATTCTGCACTAAAAACTCGCCAAAACCAAATTTTTGTTTCACACTTATTGACCCATCATTTGCATTTCATTCCTGGCACCTTTTAAATTTTCACACATTGGCTCAAATTTTCCAACTTTTCAACGTCAAGGAGTTCCAATGGAAGTATGGCGAAGTCATAGACGAGTCCCATCTCCAAGCACTAGACGCTGCTGTGAACACAATTGCTCGTATTCGTGAATTAAATGGCTGCGAAATTGACTTTCTTCAATTGGAAAAATGTTGGTCTGTTGCCGACGACACTTTGATACGCCAGCACTTGAAAATACCCGAAAACCATTCAAATGCTACAATACGGACCCGTTATAGCTTCAATTCACCCCGATACAGACGACCAGAATCTTACGCCGTGGTATACCTGAACATTGCATCCATACACCAACTAGAGCAAAGAGACGAAACGGAAGCTGAAAACCGGTTCTGGACTCTGCAGCTCACCTTACTTGATTTTCAGCAGTACTGTCTCCCCCAGCGGAAGAGAAGTAGCATATGGGACTAGTAGTCTCCATACTTGACACGCATCACGTGCGTGTGACTGCGATCGCTCACGAGGGTAATTTTGAAACTGCACACCGCTTCCTGCACGCAGTCCCAAGCAGCGAAAAAAATTCACCACTCGTTTGACTGAGAACATCGTGAAATAATAAGACATCATGGCTGGTCATTCCGTTAGGTAAGTAAAGCACGGAGACAAACATTTGGAGCTATAATATGTGAACAAGACAAAACTAGAGACATACCCGAGCCTCAAAGTAGACTAAAAGGCACTTTACATCAACCTTGAAAAATTATCAATCCATGCAAATCCATGTCTATGGTTAGGAAATGGTGATCCCAATGACATTCATGGAGTCTGGGGCATTTATGGGCTATATTCTCCAAGTTTGGCATTCACAGCTCTTATTATTGGAATCATTACTAACATTCAGAGACGTTGAAGCTCAGGACTTTATTAACGCTTACGCCCAATTCTTGCAGCGTCAAGGTAAGTTGGAGGTTCCAGGTTACGTTGACATTGTCAAGACCTCCGCCGGTAACGAATTGCCACCTCAAGAGGCCGAGACTTGGTACTACAAGAGAGCCGCTTCCGTTGCCAGACACATCTACTTGAGAAAGCAAGTTGGTGTTGGTAAGTTGAACAAGTTATACGGTGGTGCTAAGAACAGAGGTTTCAGACCACACAAGCACGTTGATGCTTCTGGTTCCATCAACAGAAAGGTGTTGCAATCCTTGGAGAAGATTGGTGTTGTTGAGATCTCGCCAAAGGGTGGTAGAAGAATCTCCGAGAACGGTCAAAGAGATTTGGACCGTATCGCTGCTCAGACCTTGGAAGAGGATGAGGAGTAAGCATCAAGGTGATTTGGTGTGATATTATGTAGTCAACATTAAAAAAGTTGGTACTAATTTTGTATACATAATGAAATTAGCAAGCATTGCAGGTTATATTGTGTACTATTTGAACTGAACACAAGTTTCAGCTATAAATTTCACCTCTGCCTCTCTAACCTTCAATCCTATTTCGTCAGGTAAACCAATCCATGCTAGAGGAGTTTGCTCTGGAATAGCATTGAGCCATTGAGAAGTAGATTCAAAATCTGGTTCCGGAAGTGACAATTCTCCTTTGATCAAACTGTAATTCTCCTCTAGTGCTTCTATACAGAAGACACATCTCGCCAATTCTGTAATGTAGTTGCGCTCTGTACTTGATACAACGAGCCCTCCATACACAATGGTGCCAATGATGTAACGAATATAATCCCAAGGAATCTGGTTTTGGAAATTCTCGTCATTGAAAGTACTCATCAAGATCCGTACTCCAAACAAAAGCGTATTGTCATTGACATCGTTTGGCTGAATCGTGTTAACCTGGGCGTACCTCAAGCGCTCCAACACAATGGAATGAAACCAGGCGAGTAAAATGATAACTTTCTTGTGAGCCTTGGAAAGCGATTGGCTTTCCATCATGTCTCTGACCAATTTGACAGAGACCTGTACGTTACTTCGAAGACTTGGAGGGGTTTCGAACATCAATACATGTGCCAGCATGAGCAAAGCACTTGGAATTGTGGACGATAAAGAGCACGTAATGAATAATCTGAAAGATGGGTGCAAATTGAGTCCAGAAAACTTCGTTGGAAGCGTGGTGAGCCAATGCAGTGCCAAGTGTCCATTTTGAACAAGAATCCACTTTCCTGAAAGTGCTGCTCCTTCGATGTCCATATCTGCCGTTTCTGTTCCCTCGATAGTACCCATTGAAATAATGGTTAGCTTTTTTTCATTCAGTCGAGCGAGCCTCTCTATCGTTAAAGTAGCATCTGAGCCTCTCAGAGAAGGCAAAAGGAAGACTTGATGGTCTTTACCAAGTACCCAATCTTTGAATTCGAATTGATCCCGGAAAAAATGAATGTTCAGATTCTTTCCCAGATTCATCATCTCTCCCAAAACTTGTTCGGGCCAACTCAAGTCACTCGATTTGTGAAAGAGAAAAGCTTTTAGGAGATCCGAACTAGGAGCCAAATCCGAGTTTCCTGAGATAATCTTGAGAACATTGGCTTGAAGCTCACTTTCACTTTTGGGTTTGTCTTCAGCTTCAACTTCATTTCCAAGACTGCCTACCACCAAATCTAGCAAACCTTCTTGGTCGCCGTTCTTGATAGCTTTCAAGATTTTGTGGTACCAAGCATCTGCTATTTCTCCTTCAGAAATCTTCACATAAACTCGATACAATATGACTGCTGCCGCAATACGATCTCGCTGAGTCATTGTGGATGAGATCCATTTGAAGGCCTCCTCATAGAGTCTCTTGATAAAGTCTGGTGATTTCGGATCAATTTGCCAATTGAGCAGCTCAATAAAAAGTTGCAACAAGAATGTCAACGAGAAATTATAAAAAGTGCTTGTGTTGGAAAAAAAGCCAAAAGCTTTGAAAATGTCTCGAACATGATGCGTGGTTGTAGAATAGCTGTCGCAAACGTCTTTGGCATTTTTAAGAACTTCAGAAGCCACCTTGTATCTGTTGTCCATATCCTGGGCTCTAGTCTTGATCTCTTCAAGCGAGTCAACAACGGTGTCATTTTCAAGAAACCGACCATCTGCCTGGTTCAATGTAGACAACAAATCGGACTCTATGTCATGCAATAGAACTTCATATTTGTCCTGCAATGATATCGCTTCATTTCGTTGTTTCTGAATTTCCAGATTGAACGTTTTCAAAATTAAATCGAGTACCTGTGTTTCAAGACTACTGTTCGAGATGGTAAAGTTAACAGTCAAGACTCTGCTTGCAACAAAAGAACTGAGATTCAAGTTAGAGTCTTTAGTATGCATAAAAAGCTTGAAGCCAGGATTGACGTCCACCTCATTAGAATTGAACTTGACGACCGCTCTGCCTCCGTTACGTTGGAAGTCTCTGCGAAGTATAGGGTCCAAATTGTGATTATAGAATTCGGCATCCTTGATCAAAATGGGTGTGCCGAACTTAAGTGCATTTTCAACGGATGTCACATAGCTGGGATCAAGGAAACTCGCAATGACGGTCTTTTGCGGTGAGTTTAAGTTTGAAATGAATGTAGGAATCGAATCCTCTGGATCAACAATAAGTGGTACATACCCAGAGCTTATTCCCTCTTCGATGATAATGATGTTCTGGATATTCAATTCATCTTGCGACAATCCCCAGTCTTTCCAGAATAACTTCCTATCAAGTTCTGCCAATGTCTTCAAGTCGGACTTTCCATCGTCGAATAAAACTCCTGACTCTTGAAGTTTTTCCTTCCATTGGACCACGAGCACCCTTCTCGCATGCTCGCTGAGTGCTCCAGTGTACGTTGCCATTGCTGCGCTGATAATGGAATTACCAACCAAGTTTCTTCTGAACAGACCAAACTTTTCGATTGTTGAATGCCAGCGGTCTTTTTCAGAATTGAGACTTTCAATCAAGCGCAAACTTCGGCTCATTTTGTTCTCCACCGTGGTCATTTCCAGCCTGATGGACTCGGTCTCTCTTATGAGGAGCATGTAGTTTTCTTTGAGAGTCTCAATTTCACCATCAAGTTCTTGTATCATTTGGTCGATAGCAATAAGCTGAGCTTTGGTCTTTCGGGCATGAGACTCAATCAACCTGACCTCCTCACGAAGAGGCTCAATCTTATCTAAAATCGTTGCATAAGATAGTTGAGCTTTTACCCATGCCAAGAGGGGACCACATGCCTTACTAGCTCGATCCACCACATCATACGAATAGTCAGACCTGGAGAGGTAGATATTCTCCATATACTCAAGCAAGTCTGGAGTGACTTGCTTTTCGTTGTCAAAGTTGACGATATTGGCTATGAAGTCGTCCTTTCGAATAATTGATTGTACATCTCTCCACGAAGTCACCTCATAGCCCAAGAGGATGCACACCGATTCCATTGTCATCTTCACAGCAGCTGGAGGATTACCCATGCTTCTTAGTTCTGTAAGGTGTTGCTTTTTAATGTTTTGAACACCTTTCTGAGCTGCAAGAACTGCTGGTTCTGCATCAGCAAGGTCCGCCATAACAATCTTTCGCCGCTCATGAATGTCTTTTTCTTGTCGAGCCAACGCACTCTGTGTCTCCACAGAAAATTCTTGCCGACGTTCAGCTTCATTTTGATCAGTCAAAAGCTTGTTCAACGTATCTTTGGCTTCGGAGTCTTTTTTTGCAAGTTGGACCTTCTTGTCACTCAATTGCTGCTTTAGCGCTTTCACTTCTAGAACCGCTCCTCGTAAACGATTTAAACCAGTTGTTGTATGCGATTGCATTTCCTCAAGACTTGCAGCTCTTCTTAGGTAAATCTTCAGAAACTCGTCGAGTAACCGAATGAAGAAGGCTGGAGAATGCAAACCTCCAACAATGCTAGAAGCCTCTTCGATTGCAACTTTGCCAGCGATTCTGTGAGAAGCAACTAAAGAATCGGCAACCACCTCATACAAGCTTGAGATATTGTCAGGCACAATTTTGTTGAAAGTTTCAGGAATCATGTACTCAGAGGAGTCAAGAGGGGTCTTTCCAATGACATCAAGAGCAATCTGAAACATTGAATGGTCGGACCAATCTCCCATCCAGCTTAGCACACACCGATTCAATAATGCTGGTGACGAAATTATTCGAGAAGAATCGCTCATCGTGAAGATAACGTGAAGGTTGGCGGAAATCTCTGAACGAAACCAGCCCAATAGTTCATCTTCAGTTTCCAACGATAATCCCTGAAGCTGTGATTGTTCTTTGCATAGAGAAAAAAGTGCGTGTAAATCTTCACCTTCATAAAGACCCGGAGCCTCAGCATTGGCAAGTATGCTGTTCATGCGCTCAATAAACGATATGTCAATGACACTGCACTCATCAATCATCAAGCATACTCCCTCACCCTTTGCACAAGATCGAAGCACACCCCTCAAAAATTCTTCAAAATCACTCAAAGTGTAGTTGTAGTGAGTCACAAGTTGAAACACTTTGAGTCCATTCATCCATGCCACAAATCTGCAGAGGGTAGTTCTGCCACTGGCGGGAGCACCCACTAGGATCATATGCCCTTGAGGCTGCCTCAACACTCTATCAATGCGAAGAACATAATCCAATAAATCATCATACACGATAAGACTCATATCCTTCTCTTCTTCACCAAAAAGTTTGAATCTTTCGTTCATTAATGGTATCAAATCAGCAGGATTCACTTCTTCGTAGCGCAGAGTTATCCACCTGGAGTACAACAATGGACTCTTCAAGACTTCATCTGCCCTTAAACCAGGAAATCTACTTTCAAGAGCAAATTTTAACTGTTCCTTAATCCAAATGCGATCGACTTCTTCGCTTAGTCTGTCGCAGAATATACGCAAACCTTCATGGTACCAAGCCCGTAGTAAACTGGAAACCAGAGTATGTTCCTTTTCTCTGAGAATCATCAAAATACCACGGCACCACCTAGTGAGCTCTCTGGGAGAGTAAACGTACAAGCTAGCATTCTGGTGGGGCAAGTAGTCCAAACATCTATGATATGAATCTAGCATGGCTTCCGTCAAGTGGTTACAGAAACCTTTCAAGTTTGGTGCTAGATTCAATAAGGCTCGGTTGAAGGTCAAATAGATTTGTCTCAAAGACATTTCTCCAGGATGATCAACCATGATTATGGTAGCATGTCTTAAGAAACGATCCGGTAAGATATTTCTTCCTTGATCAGTAGAAGGATTGCAGGCACCAACAAACAGAATATTTTGTAGCTTCACCCACTCGTTACGAAGCCAAAACCCTTTCCATTCTACCAATTGACGTAAAGCAGCAATGATTTTCTGACTGCCATACTTGTCATAAGCAGGAAGATTGATCTCGTCACAAAACACCACCGCCCACTTGCCAGAAACTTTTGGTGCAAGTACCAAAGAGTTGTTGAGCCTCTTGTAGACACAGTGTGTTTCAAGCGACTTGATCAAGAGCTGAGGTGGAGAATCCTTTGAGAAATTTATAGGAATGATGTCCATATTAGGTGACCGACGTAAAGCTTCCATCACTGTCATTGTCTTACCGGAACCAGGTGGACCACAAAGTATAATTGGTTCATGCTCGTTAATGAGAGAAAAGATGAGATCTTCATGTCTAAGAGTGTCAGTTGTCGGTACCACTGTATCTGCACTCATTACGTCTTGTGGCTGGAGATCCAGCTGAATCACGCTCAGACTCCATGGGCGCCATGCACTGTTGGGTAGCGAGATTCCATAATCGATACAAACGAAATCACTACCCATTTCCTTCCATTCTTGCTTCCATGCTCTGTTCACAAGAAACTTTGAAAAGACTTCCTTTTCTTTGAGGGAGCAGTCGCCAGCAATTGCCCAAGCAAGAGAAAGTATAAAAGCCTTTCGAAAGTACTTGCAAACGTCTTCCCTGGAATAGTAGTCGTTTGAACCAAGGAATGCCCTGAAATACGCTTGTAAGCGAATGAAAAATGTCCGTATTGCACGAATCTTGTCGAACTCCATAACGTGTAGTTGTTTTTGTGAAAAGTCAAGAGCTTCCAATATAATGGCGGCATTGTCAGATTCACTCATCTCCTCACATATCCATTCCATGTCGATGTTACTTTTGCCGAATCCTTTGATAGTCTTCTCAAAGTTGAACCTGTTATGTTGGAGCGCCATTTCAGCAGTTACCGTTCCCTCATTGAAATACACCATTCCACACCTCGTAACTGTAGCAGGAGTCGCATAAGTCAAATTTGCAACTTCAAAAATCAACCGCACATTCGGAGGAAACCTTATTCTTTCACCGTTTGGAAGCGTAAGTATTTTGTTATCATCGAGAACACTGTTGAGGTTTTCAGCCCAATCTGGATCGACATCTCCATCGAATACAATCCAGATTCTTTTGTTCAACTCACCCCGCAAATTATTGTTGATACGGCGCAATATTGAGGTGATCAAACCGTCATTCCAGTCTCTTGTTATCGGGTCCAAAGAGCCAAATAGTTCTTCCTTGGACATAATTTTGCACTCGATCACAAAAGTCAAACTCTCAATGCCTTCCAACTCTTCAAGGGCCAGAAGTAACAAGCTCTGCACCACTGACTTTCCTGACGCTGCACGTCCAACAAGTATCACACCTTGGTGATTGCGTTGTACTCGGTACAATTGAACTATCTTCTGAATAAAGGTTTCGCTCATTGCAAGTCCACGCTTTGCTGCAATTGTCTCAACTTTGTCGATGAGTGCATCTTCGCCTAAATCAACCGAGAAACCGTCAAAGTATTTCGTAACCAATTGGTGAAATATGTGAATGTCGTCTTCGACCAACTTGGGCAAAATAGTCTCATAAAGACTTTGTAAAACACAGAGCTTCTGCTGGTGTTCTAAGGAAGTAATATCAGCTTCCTTATGAGTCTTCAAAAAAAGAGCAGCACAGCAGTCTATGCAGCGTTTTAACGCTCTCAATCCAAAGTCGTAGTGCACCTGTTTCGTCGTTGATGAGGCAAGATCTTTCAAAAAAGAGACAAAGACAACAGATAGTTCACGAGCAGCAATGAAGTTACGTGATGAAAGTAGTACTTCTGCAATGACATTTCTGTCTGGCTCGTTCATCGAGAAGCCAACGAATAACCGTTTAAGGTTTTCTGGAAGCTCGTATCTTCCAGCATATCCGGGATTCATGGTAATGAAAATTGCAGTTCCGTTTTGGACCTCTAGCGTCTTGTCACTTAAAGTGATATGAGACAGTCCTTCAACAAGAGAGGACTCAATCTTCTCTATCTGAGAAGACACCGCACTAAGTATCTTATCATTCAATCTGTTGAACTCATCGAAACAGCCCCAGCATCCAAGACGACAGATACCAACAAAAAGACGGCTCATTGCTTGAAAATCAAATGTTTCGTCACAGCAAAAGAGGACGACCATCTGTCCAAAATTGTATCCAAGCGACTTTATAGCTTCCGTTTTTCCTGTACCAGCAGGACCGAATGGTGCACCGCCAAGTTTCTGGGCAAGTGCTTGGGTCATTGTAAGATTACACTTGTCAATCAATGGCGTATAAGCAAGCTTGTCAGGAACGCCAAGGTACTCGAAACCGTAAGTAAACGAGCCCCCTCCTTGAACAACTTTCATTCTAGTGACTATGGGTTCCTCAGTTTGATCAAAGAAATACAATTGTTCAGTTCGTAAGCGAGAAGCGGCTGCTTCGCTATCCAAATCTTTGAGTGAGATAAGAATGTCTCTGTTATGCACTTCCTCAATTATCAAGTGCTCAAGCTTTCTTCGACAAGAAATTTTGATTTCGGCAGAATAGGCAGTCAACAAGTTGAGAAGCCTCTGTTGTTCTTCTATACGGCGAGAGATGGTTCCGGCGGGAATTGCCTGAAGAACCAGCTCTGTGAACTTGACCTTGCTGACTAGAAACTGAACTTGCCCAGGAGCCGTCAGTACAAACTTGCGTACCAACGATGGTTCAGGCGACTCAAAGAGTGATCCATACTCGTCCAAATATTTTTTCGTGGACACGGCAAGCGAATGCTTTACTTCGTATTCAAATTCCTTTAGCCAGTCTATCAATCTTTCGTACTTTGATAGAGATACTGGATTTGCCAATTTGAGACATTCGTCATCATCAGATTTTATCTCTGTGATTTCTGATGACACAATAACCAAACTGGAGACTCCAAAGAACATTTTCTTGATATGCTTATTGATTATAGCTCCATCATTAGAACCGCTCATAAGTTCTAGTAAATCTTCATTACCGATCAAGTAGAAACGTGGAAATATCTCTCGCTGCCTTTCCAAGAAATCATTTAAAGCTCGACTGATTCTTTGTAAGGATTCCCATAACTCCTTGAAAAGAATGGAAACGTTCAGAATTTCCAATATAGACCGAGCAGATTCTTGGCTTCGGATTTTTTTCAACACCTCAAAGAACTCATAAGTTATGTTTTGGAATCTTGTGCTCTCTATAGGCAATATTGCTCGAACCTCTGTCCTATTTTGCCCAAAGACCCCATATAAATAGACCCACACCCTTTGTATTTCAACAAATGTGCCAAGAAGCAAGATGAATTGATTGAGACGATTTTCGAATAACGTAGCATCTGCTTCAAACACCTTGAAATATGTAGAGCTTTTCATGGACGACAATGTTCTTACATTTTGGTCACAATTATCAAGGAGTTTTTTGCCATTTCTGACTAACGAGCAGATACCATTGAAGTCGTAATAAGTAAACGTGAGAGAATACCAATGAGCTTGCATATCATCAAGAGTCGCTTTCAAGGTAAGCTCTGCTGCCGCCTGACTCAAGACCGAATTAATCCTTGTCTTATTCTTCTCGAGATCCAAATCTAAGATTGTACCCCAGGTAATATTCTCGGTGTCTAAGTCTCCCATGCCTAGTAAAGACACGATTTGTTTCCAATGACGGTTTTCTAATGAGCCTGACTTCAAATCGTTTATCATACGGAAGTTTTTGAGGAACGACTTGATCGACCGCTGTAAATGTTTTATGGTATCAAACTCCTGAACCGCTTCGCTCATGTCCCGTGAAGCTTTCAAGATATTTTCGAGCTTTTGACGAACTTCAAGCGAACTTGTAGAAGCCCATTTTAGGTCTTTAATGCATTTAAGGGATTCCCATAAGTTAAGTATCTGCTTCCAAGTCGTTACGAGATCGTCAATTTGACCATTGAAAACTTCGAGAAGTCTTTTATCAGGCAATGTGATTTCTGCCTGAAGAAAGCTAGCCACAACTTCATAAGCCGTATGTAGTTGTTGAAGGTCAAGGCACTCTTTTTTGTACTTCATCAACTTTTCAAAAACCACTGGTGGTAATGCTGTCGTGTGCAATATGTCTTGTGACAGCCATTCAAGTTTGAATGAATTGACCAGGTCCCCAAACGTCCGAGCGGCGTTTTCTATATTTGAACGAATTTCATCTGTAATCTTCAATGACTGAGAGAGTCGCAACTTTCTTAAGCTTTCAGCAACCGAAAGACGGTTATTCAATTGCTCAGGATCCAAATAACTGAGCTGGTCGTCTCCTTTGTATTGGTTAGCAGTGAGGGTGCTATTCATCTCTTTGGCAATCTTGTAACCATTGACCCATTCGAGTAGTTTCAGTTCCACCTGAAGTATGAATTTGATGAAGAGTATTTTACTTTCGAAAGTTTTCTTGTGCTCAAATGAAGATTCAAGAACCCTTACGGCCGAGTCCACCTCTTGAAGAATCAGCGCTAGATTGCTTTGCAATACACTTGACACAACATCCAAGAAAGTGTTATAGAACTTGTCAAACCTCAATTGGGCTCTTGGCAAGATTCTGGAAAAGTTGATAGTCATACAACCTTTCTGGTAAGTCGAAGTTTCCAATATGCTTGCAGAGTTTGAGACTGACTTGAGAAGATTGTTCCACTCCTTGAAGGAGGACACACCAGCAAGCAATACATTGCTATCACTTCCTTCTTTCACATCTATGTCCCATAAGTTCAGAAAAGCTACCCACAAATTGAAATAGCTTTTTGCATCGTCAAGAACATGGTCAATAATACTCAATGTGGATGCAATGGATTCGCTTAGCGCTTGTGAAACAACGTAGTTTTTCCGCTCAGTTCCTTGCTCTGAACTTATCTGATTCTGCCTCTCCACTATCTGAAGAAAATCATTGATCTGAGAAACAAGCGCAGCTTTCGTAGATTCCAAGGGAGGATATATGACAATACTTCTCTCTTCAAATGAGGCCGTGTGCTCAAAAACCGACAGATGACTACCTTGTATGGACAGACCCAACAGACTGAGCATTGCTTGGCATTTTCTTGCCAATATTTTGAGGACCTCTAGATTAATCTGGTCGACTAATACTGTTATAATCTCTGAATCATACAATGCGATCTTCTGTAACTCTAGTTGAATCAGGCTCAAAGACAGTTCGATCGATTTTTGAGTGTATTCACATCTCTCCAAATCGTCGTACATGGACTGTAGCCTCTGGTTGAAGCCATTAAAAAGAATGAATTTTTCATGTAAAATTTGCACCAGTTTTTGAAAGTTGTAAAATGAACCGATTGCTTGAGACTCAATTATGCTATCACCAGAAAAAGCAAACTCGTTTAGCTCTACGAAGTTCTGAAAATGAAACCATCGGAACGAGCTTAGTTTGCTGCATTTTTCCAAAACATCCTGGATGGGTTTTATCAATAGTTTTTGAGTGATGGAACCTTCATTTCCACCTAAGGACTCTCTATATTCCTCGAGTGCCCCTTTCACAAAATCAAGACTTTCATTAATGGAAGTGGCAATACTTATCACTGATGCAAGTCCGGTAAATGATTTGTGGACCGGTAAAGGCATTTCGAATCCAAGACCAGAAAATTCTCGAAAATTATTATACTGTGTGACAATCGATACATCGAGAGCGACGGCCACTTCTCTTTGGGATTTCAGCTCAATTTTAGTGGTCCTAAAAATACTGGCTTGCGCACATGCAGCAATCTTAGGCAAGACTTCATCTTTAACGACGGTGAGCCAGTTTTGAAATATTATGACTGGATCTATAATGGTGACAAAAGCACGCATGTCATTCTCCAAACGCGAGCCGGTGGAATAGTGTTCCCAGTTTCCAATTGCTCTTCGAAGTACATCCATAATAAAACTTGCTCGAGCTAGGAGTCCTCGGCGCATGTTCAAAGTGGGTATGATGTCACTTTCTTGACTTCTTCGACCCATAGACAAGCCCAATTTGGAATGGATTTCCTGTAGACGCTCAACCTCTTTCTGGGCCACTTGTAAGATCTTGATTTTATCAGCATCTAACAAAAGACTCGGAAGAGTTTCATCAATACCTTTGCCGGAATACTCGCTCAAAATCATAGCCATTTGTGATGTGTCTTGACAATCACGAAACCTGGCACTGTATAAGTTTTGCAAGTCACTTAGAGCACTATTGTATGACTCCATGTAAATTTTCACATTGCTATCCCAAAATGCTGAACCCTTTTTTGAAATGTCAAAAGGGTCGGTATCAGACTTGAGATGGTTCCAGGACTGCCGCAATAGGTGTATGTTATCACTTTCCTTGTGAGCAATATAAAAGGTTTGTAAAAGCTCTTCATGTTGATGGCGCAAGCTTGATAATTCGGTGAGTCTTTCTTTGAGAATTGCAGAACTGCTTTGATCTACTTTGATAGCAGAGAATCGTTCGTCTCTCTTCCGAGATAACTCTCTCAACAACTCCACAACCGATTTGATATTATCTTCAAGAACATTTAGCGTAGAGTGACCTTGTTGTATCAAGTCGTCAAATGCGGTAATATCGAGTTCCAAAATGTCCTTGTCCCGCAAGGTATGCAATATTTTCGAGACGATTTCATTGGCAATTCCCGTCACAAGGTCGATTGAGCGAGATGTTGAAAAGTTTGCGTGGTTTTTCAACCTTCTGAGGTACGTAAAGACCGATTGGATTGCTGATTCTAGTTTGGAAAATGCCATTTCGTCTTGTCCCGATATCGATAGCACTTCTTCAATTGGGATATCTTTCAAGACGTCGTTGATTGTTTTGCATCGAGCTAATGCCTCTTCGAGTCCAGTATCATTTTCAAAACTTGTCACTACCCTCTGTCGTTTTCCCAAGTTGAGGACCTGTAATGAGTATCGTACTTCAGGTGACTTTAGTTGATGCTGGAGAGCTTTTAAAGCAAGATCCATGGATTTCCAGAAATGAAAGTGGTCAATGATAGACTCGCTGCTCTGTGGCGAATGGTCTAGCGTTGTGACGTTTTTGATTTGGCGAACCCACGAAATGACAGTATTATTCACCTGGTTCAAGATCTCTGGATCTTCTGCCAAATGTCTCAAATCTGCATCTGATGAGCCAGCAATCTTTCGTATAGCAGGATGGGCGGACTGGGCCAAATCTGGGGTCTCAATGGTTTGCTGGAGATGCTGTAAAGCCAAAGAAAGTTCGTTAAATTTCAGGCGGGTTTTACCAAGAGTCTGGCCAAGGTTTAGATGCGAGTCCGATACAATGCTTTCAAAGTACGGCACCAAGCCGAGGCTCAAGAGAGACCGGACGCCTTCAAAGCTTTCGTTTCCAGAGATGCCAAGCGGGACGTTCCAGATGTACAAATCAGACACAATGAAAACACCCTTAGGCTTGATTATTACTATCAAGGTGCCAAAATCCAGGTTAAATGGGACCGTAGAGTCACCTAGGACCTCTGCTCGAGTGCCATTGGCGACAATATACATGACATCGGAACCATTGTGGGTGGTAAACAGATCTAGACGGCGATGAAAATCATTGATCTGGTTCAGATCCACGTTTAGAAAACGGGATATATGATCTAGCAATGCCAATCTACTCATTGAGCAAGCAAAAGAGTGTATTTGTGGTGCTTGTGCGTAGATAAAAGGTGTCTGGTACGCGGTGCAACGATGAAGAAAGTGTTGATAAACGTACTGCATCTAGTCTATATTGCAAAAAGCAGCTAAATTATCTATTATACACTACTCATACTTGTTGGGAAAGCTGAGAATGGAACGGGCCGCCTCTTTGGTCTTGTTGCGCAATCCAAAGCTTTTGGTGGACCGGCGTGACGGACGAACAGCTTGGTCGTCATTGGGGTTATGCATTTTACTGAGCCACATTCGAGCGCCGAGGAAAAAGATAATGATGATGAACACCATCACACCAACAATACCGAAAAACCAATGGAGATTCGATCCACCCTCGCCCGGAACGTGCACATTCATACCAAACAAACCTGTAATAAGGTTTAAAGGCACCAATAACGTACCGATAAGTGTGACTTTGGACAACATTTCCGTCACCATATTATTGGAATGGAACGATTCTACTTGCAATTGAGCAAGGTAATTGCTATGCGACCGACTGAAGATCTTTTCATACGCCAAAAGATTTTGAAACATAGTAATGACGTGATCCTGGATATCGCCCAAGTAAAGTGCAATATCTGCTCGAGGTTGTGCTTTGCCCCAAGCTGGAGGTGGGTACACTGGAGTTGCAGCCCCGCCTGTCAAGCCAGCTGGAACACCAGGAGGAAATCCTGTGGGTGCTGTAGAACTTGCTACTCCAGCAGCTTCATCCTGGCATCTTTTCGCAAACATTTTGATCACATCGGCTTTGCCTGACAAGAGCCTCATTAACGTCATTACCTTTCTTCGGGCTTCGCCAATTCTCTGTAACATATTGGAAAAATCTAGATCACGAGCGACAAATACAGAGTCCTCAATGGCATCTGCTTCGTACTCGATGCCAGTAATTACTGGTGCAAAACCATCGGTGATGTCATCAATAAGAGCGTAACAAATCCAGTCGCTGCTCACGTCAACGTAGTCTCGCAATTGCCGGATTCTGCGTCTTACATTGGCTGGGTGCAGAAGTGGTGAGAAATGGAAAGTGAGCACACCATCACGGAAAACCACGATATACACGTTGATGGGCTCTAGATAGTCTTCAGATTCATCGTCCGGCTCAAAAGTGTGGAAACAGACAAAGTAGTAGCTGCGGAACAACTCCACCTTTTCACGAGTTTCTTGCATACGAATATCTTCGGCCGTAAGAGGATGGATACCAAAAGCCTTGGCCAACATTTTCATTTCGGCGTCTGTAGGACAAACACAGTCAAGCCACCATGTCCCGTCTCCTCCATGAAAGAGGTCCTTGACGCTTTGACCTGGTTGCACCATCAGAGGAAGATCAGGAGCATGAAGGGTTTCTTCGGATTCCGATGAAAAAAACGAGAACCGATCAGGAAGTGACAGGGAAGAATCGTTGATACGGGTTCCTCCAAACTTGACGTTTTCAGAAGCTGAAGAGTCCGACTTCTCGTACTCAATGGACGAGTCCGACTGACGCTTATCGTTCGTCTCAGCTTTTTCATTAGGGTCTGAAGGTTTTAGTTCTTCACTCTTCTGTCCACTTGACTTTTTCGACCGCTTCAACAAGTTGGTCGGAGTGTACTTTAAAGCAGCCAGGCTGGTTTGGGTCGGATGGAGATTTCCACTGCGGTCGCCTGTCATGGTAGATGCTCTTTCTGCCATTAGAGTTTGCTGCTGTCTCATGAATTCTTCTTCTTCACGCTCTTCTTTGATAAACTCTTCAATCTCGTCGAAATCAATTCCTTTAACTCGAATGTGTTCTCTCAACATGGGAAAGCACACATCCTCTTCAGTTTCCTGAGACGATCTCGAGGCGTGGGAGTCGGCATCGCTGTCGATCAGCGACCTCGAAGGTCTGCGGTTACGTTTTTCCGACATAGTACTGTCGTTGGTTTTGATTTTCGTCATTGGCGAAACAAGGTCCAGAGCCATATCTGGAACCAACGAGTTGCTACGGGTGGATTTGCGACGTGGAGGTTGGCTCTTCATAAGAATCCCGCTTGGTTTGTCAGACGAGTCATCCTTGCCAACTTTGGCTCGCAACTGTGCCGTGAAAGACCGGCTTCTTTGCCTCGAAGTTGGGGAGGGAATATCTTCCGCTATCACGCTGGGAATACGGCCGCCTAAAGTGGGCACAATAGCACTCTCGTCCTCCTCATCTGGCGTCCTGAGGTAATACTCCGTGCGGAGATTGCCCAACATCGTCTTGTGGGATCGTGGACCCAATTCCTCGTCGGCATCGCTGGGTCTGCGTCTTCTTGCTTCCGAATTGGACCTTATGGGCAACGAAGGGGGCTGGTTTCTGTGGTCATTAAGGCCCTCGTGGCCCGTATCCATGTCCCTGGTGGGGTCCCGCGTGGGCGACACCGACCTGGAGCTGCTTTGGTCGGACATTTTCCAGAAAAAATGAAAGAGATGACGTGAATTTCGGTGAGAAATTCCCAAATTCTAGTTGCTGTGGATGTGGATCAAGCTTCTGTCTTACCTAAGGATACCCTGAGATAGATTCTGCGTTCTTGTATGTGTTTTACTTGTTTATGCACACATTAAAGTAGCCATATCCGTGTTAGCTACAGTCACTTTGTTCATGTACCTTCCATTCAAATTTGTTTAAGAAATTTCGCACATGGGGCGTATATGTCGCAAAATGTCGTGCGGTATTTTCCTTCGGGTGGCTGAATTTCGGTTTCCGCAGGAATCTGCAATGAATTGCAATGAATTTATAAGATCTTCAATGACTGAAAGAAGTGGGGTGATGAGTTGAATTATTAGTGATAATAATGGAGTCTGTAGAATTAAAGACGGTGGCGTGTGCAGGAACCGGTGAGCGCCGCACCGATGACAGGAAGCGGTGCAGCAAGTGCAACAAGTGCAGGAACTATTTGACAGAAAATGATAGAAAGTAGAAAAGAGTGTTCGGTGGTTGTCTTGTATATACAAGTAATTCATTCTGTTACTTTCATTTTGTCTTCTATTTCTCTTTCCATTGTCTCGTTTCTTCTCTTTCTTTAATCTATTTTTCATTTCTCGCAGCCATTCTTCTCATTCTTCAGCCATTCAGAGGCTTTTCTTCTACCATTCTTCAGCGATTCTTAGAGGCTTTCAGTGGCTTTTCCCTATTAATTTCCTATTAGGCTGCTATCCAGTCGCGGGGAGTCTGGAGAACCTCAACCAACTTGGCCTCTTCGGTGCCCTCTTCTGGGTGGTGATCGTAGAGCCATGACGCCGTGGCTGGAAGTGACATAAGAATACTTTCTACACGCAGACCAGGTGTAGAAAGACCGAATTGCGTTCCTCTGTCGAGAACCAAATTGAACTCCACATAGCGTCCTCTGCGGATCTGTTGCCATTGTTTCTGGTCGTCGGTAAATGGATCGTCCTTGTGCTTTACAACGAGTGGAATGTACGACGGTATAAACGCATCAAAGCACGATTCAACCAAATGGAGCAATGTATCGGCAGGCATGCTGTCCATGTCATCGAAAAAAATGCCTCCAACTCCTCTGGTCTCTCCGCGATGCTTGATGTAGAAATATTCATCGCACCATTTTTTGTACTTTGGATACAATTCCTTGTCGTATTTGTCCAAAGCGTCTTTGTGACATTGGTGGAAGTTCACCACATCTTCCTCGTAGAGATACGAAGGAGTCAAATCGGCTCCGCCGCCAAACCACCATGCAGCTACCTCGCCAGTTTCCGCATCTAAAGTCTCAAAATACCGGTAATTTGCATGGGTGGTGGGAGCATGTGGGTTATGGGGATGAATGACCAACGAGAGTCCACACGCAAAAAATGGCACACTGCCGTCTCCCAGTGAGCTTGGCTTCAAATTTTGGTGATCTGCTCGCATTCTCGCAACAGCTTGAGGTGGAAGTTTTCCATGAACAACAGAAATATTGACCCCTCCCTTCTCAAATACCGATCCGTTCTGAAGAACCATCGTCTGTCCACCGCCTCCTCCGTTTCCACGAGTCCATTCGTCAATATGAAAAGTTGACGTTTCGAGCTGCTCGATGCTTTCGGTAATTTGCTGCTGTTTCCACCTCACAAGTGTCTCCATACGCTCCCTCATTGGTCGCGAGGTATCGTGGATGCTCTGTACATCGATGGCTTTCATTTGGAGTTTGGCAAGTAGTAGAATTGAGAGAATTGAGTTCTATGCGATTAATTTATGGTCGCGAATTATCGATCTGGCGTGATTCTATGCCGCACCACACCACCAAGGAGAGACCACAAAAAAAGATAGTGGTAAGTCATATTGTATTGTGTTCGCTAAGTGTCATACTGTATTATTTATTTCGCCAAGTTTCATACTGTATTACTTGTCATACTGTATTACTTGTCATACTGTATCATTTGCTAAGTTTCATATTATATTGTCGCTTTACGCTTCCACTTAAATAGTCATATTGTATAAATGTATCTCAACCCTTGTGGCTGCCCTTCTTCTCTCTTGTTCCCTTAGGCACTCTCAGGAGCCAGTAGAAGAACACTGTCATGATGATATTGAACACCGTAAAGGCATTGAAGATTCCAAAGTTTCTCCACCGGTCTCCGTAGCTAGCATTGATCGTCTTCAAGAAAGCATCAGTGCTCTTCATCTGACAGTAATTACAGTTGGTGGTCGAACTGGGGTCCGAAATGTAGCCTCCCGCAACCGAAATATACAGCGCCAAAAATTCCTGACAAGTTTGTCCCAGCGGAGGTACCAATGAAACATACTCCTCGGGAGAACAAGTGACGGGAGCCTTGGCCAATCCCGTAGCCAAAATACCTTGAATCAAGTATGTGAAAGGATTGCAACGATACATGAAAATCCAGAATCCTGGCAACACATCGGGTCCAGCAAGAACACCACAGAAATTCAAACACATGGTGAACAACATAACGGCAAGATTAGCAGCGTTGTCTGCAATCTCGTTGAAAGAAATACAAAGTTGTCCCATGGTGGAAGTGTACACCATGAACGAGATAATCAATAACCACATAAGAACACCTCTGGAATCGACAGTATCGCTTGGCTCGGCATTACGGTACAAGCCGATAGGGTAGTACCACGAAAAGAAAGCAGCAGTACCAACGGCTATCTGGAACGGAATCTCTCCTGTCACCTGAGCAGTGATAAACGTGAACCAACTATAAGTTCTCGAAGGTGCTTCTCTGACCTCGTAGATGTCTCTTTGTCTTACAAAGTATGGTAACATCTGTTGCACCAAGGTGTTGAAAACAATAAAATACATGAAGGTTCCAAACATTTGGTTTTGCAATCCTCTCATCGAGTTGTTAGCCTTGAAAAACGAAAATCCAATGAACAACGCCGACGAAACCACCAAGAACAATTTAGAGTAGATGTAACCTGGCGTTCTCCAGTTTTGTTGAAGAACTCTGCGAGAAACAATAAGGTACTGCTTCCAGAGTGGGGCAGCGTATTTCTTGTGCGATTCAGGACTGACATCTCTTGGTAATAATGACAATTCTTGTTCCATGCGGTCGAGTTCTCTTTGAACGTCTTGATACTCCGTAGAGTTTCTCCATACTTCAAAGTAGTCTTGGTTAGCATGAGATCCAGGAGCCGCTCCCACAACCTCCAAAATCCATTCAGCGGGATTTGCATTTTTGGGACATGGCTGAGCTCCGTACTTTTCAAAGTAGTTGATCAAAGTGGCACATTTATCCCCCATTTCTCCAAAGTAAACTGTCTTTCCTCCTTTTTGTAAGAAAAGCAACCGGTCAAACTCTTTCAACAAAATGGCCGATGGCTGATGAATGGTACACAAGATAGCCTGGCCGTGGTCGGCCAACTTTCTAATCAACTTACACACGGACCATGCAGTTTGTGAGTCCAATCCAGATGTTGGTTCATCCAAGAATAACAACAACTTTGGCTTGGCTACCAACTCGACTCCAATCGTCAATCTCTTACGTTGCTCAACATTGAGTCCCTCTCCGGCAACACCAACCACAGCATCAGCATAGTCATACATCTCCAACAAGTTAATAACATACTCAACATATTCGTCCTTCTCTGCTTTCGATACGTGAGAAGGCTGTCTCAAGTACGCCGAGAATCGGAACGCTTCTCTGACGGTAGAAGTTGGCAAGTGCAAATCTTGTTGTTGGACGTAACCAATAGATCTTTGGAACGAAGAGTCAAGAGAATGGCCATTCACCATTCTTGTACCGTCTGTCACCACACCAGTTGTAAGTCTCTCAGAAAGACAGTTCAACAAGGTGGTTTTACCAGCTCCTGAAGCTCCCATCAAGGCAGTCAATTGTCCAGGCTTGACCCAGCCATCGACTTGGTTCAAAATGACCCGATGCTCAGATTTGATCTTGACCTCATAAGTTAAGTTACGCCAGTGGAAAATGTTCTCGTTAACAGGGGTCTCCAGTACTTCATTCTTCTCGTCTTGTTGTGAGTCATTGGTGCCTGTACGATCGGTCAGCGAGCTGCTCTCTTTCAATTCGTCTTGAAGCAGATAAGTGGCTTGTTTTCCACCTTCCAAATCATTCTTGCCCATTTTCTGTTGCTTTCTACGCTTTCTAAGTGCTGAACGAAGGAACAAGGTAATTTCACCCTTTTGCATTGCACCACGGTTGATTTCCGTCAAGAAAATGTAGATTCCAAGGAAGAAGACAGCGAAAGCCACAGCAATACCAAAGTTTCTCCATTTGGTACCAATGGTGTAGTTGTATGATTCCTTGATGTATCTTGTTCCAGAAACCATGTTAGAACCAGGAGTTGAACCAACTGTGTTACAAACACGCAGATCTCCGGTAAGATCATCGTATCCTGGGCCCGTGGGAAGATATGTCGAACACAAAAACTCTCTTCCGTGGAACTCATTAGCCATTAAAGATTCAAAAACATACCCAACTGGATTGATATAACCTATCCATCTAGCCCAACCCAACATCTTGGGTGTAGGAATGACGAAACCAGTATAAATCACCATAGCAAGTAACAAGACATTTGCAGGTGTCATTGCTCCAGCCAAAGAAGTTGAAACTGCTCCCAAACTACGGAACAAATGTGACATGACAAAAGTACATGTGATACACATAAGCCAGTAGAAGAAGAAACGACCTGGTTCTCTGCGGAAATTAACCATAAAGTAGAACACAAGGTTGAAACTAAGGGACATAGCAAACTTGACAGGTAACTCAGTAATGATACTCGCTAGAGCATCGGCGGAAGGACGGTATAACGCATATTTTCTATGCTTTTCAACAATAGGTCTGGCCTCGAAAAGAGACATAATTTCCAACAAGGACGAAAAAGCATTGAAAAGAACGGCGAAAAACATGGAGGCACCTCTATAATAAAACGAGCCGGTGTCTGCCTTCATATTGTAGAAAACTGATGACAAGATAAGACCCATAATAACCTGACCAGCAACGGAGAAAATTGGAATCGAAGGATCACCTTTAAATCTTAAAATATTGCGGTGCATGATGTATTTGGTTTGCATGAAGAACGACACAGTGTAAGGAGAACCATTTCTTGTGTGCTTTGCTTGTCTAGCAACGTGAGAGTCGTGGTATGTCTGCTTGGCATTTTGAGCAACCACTCTTTCGAGATAGGCATCGATTTCATTCACAAGTTTTGCACGCTGAGGTGAGTTTCTCCAATACCGTTCGAATTCCTCGGCAGTACGAGGAACCTTATTTTCATAACCAGGACGAATGATTCTTTCTGCTGGATTGGTTAAAGATGTCAAGTAGTCAGCGGTAGTTTGACGTTGTGGGCACTCGTATCCCATGTCCTCGAAAAACTGTTTGGCTTCACCAGCTGGTCCATTATAGATCTGGTACCCTTCGTACAAGACCACAGTCTTGTCAAACAAGTCGTAAGCGTCCTGAGAACATTGGTAAATGGCAATTAAAGGAGTTGCTTCCAAAACAGCAGCCGAAGTTTTGAGAGCACGAATAAATTCAAGAGCGGTAGCGGCATCTAAACCACGAGTAGCATTATCCCAACATTGCAAGTTAGCACCACAGAGCGAAACTTCGGCAATGGAAACACGTTTACGTTCACCACCAGAAACACCACGAACAAAATCGTTTCCTACATTGGTGTGACGAGTATGTGACAAGCCGTACATGGCCATGTATACTGAGGCCATATGTTTGGCATATGTTTCACGATCAACGTCTCCACGGTTGTGGGGTGTACGAAGACGAGCTGCAAACTCTAGGGTATCACCAACATGGAGGTGAGGGAAATGGACATCAGTTTCAGCCGAGTAGGCGACACTTCCACGGAAATGCTTTTGGATTTCAGTGGCTGAAATACCGTCGTAGCTGATCTTGGATTTCTCGTCGATGTGGAAACCGTAGGTGTTGGTAGCAATTGTTTTCAACAAGGTGGAACATCCACTACCAGGACGTCCCAAGACAACTGACTTCACCAGGGTAGAAAATTCCGTCCATGGGCTTGAGGATATCAAACGAGCTCGCAGGGTCTTGTTTACGCAAGTAACTGAGTGCATTGGTAGCGAGTTTAAATGGCACATTGGAAACTGTGGCTTGGTAGTCGGCGCCGGTAGCGATACCGTATGCTCTCAAATCACGGTATGCCACTCCCAAAGTGGCTCTCTTGTAGTAATCTGGGTCTGAATCGAGCAATTTCCGGAAATTTTTCACCCAGTATTTAGCGTTGAAATCATCACTATCTGGATCCAACTGGGGATCGTTTACGGCCAGAGCATCGTAGGGTATCACACCTGGAACCTGGGACATATTTGTGAGATATTTCACCAATTCATGGGAAGAGTTGTTGGTTACCGAGCGAGCCAAGTTGCGAACATCTGTTTCAACGTTTTCATCAAAGCCTTTGTAACTATTTACCGGAGCAATATCATCATCAGAACCAGCCGAATTAATTTCGCGCTGATCGTAAGGTTGAACATTGTCCACCAATTGACCAGAATCATGGTATGAGACCTGATCTGACTCAGGTACCCTTTCTGGTACCGGGTCTGTCTTGGAATCAAAAAAAGGCATTGAAAACAGTGGCAACGGAAAATTGGCGCTTGGCAACTCTTATAAAGTGTACGATGCGGCTGAAATAATGCACGCATGCGGAGTTAATCGGAAAATATATGGTGTTAATGAAACACCTCCAAACAGCACAATAAGCTGAAAAAAATTGATGTTGTGTTTTGCTTCTGTACACCCTATTCGATTGCAGATTTTGAACGTCATTTTACATTTTTGTTCTGGTTGACACTCTTTCCTTAATAATTCCCCACATGTTAGCGCCGCGCCCTAGTAAGTTTTCACTGCAAGGAACAACCTGCATACGCTGCGGATTGTCACAACACTACGACAATTCCCGAAATGCGCGAAGGAAAACCGGCTTTTTCGTTTTCCGCGGTACGGACACCCAGTGCACCTGCATATTTTTTAGCAGCGCCTCCACGGAGACGGAATTAAGTTGGAGCCGCGCTGGGGTGGCGAATTATGACGAATACAGCAATGCAGATCGGGAAATTCGCGTATCAGTAAAGCACGCAGTTGCAGTTGCATATCTTGGCGGCCAGAATAGTATGTGCTTTTTTTAGCTGCATATTGAATGGCAGTCGTACTGCATACCGCCGCCGTAACCATTACCGTATGGGGCGCAGTCAGATATGAGAATCTGAGGTGGTCGTGTAGTGTAATTGGTTTGTAGTGGTGATGGTTGTGGTGATTGGGTGTAGTTGGTTGAAAGTTGTTTTGCATTTTACAATTGGGTGCAAAAAACGTCAGCCGTTCAATCTATCATTGACTTGAGCTTGACTCTTGTAGCTTCAGAGTATTTCAATAATGTGTCAAGTGCTGTCACATAAAATTTCAAAATGTCAAAAAAGGAAAATGTCAAAATGTCAAAATGTAAAGGGTCAAAAATGAAAAATGTCAAAATGTCAAAACGTCAAAATGTCAAATGTGTCAAATGTGTCAAAATGTTTCAAATCGTTTAGATTGTCTGTATGTTTCAAAGCAACGCTTCAAGTTTTTAATCACTAATTTGACTAGCATCTTCGAAAAACCTCATAATCATACTCAAAGGTCGAGCCAATGGCTGTGTTGTCAAAACCACTTGATTGTGAACTCTGTAAACCTCTGAGAACATGCTGCTGGTTCAATCAACAGTGGTTCTGAATACCAGAAGTCGCTTCTGAAGTACTCTTGTGATTCAATCCTCATTTCTTGAATAGAGGTTGGGATCAAGTAGGAAAGCATTGCATTCGTCTCGTCGACTGGAAACTGCCATAAGACCCTGGAATTGTAACCGTGGCTTCTATGAGCTGATTCTCTTTTGGATAATTGCAAGAGTAAAGTAACAAGAATGTCAAGAAAGTCCTTTGCTACTTCTGCCATGACTTCATCAATGAGCTGTTACACCCGGCTCACCATTGTGTTTTATCTTGCGTTTCAAGTAGCCATAATGCTTAAACACAACCAATTCTTCCCGGTTGCCTTGACTTTGCTGCCGACCAACTTGAGATTAATCTTGCTCTGAACTTGATATTTTGGCTCTTCAAATTTGTATAATCGTGGTTCTTCATTGGTTTTCGAACTTTGCTCTGATTTTGTAGCCAATTGCACCAATTGGGCTCGGCAAAGTCGATTATCGTAAAAGGTAGTGTACAAGGGCACTTGATAATAGTACTGTACAATGACACTAAGAGCACTTTATAGTGCTGTAGATGCGGTTTCAACGATTGCAACCAAACTGTAATTTTTTCACATTGATGTCAAATGCAGATATGGCACGACATCTTTTCATCTACTGTCCTTTTCTTGTCTCGGTCTCGGAGTCCTCGGAGACCGCGGAGATAATTGCAACCGCCTGCACCGAAGGCGCCCGCGGACATAAAAGTTGCAAGCTGCTGCCCTGCTGGATTTGTGGGGTATATAAACCCCATTTCCCGCATTTCACTTTAGTCTTTCATGCCAGTTACTAACGATTCAATCTCTCGTCTTGGGGCTTCTGGGCTTCGTATCAATCATGCTGTGGTTGGTACAATGCTTCTTGGAAAAGTAGGCTTTGAAGCTTATAACGGAGTTTCGGATGAAGCCGAGTCAATTGCCATTTTGAAGCAGTGCTATGATGCTGGGTTGCGTACTTTTGATACTGCTGATGTATACTCGGCCGGAAACAGTGAAAGGGTCATTGGTAAGTTTTTGAAGCAACACAATATTCCCAGAGAAGATGTGGTTATCATGACCAAATGCTACTTTAGTTTATCACACTTTGACGGCGAAACCAGCTTGAACCTCAACAACAAAGGATTATCCAGAAAGCACATTTTGGACGCCGTGAAAGGTTCAGTTGAAAGATTGGGTACCCATATTGATTTGCTCCAGATTCACAGATACGACCCCGAGGTTCCAGATGAAGAGATCATGCGTGCTTTGAACGATGTAGTTGAAAGTGGTCAAGTCAGGTATTTGGGTGCTTCGTCCATGAAATTGTACCAGTTTATTCAGTTGCAACACACGGCTGAAAAATATGGATGGCACAAGTTTGTATCGATGCAGAGCATGTACAATTTGATCTACCGTGAAGATGAACGTGAGCTCAATGAATACTGTCAAAAAACCGGTGTTGGTTTGATTCCATGGTCCCCCAATGCCAGAGGTTTACTTGCGGTTCCTTCCGACTCTGAAAAGACAAAAGAGAAACTCAAGAACAATGTAGCCACTACATTCTTGGCTATCGACATGGAACACGACAAGGTGATTATTGACCGGGTTGAAGAAATCAGCAAGAAGATCGGTTGCACCATGGTTGAAGTAGCGTGTGCTTGGTTGATTGCAAAGGGAGCCCATCCAATCATAGGTGTTACTCTGAAAGAAGCCATTGAGCCTGTAGTCAAATTAACTGAAATCAAACTCACCGAGGAACAAGTGAAGTATCTCGAGGAGCCATATCGGGCCAAGGCTCCAGCGTGGGTCCTTTCATAAATACGACGGTAAATCTATAAGAAAGTTGATGTAGTCAATTAATAGCGATTTACTTCAATAATGTGAATCAAGAAGTAAGAATAAGTTCATTTGCTAAAACCCAAGAAGGTAAAATCCAATTTTAAGAAGCTTCAAATCAGAACCACCATCTTTCTTTACTCTATCTCTTCTCTCATTTCTTCAACTACTTCTCTCCATCTGCTGAGCGCTAAGCGCTTTTGCAGCCGACCCAACGAATCCCCACCCGTACACCACACTCTCGGTAAGCATGCGATATTTGCCGTTGAAGTCTAATGCTACGGACTTCTTTGCCGGTGCTGATATTGCGCCTGGCGTTCATATTACCTTTGCTCCTTTTCGGATGTGTGTCTTGTACGCTCCAGCAGTACATTCCTATTCTGATCTATGGTCATGGACCCAAATCGTGGGTTTATATCAACAAAACAAGAACCCAATTTGTGGTGTTTATGACTTTTTTGACTCAAATAGTCAACCCGTGTAAGATATCCATCACCTATGACCAGGACCTGATCCCGGCTGGAGCATTCAAAGTGGATCTGAAGAATAATTTGCACCTGATCTCCTCACTCCTACATCCACAAGGGATAGGAAACACCATCAAATATATATCGATTGGCTTTTCTTATGGTGATAGCCTACACGTCCAGGTTGTCCGATAGCATATATATTGTCATGAAGGATCTTTTCCAAGCTCCCTTTATTGGGATATGGCATGAAGAATTTCAACTTTTTGTTCTTGTCGCGGAAATGGGAAAAAGATAAAGTCAAGCTCACGAACCAATTACTTGAAATCGACGCCAATGCTCGCGGTCTCGGACCTTCGTGCGGCGAAACCCATATATCAGCTACCAATATTAGAGATGGAGATGCTCCCGAAACTTCGTCGGTTTTCCATTGGCCCAAAGGTCACCGGTCGTCGCACATGCTGCCGTATCAAGTCATTTTGTATCCTGAAGGAACTGTGATTCTGCCCCATACCCGCGAGCGTCTGGCAAAGTTCTGTCAGGAGAGAGGCTTGCCCGTACTTAAACATGTGCTTCTTCCTCGAATCCGTGGTCTTTTTTTGGCATTGAGAAAACTCCGCGATACCGTAGAAGTGGTGTATGATGTTACTTGTGGTTACGATGGTTTGCGGCCCGATCAATATGGTGAGGATGAGTTTACACTCAAGCAGATATACCTCCGTGGAAACGGTCCGAAGAAGGTTTCATACTACATCAAAGCTTGGAAGATTAAGGATATACCTCTTGGCGCCGAGACGGTAGATATCGATGATGTTTCACCGGCCGATTTTGCGAAGATTTGAAGAATGGCTCTTCAAAATCTGGTACGAGAAAGATACGATTGATGGCCAATTTTTATCAATACGGCAGCTTTGTCGATCCTATGAGCTCGTCAACAAATACTATAGAGAAGGCCCGCAGCACCACGGTGGTGGCAGATTTCAAAATTCGCAGCTTTGGGAAATTTTCCCAATCTACTTACCTT